AGACCGACGGGATTTGATCAGTTGTAAGGAGCCAAAAGAAACCCAGTGCTTATAAGCGGGGTCACACCCCGAGCATTTGACCTAGAGGTCTAACCCACAAGGCAATGGAGCATCTTAAGGAGATGCAGTCCCATGGTAGACAGTGACCAACGATTGATTCATACGCATTTGTTCCCTTAGGATACTGGAGTTAGCCCATGTGCATCATTGGTTTGGAATCAGGGTTTTCCAACTCCCCTAGGTGAACTTTCCATGTCCATCAAGCCGGTTAAAGCTCCAGAGAGCATTTGGAGAGGTCGAGCGGACTCTCCCCACTCTCGGCCGTACTAGGGCATTTGGGGCACAATGTATTGATAGTCCCTAGAATCAGGCTCATTTCACTTATGATCGCACATAGTTCATTAATAATCTTAATAGAGAAATCAATCAAAGGTGTTATCTAAAAGTTACATTCAAAGTAAATACAATTGTATGTATATAAGATAAATACATGATATATTCATTTAATCTGAAATAGTGAATACATTTCAAAATCACCTTAATTTAAATTACAAGAATAGAATGAATCTATATCGAATGTTAATAAATTTGCATGTAAAAATATTTAGATTACTATGCTATTTTAATGACAAGAGCTTTAATACTACTTAATCTGATCATAACTACAATAAGGACTTACAAATACCCTGGTATGGCTGGGAGAGACAGCTTTTCATCTCCAAATGCTTTTACATATCTACGGTTATGCAACTAATGTCAGGGAAGTTCTACTGACTTCCGTCTCGCGGCAAGAGTGTTGTTTACGAAATTTAGAGGATGAAAAGTGGATGTCCGGTGGTTTAACCGAATTGGTGGACATAGAGGGTCCACCTAGGTGAGTTGGGATGTCGTCATTACAAACCGATGGTGTACATTGGCTACAGGATTCTAAGGAAACGAATGACATATTAACTGATTGTTGGTCACCGGCCATCATGGGACTGTGTCTCCTTACGTTGCTCCACTGCCTTGTGGATTGGATCTGTAGGTAAAATACTTGGGGCGTGACCCCCTAAGAAAACTACGTGCTTCGGACTGGGCACCCGAGCAGTATCATAGCCCTCACAAAATTAAATGAAATGACATTTTTTTGTGTGGTGCATATATATCTGGTGCCACCTTGTACCAATATTTGTGTTCAAATAAATAAACATATTATCTATTGAGTTCAGATATCCAGTACCTTGTTTAGCTTAGCTGTTTTCTATTAATTGTATAAACATTTCAACAAATATTTCTATTTGAATTGAATTGTAGGGTCACTGAATACTGAACAGATCATTGATCCCTGCCAAGGTCAAGGATAGTCAACGCGCACAAACCAACGGTACGCCATGGACTGGCCCACGCGGCAGTGGTTATTCTTTCACTTCTGTACTTCCGTAGTTGTACCTTAACTAATATATTCTTGTAATAACGTCCTTTGTGTTGTACAGTCTCCATAGCATCTATTATCCTTTGATGCGTCGATGGTTCAACCCACGTAAGGGCTGGTCGCGAGGTGTGACTTCAGCGTTAATTGGTTCGTACCCATTCTCGTCTAACTATAGTAGGCCCCCGATCATTTTGACATAGATCATCAACGTAGATGGTCTTACAGAATAATTAGAGATACTCCCATAGGAATTCATGCAATTTTTATTTATAAGTTCATAATTCCGCATGAGGAAATCGGACCCATGAACTTTGGTCTCGTGCATGAACGCTTAATATCTAGACCATTGAGCTGTCATTCAACGATGTAAATGTCTAAATTCAATCGATCTATACCAGAACGAAATGGCCGTTCAGTGTTTCCAATGATGGTATAGATTACAACGATTCATGAATTCAACTATATCAATTTGAAATTAAAACACAGATTTCAGCGAAGGGATCTCTTTTCAACGAATTTATTATCAAACTGTACAATCGTATATATATATATATATGAAAAAGTTTTGTTAAAGTACTAATTCCGTGAGGAAATGTGAACACTAATAACCAAGATTATAATACTGGATTACGTAATATGAAGAACAACAATAGATTTAGTGAATATAGTAAGACGGATAAAATGTTTTGGTTACAATAATTAAAGGTCATAGAGGTGTAAAATAAATAAATAAGGTGATGAGTATTCATGAATAAAATAATGAGAATATAAAACATAAGTAAAGGGGGAATGGAGTAATAATAATAATAAAAGAATGATAATAATAATAATAATATTAAGGCCATGGTAACGATAATGATAAAACGTACTTCTTTTGTACTTATAGTTCTGGTTTGAGCTCATGGATGGTAAGAGCTTCGGCTATTTTTAAAAGTTTGATCCGAAGAAATCTTGGTAGATTTGAACGAATCATATAAACAACCTTAAAATCAGACTGTGGATTCGTCGAATGATTACAGTCGATTAGGTGTTCGAGTATAGAACTTCTAACTGCTTTCTTTCCACCATTGTAGAACCAAGCTGGTATATGTTCTCGTATCCGGGTTGAAAGCGAGCGCTGGCTACGGCCGATGTAACTTGCTCCACAAGAGCAGGTGAACTGGTAGATGCACATAGAGGCGACCAAACGCGGAAGCTTATCTTTTATGGATACAGAAAATAAGTTCTTACTAGTGAAGGTTATTCGTAGTTTAGCAGCGTTAAATGTCCTTTTAATTGTTGTTGTTAAACGATTTTTAATTATGTCTGATGTTCGGTCACCTTTAAATTCCAGACTTATATAAAGGCTTTTCTTTGGGACTAAATAACTAGGATTCTTATGGACACTACTTCAATTTGAACAATATATCATAATTTGTTTAGACTTGATTAACAATAAGTGTGACAACACAATAAATGTTTTGCATATTCAAAATCAAATATTTAAAAACGCAACATGTATTGAACTCAGTTTCGTTTTGATTAAGTAAAACAAAGTACCTAATACATTCAAATAATTTATCAAATGTTAACAAAACAATACACAGTCCTGTTTTATCACACTTCGTCGACAGTTATCAGGTGGTTGATGGAAACAAACTAATTAGAGTAGTTTATTGTGAACATCCTACTATTCTTAATGGAGGGTCCGACCACATATCTTACAAATAGCAGTATTTATAGGGATTGAAGCTAAGAACCCAAATCTTTGTATTCATAAGAAATTTATGGTACCTCTATCTTTTCCTTGATCGAATTACGCCTAATAAATAGCTTTAGTAATGATTATTAATTTTCATACCCTTTTTTCATGGACCGATCAATGTTAGACCACTATTGGAAACCTGGTACATGACGCCTCTGCAGTGAGCATCCACAATCTCGCACGTGAACGCTTGATATCTAGACCACTGTGTTGTCATCCAAAGGCGTTCATATCAAACTTTGACCGATCTGTGATTTATTTTTCTTCAACCTTTTCTCAAGTAAACTCTTTACTGTTTAATTTATTTGTGCACTTCTCATTATGCAATTTTTAATGCACGTTATTTCAATGTCTAATCTTGTTCACATGTGCATATAAACATTCTTATAAGGCAGAATTGAAGGCTGGAGATGATCTAATTGAAAATCCGATTGATCATTTATACTCATGTTGCTCTAGTTCACAAGATGTGAATTTTTTATATATTAAAAAAAAGAACACAAAGTACCTAGTAAGGGTGATTGATTATTTTTAGGGTACATACTATTACTGTAGTTACATTACAGTCCAATGAATCGATTCAATGATCAACTGAAATGTTATTCAAAAAATTAAAATGAACTATGTAACGTGTAAATTGACTTATATCTAACATTGTAACCCTGATATATATATATATATATATATATATATATATATATATATATGCAATTATCCAATCAGTGACTTAGCACTTAAAGTATCAAATAAGTCACAAGTTGGAATCCTACTTGATTTATTTCAGTTTGAGTAATCGATTAACATCAATATCCTTCACATTTAGAGTATAGTTCTGTTATGCCCCCATAAGGATAACGAATGGTAACTTTGGGGTCTATTTATAGACCAATACTGCTAAATAACTAAACTATTCATATTAATGTCCCCCTTATTATGAGCATTATTCTGACCTATGATCTAATATGATGTGATTTAGAGTTCTTGAATTATACCCAGTCTATTAATTGCCCCCAAATGCCCTGATACGGCTGAGAGTCCGCTCTCCCTCTCCAAATGCTCTCACATGACCACGCGTACCAGGGAAGTCCTACTCACTGCCTTCTCGTGGCATTATTGTTGTTTACGAAAGTGAGAGGACGAAAAGAGAATGTCCGGCGCTTTAACCGGCTTGATGGACATGGAAAGTTCACCTAGGGGAGTTAGAAAACCCTGATTCCAAACCAATGATGCACATGGGCTAACTCCAGTATCCTGAGGGAACGAATGGCGTATGAATCAATCGTTGGTCACTGTCTACCATGGGACTGCATTTCCTTACGATGCTCCACCGCCTTGTAGATTAGACCTTTAGGTGAAAGGCTCCCTAAGAAAACCACTTGCTTCGGTTCGGGCACCTGGGCAGTATCACAGCCCTCACATAAATCAAATGAGATTTGTGCGGCGCATACATATCTGGTGCCCCCTTGTACCAATATTTATGGGTTTAAACAAATAAATACTATTAATTACTGCCCCCCCCATTTCCAGCTATATTTGGGTAAATCTTGTACAAATGTTATTTTCTATTTTATCGTACGATGTAGTCTGTCTGTTTGGTAATATAAACTCAGTATTTTTGAAATATAATGATTCATGTTGAAGAGGCTGTTATTAGTGTTCTGGATTTAACTGGCTGGACTAGGCAGAAATTCGAACCAACAAATACTCCACACTTTTCGTACGGTTTCCATGTGTGTCATTTAATCCGATCAATAAATCACTACTCTCTAATTGATTGGTATTATCACGTTCATACATTATAACAGGGTATCTAAGCGGTTACAAATTTCAAATCAAAAACCTAATTGAAATAGAATTATAATTTAATACATAAATAATCAATAAAATTGTTTACCCTTACACATTCAACTTAATGATATAATATATAATTAATAAATATCAAAAAATCAATTGATCATAATCATCTTTTAAACCATTTAGAAAAGAAAAAAAAGAACCAAAAAAAGAGAAAAAAAAACCTGGAAAAAGATCAACAAAAACAAACAAAACAAAAATCGATTATTATTATTATTATGCATGTTTATCTATATTGTGATTTCATTGATAAATTGAAATAAATAATAATGAAAAAATCATTATGAAAGATTAACTATAGCAACAATAACAACACCAACAACAAAATTTTTTACTAACGATAACAGTAACATTAATCTAGAAGAATAAATACTAAAGTAACAATAGTAATGAATGACTGACCGAAAATTTTTTTTTGTGAGTTTTTCTCATTACTACTGATAATACTACTACTATTATTATTTCACTTTTACTCCAGTTGATTTCACATCAGTACTTTGAACTGAATCCAATTGTTTACCCAAATATTCCCTGAAATAAATAAAACAATTTAAAGAAATATAATGATATATATATCTTTATGGGAAATCAGTTTTGGAATCCACTATGAAAGATTATAAATCGATAGAGGTTAGATATTAATATCGTTTGATGCCAGCTCAGTGGTCTAAGGGTTAAGGATTTGCGTGCCGAGACTGAAGGTCATGTGTTCGAGTCCTAAGAGCGGGATCATGGATACGCAATGCTGAGGAGTCCTACACTAGGACTAGATTTTCAATGGTGGTCTGAGATTGATCGGTTGACGATCTCAATAAATATTTAATTACCATACATCTTCAGTGCACTCTTACAGAATAACAATATTTGATCAGTTATAGGCTTATGTATGTATCATTATAAGTAGTAATAAGTCAATATTTACGTATGAGTACTTCCAGGTTCTTAATGTTGGTCAAGCTTAGATTGACTGATGAATTCAACTGTTAAGATTATGTTTTCATGAAAAAAAGAGACTCGGTAATTCTATATCCGACTTCATCCGTATAGTAGTGGGGTGATATTGGTGAGTTTTAAGAAAGGTAGGGACAGTCAAGTTAACATATGGCATTAGTGTTTGAAGTTACTGACCATTCTAGTACACACTACTTAGTTAGGATTCGCACGGTTATCGTGACTAATAGTTGAAGACATTAAATGAGATGGTTAGGAATCGGTACCAACAGTGCGAAGTGATATACTCTTTCTTTGTCCCCAAGTCTCAAGTTTGAATATTATTTTACACCTTTTATTCCTTAAATCTATCCATTCATTTCGTATCGTATTCTTCCAGATTAGGCTTCTCCGATTATAACTAATACTACTACTATTTCAAGTATTTCCAACATTGATTTCGTTTTGGCGATGTGGTATAGTTAACTGGGCTGATAGACATTTATGTCAAGCATTATGTTGATGATGACTGATTGTTCAATTATATTCCTCTTTCATACTAGCTATCGATTAGCAACAACACTAACACATACACACCATCGTCGTAAGTCCTACTGGGAAGCCTTTGATTTCTTCATTTTAACAAATAATAACATGATAGCACATCAAAAAATCAACAGGTTATGTATCAGTCTGAGAGTGTTGGTCAAGAGGTAACGTATTCACATGAGAATTGAAAGTTTTAGGTTCGATCTCTTGTGGAGTTGTACATTATCGATACACTTCAAACTAGAATTAGACAGCTGACGAGTGGTGGATGTCAGTTCATAACAAGTACTGTATGAACATACACAAATATCTATCTACTTCTCTACATACTTACCAATTATGTACCATTATTTTTTGCAATGAAACTAAAGCATTATAACGAACATTTGGATCATCATGCTGTAGTAAAGCCATCACTAATTGTTTACCGCCAAGTGTTTCAATTATTCTACGAGTGGAAAGAAAAAGAGGAACAAACAACACTGTTTTTATTAACGATGATGAATGAAAGCTGTGGTGTTATTGGTCTGGTTGAACGAAGAACAAAACCGATTTTAACGAGATACAAAAATGTTTAACATGAATTAATCAAGTAAATGGATGATCAGTCATTGGTAAAGAACGTAAATACTTCTAAAACAAACATGATTCAACGATTAACATCTCCCAGCGTAGCTGCTACCTTGATGTGGTGGTTGGACTTGATTACCGTAATGACTCAGTCGAGTTATATTGGCTGAAACACCAGTTCCTTCAGGTTCAAATGTATCAGGTAGGTCGGTTGGAGATTGATGAGATGACATTGGTAGACTTAAGACGCGACGGAGAGGTGGTATTGCATAGTCTATAATCATGTGGAATTAGTAAGGTGTTTCCTTCAGATGACCAGTTCCTATAGCAATGCTTCCTTTTCACAAAAGAAGGAAGCAATTATAGAATGCAAACCCTAGACATATTACATCTCACTTTAACCACATAGATTTATGTCACCAGCGGTATAGACTTTAAATTACTGAGCTAAGTCGTCTAAAACCATCTGAAAAAAACCAGTATGTGACCGGCACTGAGCAGTTGTATCATGGGGACTGAGGTTACGCTCCTGCGTCGCCAAGACTACTTCTAACCCAGTTTCTGTCTCAGATACTACAGGAAGCTTTTTTTTACGGTATAGGCAACAGAAGAGGAATTCAGAAGCTGAGAGTTTAGGGGATAGGGGTGGGAACAAAGAATGAATGCATGTGGACCACTGCAAACGATTTTTAGCTATTCCATTTAAAGCCCATAACCGCTGGCTACAATAAACACACGGAACTATGCATCTTGTCCATTTATATCTTGTTGTACTAATGTAATGAGACAACACCTTGAGTCAATATACATTTGTATTGGATTTAATGTTTATATTCATGACTGACTTATTGACTACAATAGAATAGAGTTTGAATTTGCAATCCAGTAGTTCACATTTAAAGTTAGAATAACGCTAACAACATTTAATAATGAACTTACTGTTTACCACGTGGATAATGTCTTACAAACTCTCCAATATCATGTACAGCCACAGATAATGTTAATGGATCAGTACCCAGTTCGACTAATCGTACTAACATTCTAAATAGTGAAAAATGAAAGAAGAATATTCATAAACACAAGTAGACCTGTATTAGCTATATGGTTATCTCTTTGACAAAAGATGGGAGACTGACTGAATCATATACATACTTTATGGTTATTCAATAGAACATTACAGTTCAACGGGATCTTAACTTTCAGGAATTAGCTATTAGAAACAATAATATAGTGTTTAAAGTGATTGAACAATGGTGTATGGTTTAAATGAACACTTTGGTATTATATTGATTGAAAAAGGTGAATTATTATTCATGTAGACCTTCCTAGACAATATTGAAAACATCTAATTCAAATATAAAACTGTGCTATTACAAAGTTAGCATTCTTTATGTGTACTGCCTTCCAAATGCCCTGATATGGCCGAGAGTCCACTTTCCCTCTCCAAATGCTCTCACATGGCCAGCGAATATATGGCCTCTGCCAGGGAATTCCTACTCATTGCCTTCTCGCACCACAGGTGTTGTTTACGAAATTGAGAGGACGAAAAGAGAATGTCCGGCTCTTTAACCGGGTTGGTGGACACAGAAAGTCCACCTAGGGGAGTTGGAAAACCCTCATTCTAAACCAATGGTGCACATGAGCTCCAGTTTCTTGAGGGAACAAATGGAGTATGAATCAATCGTCGGTCACTGTCTACCATGGGACTGCATCTCCTCACGATGCTCCACTGCCTTGTGGGTTAGACCTTTGGGTCAAAGGCTCCGGTTTTGGTCCCCTAAGAAAACCATCTGCTTCGGTTTGGGCACCCGGGCAGTATCACAGCCCTCACACAAATAAATGAAATGACGCTTTCTGCTCACAATGCTATTCTCGCTCCTTTATATGTACTTGAATCGCTGTCAGTCTAAATGTTAAACAGTCAGTAAACTACAACGTAGGACCAGGCACATGCATGCATAGGTCCAAGTTGCCATACCTCATTAGCAAAACAAGATGAACACTGAATTCATAAAAGTAGTTAATTTATTGGTGGTATTACATAAAAGAAAGATTGTATACAAGGATACAGTATAGGAAGAATGATAGATATGAAGCAATTATAATCTTAAGGTTTAAGGGAAGATAAAGAGTGTATACACCTACGCCATTGTGATCGATTCTGAGCCATGTCACCTAGAGTCTCCAACTATTGGTAATGTTAAACAATATGACATCTATCCCTTCCATACATTATAAACATTGTTCAAAGTTGGACACAGATATTGTAGTGAACAAGAACAGTAGTTGGGGATAATCGAATCTATTTAAGTATACAATGAACAGTTAATTTGCAAAATAACCATCAACTATGTCAATCTTGACTGTAACTTCTGTAAATATCAGTCCATCTTCTCTAATTTTATTGTTCATGCATTTTCCTACCAATTGCGCTTCATTCCTGTTCTTTTCTTATCGATCTTCTACCAAAAGACATTCTATGTCTGACCATCATTATATACTACTTATGTGGATATAAGTAGACCATACCACAATATGATATTAATGAGTAGAGGTTATTAACTATTGAAATGAATGGATTATGCGGACTTTCAAACCTTCGTTAACCAATATCTGAGATATCATAATTGAATTATTCAACTTGAAAATCCAAGGTAGGCAAAATTGAGTTTAAGCGTGAAATTTCATATTTAAGAGTCGAATAGTTTTACTATTATGTCACTGCTAATATAAACATTTACCTAGTTATTGTGTAGTGTGGTCTACTTATATCCATATAAGTAGTATATAGTGATGGTCAGGCATAGAATGTATTTTGGCAGAAGACCATTAAAAGGAAAGAACTGAAATGAAGCGCAATTGGTAGGAAAATGCATGAACAATTGAATTAGAGAAGATGAATTGATGTTTACAGAAGGAACAGTGAAGATTGAGACAATTGGCTGTTATTTTGCAAATTAACGGTTCATTGTATGGTTATCAGAATTTAGTGAGATAGTCTGTAATTTGTGCTTAAATACATTCGATTGTCCCTAACTCGTGTTCTTGTTCACTAAAATTGAATTGAATCTATTTGTAATGAACAATGAAGAAAGAAAGGTCTTTATTTTGTTAAACTTACTTTAACATTTCATAATTATTGTCTGTAAATTTCACTGCATTTTCATACCAAAACTTTTCTGATTTATGAACAGGTGACCATTCTAATCGACCAGATTTTAATTCAGCCATATATTCATCAAGACTGCTTACATCTTGAATACTAGCTGATAATTTCTCCTTGAAAAGAAAAACAAACAGTGGAGTGTAGTAAGAAAAACAGTAATTGAGGAGCTGAAAAAGTGTCGAAAAACCTAACTGAAACTCAAGGTACATACAACACACATTACAACATTTTAGAGATAAAGTGTGGTAGTATATCATATACAACATAGAACCTAGGGTAAAAATGACTGGGTGACCGTTTTGTCCTAGTATTGAAATCCTCATCAGCGCGAGTTCACGATCACTCAAGTAGGACTCGAACCTAGGACCTTTAGTCTCACGCGAACGCTTAACATCTAGACCACTAACTGAAGCGGGATCCAACGATGTTATTGTCTAACTTCAACCAATGTATGATATTATGTGACCAGGTTCCATTTTCTTCGATGGGTAACTGCCCCACACTCAACACGGTTGAATTCCGCTGGTCATTTTAGTTAGTCAAGAACAACAATTTTATCTCTACTCATTAATCATTGCTGAGAAAACATTCGTAGTAGAGAAGCAGTAACCTATTTATGTAATTAGACTTCAGATCCAGCCTGGAATCGATAAATTTTATAGGGGTAAGGATAACATTAAACCAAAGAAACTGGAATCTGATTTTTGAGACATATGACCTACATGAAGTTAATATTGCAAATAACAATCTTTCAAATAATATTTATACAATTGATTTGGTCAGGAAACCAGCAAGTTCACATCATTATTGCTTCCGAAAGGTTGTTCACATACAGTGGCGACATGTTAGTTGTGTCGAGGTCCAGCAATATATGTTAAAGTGGAATGATGACAATGGCTCCAAAACACTGGTTTGAACATATTTCATAATTATCGTTCCAGAGGCTTTCAAAACACGTATTATTTACTGAAGCTGGGACTGAGTAAAATAGCAGAGAGACGATCATTTTAAGACATGGTGTGAAAGAAAACTGTATAGGACTGAGAAACTTTGGTCAATCATTACTCCCCGATTAGAGTTCTAGAGATTATACAACTACTCAGTCATCATTCACGGCTCAAAATAGAAAAAATTATAGTAACCAACCACTAGTTCTCTGTGACACTCTTCATTTAACACTAATATAAAACATTTCAACTGGAAATAGAATCTTTTAATTGCTCGATTTTGCTAGCCATTAGGTAGTAGTAATAACACTGGCCTCTTCATACATATGAAGTCTGACTCAAAGTCAAGAATGAAAATATTTATATCGTTGATATACTAGTAGCCAGTCAGTTAAGTAAAATAGAACCTGGTACATATATGCATCAGTTCAGATTGCTACACAACATTAATACAGTGAGATGAATTTATCAAGATAATAGAGGCATGAACAGTGCCACAGAGAGAGAGAGAGTAGAAGAGATTAAGCAAAAACAATCTAAATTGAGAAGTAAGAATGAATTCATGGTACAAAACAGTACAAGATAAATTTAAGAGTTTATATCTAAGGAGAGACAAATAGTGAATATATCTGTGTCGTTTATTCATATGAACCCATAAATATTGGTACAAAGGGGCAACAGATACATATGCGCCACACAATAATAATGAAAATGTGAAGAGATAAAGAATGTAGGGTGCGTGTAAGAAGCAGGAGAACAATAATGAACAGAAATTAGTGTATGATAGTGAAGTAATAATAACAGCCAGAGGGAATTCTTCCAGTTAAAGAAGTTACGTCCTATTTTATGAAGAAAGTAAAATAACGTTACAACAGGATCACAACTGGTTTCTATTCTGAGCCATATTTGATAACGTCTCTAACCAGTGTTGCATCATCTCTACGACCCCAACCAAAGTGTCGTGAAGGACCAATAGAAGCCAGTCCTGTAAGGCTTTCTTTCATACCACAATACCATGTCATACACTGACCACCTCTCCGCTTTTTCCAACCAGTCCCAGCGTCGCCAAATAATGCACGACATGGAATTCTCTGGGACGACATTCGTAGAATATGTCCATGTCATTGTGACCAATTTTAAGATATTTTAAGACATTTTACAACCTGTTAAAAATCATATCAACAAATACAATGCTCTTGATTCCTTTGAATTTGTCGACTCAATCAGAAATATCAACGTAATGGGTAAGAAAATGCTCTCATTAGATGTTACGTCGTTGTTTACAAATGTTCCTCTCACAGAAACTATTTGTTTTTTATGTGACTATATTGAAAATAATAATCTGGAGATATGTATCCCAAAACACTATCTTAAAGAACTACTCCTACGATGCACGCTCAACGTACAATTTAAATTTAGTGATGGTTTCTATAGACAAACAGATGGAGTTGCAATGGGCTCTCCATTGGGTCCTCTTTTGGCTGATTGTTTCATGGCCAACCTAGAAAATTCAGCACTTCGTCCAATAATCGAGAAATTTCATTTATATAAGAGATATATGGATGATACTTTCATTATTTGTGATGATGACATGGACCACAATGAAATATTTTCAATAACTGTCACCCTGCAATTCAATTTACCTTAGAGGCAGAATCGAACCACGAATTCCATTTTCTTGATGTCTGTTTGAAAAGATTGCCTGATGGTTATTTACAGAGATCTATGTATAGAAAACCCACTTGGAATGGACAATACACGAATTTCCATAGTTGGGTTCCACTGAGTCGAAAGAGGAACTTAATTCACTCTTTATTATCTAGGATTAAGCGAATCTGTTCTAGTGACACAATAAATGAAGAATTACTTCATCTTCGACAGACCCTCATCTAAAACGGTTATCCACCGAGGTTCGTCGATAGCAACTTAACATCTAGACGTCAGCAAGAAATAACTTTGACAGTGCAGAAGAAAACCTTGTTTATGAATATGGAATTCAAGGGAGACACGGCTGCTGAAATCCTGAATAAACGGATTTCAAAAACGTTGAATAAAACTTTCTACACAGCCAAGCTCCGAATCGTTTTCTCTAGCTGGCCTACCATTCGGGGGTGTGTCAAGGATAAACTTTCGCTTTGGGCCACATCGATGTGTATTTATAAATTTACTTGCTCATGTGGAGCACGTTATATAGGCCGCACAAAGCGATCGCTTTCCAAACGTATCTCTGAACACTATCCAGCTTGGCTCCTAAAAGGTGAATGTAAAAAAATAACCAGTTCGATACAAGAGCATTTGATCAATTGTGGACACATTGCTCCAAAAGACACGTCTTTTAAAATAATCTATAGAGTTAAAGGAACCGGATCAAAGGGAGGTCGAATCAATATTTTATGCACTGCTGAGGCATTGACAATTCATGAATTCAAGCCTGAACTTTGCGTGCAGAAACGATTTGTCCAACCTCTTACCCTTCCTTGGCCCTAATTCCCTCATTGGGTACGTTTTTTGTATTTTGTACTTTTATCTGATTATTATCGGTTTTTTGTTTTTTAAATTACTTATCAAGCTGTACAATCGTATATATATATATATGAAAATGTTTTGTTAAAGTACTAATTCCGTGAGGAAATGTGAACACTAATAACCAAGATTATAATACTGGATTACGTAATATGAATAACAACAATAGATTTAGTGAATATAGTAAGACGGATAAAATGTTTTGGTTACAATAATTAAAGGTCATAGAGGTGTAAAATAAATAAATAAATAAATAAATAAATAAGGTGATGAGTATTCATGAATAAAATAATGAGAATATAAAACATAAGTAAAGGGGGAATGGAGTAATAATAATAATAATAATAAAAGAATGATAATAATAATAATAATATTAAGGCCATGGTAACGATAATGATAAAACGTACTTCTTTTGTACGCATAGTTCTGGTTTGAGCTCATGGATGGTAAGAGCTTCGGCTATTTTTAAAAGTTTGATCCGAAGAAATCTTGGTAGATTTGAACGAATCATATAAACAACCTTAAAATCAGACTGTGGATTCGTCGAATGATTACAGTCGATTAGGTGTTCGAGTATAGAACTTCGAACTGCTTTCTTTCCACCATTGTAGAACCAAGCTGGTATATGTTCTCGTATCCGGGTTGAAAGCGAGCGCTGGCTACGGCCGATGTACCTCGCTCCACAAGAGCAGGTGAACTGGTAGATGCACATGGAGGCGACCAAACGCGGAAGCTTATCTTTTATGGATACAGAAATTAAGTTCTTACTGGTGAAGGTTATTCGTAGTTTTGCAGCGTTAAATGTCCTTTTAATCGTTGTTGTTAAACGATTTTTAATTATGTCTTATGTTCGATCACCTTTAAATCCCAGACTTATATAAAGGCTTTTCTTTGGGACTAAATAACTAGGATTCCTATCGACGCTACTTCTATTCATATTCTTTTCTATGAATCGGTCTGGGTAGCCATTTTTCAACAAAGTTTTTTTGAGGAACGCTAGTTCTTCGTTAATGCATTCCGTACTACATATCCGATAGCATAAAGAATGAATCAAATTTCTCTTTCTACTTAACGGAACCCAGCTATAGAAGTTGGTTAGTTGGCCGTTCCATGTTTGCTTTCTAAAGATAGATCTTTTTAAAAAACCATTTCTTCTTCTCAATAGATGTACATCAAGAAAAGAGATTGATTGGTCTTTCTCTCTTTCTAATGTAAAGTCTATGGAAGGGTGGCATGAGTTAAAGGAGTGTAAGATATCGTCCAAATCAATATTATCGTCACAAACGATAAATGTGTCGTCTATGTATCTTACGTATAGTTGAAATCGACTTATCATTGAACTGAGTTGATCGTTTTCTAGTTTTGCCATGAAGCAGTCTGCTAGAATTGGACCTAAAGGAGATCACATTGCGATCCCATCTCTTTGTATATATATATTTCATTGTTGAAACTGAACTGGACATTAAAGGTACAACGTAACAATAATTCTTTTAAGTGTTCAGTTGGAATACCTAGAACTATGTTGTTGGAGTCTATATACTCACAAATATAACATATAGTTTCCGTTAACGGTACACTAGTGAATAAAGAATTAACATCAAGTGAGAACATGTGTTTTCCGGAAGTATTAACATCCTTAATACGATCAATAAATTGAAAAGTATCATGAATAGAATATTTAGATACTTGCCTTCTAACTGGTTCCAATTTTTCAGCTAACCATTGGGCTATTCGGTGGTATGGTGAACTTGAAAAAGATCTATCTTTAGAAAGCAAACATGGAACGGCCAACTAACCAACTTCTACAGCTGGGTTCCATTAATTAGAAAGAGAAACTTGATTCATTCTTTATGCTATCGTATACATCGGATATGTAGTACAGAATGCATCAACGAAGAACTAGCGTTCCTCAAAAAAACTTTGTTGAAAAATGGCTACCCAGACCGGTTCATAGAAAAGAATATCAATAGAAGTAGCGTCGGTAAGAATCCTAGTTATTTAGTCCCAAAGAAAAGCCTTTATATAAGTCTGGGATTTAAAGGTGATCGAACATCAGACATAATTAAAAATCGTTTAACAACAACGATTAAAAGGACATTTAACGCTGCAAAACTACGAATAACCTTCACCAGTAAGAACTTAATTTCTGTATCCATAAAAGATAAGCTTCCGCGTTTGGTCGCCTCCATGTGCATCTACCAGTTCACCTGCTCTTGTGGAGCGAGGTACATCGGCCGTAGCCAGCGCTCGCTTTCAACCCGGATACGAGAACATATACCAGCTTGGTTCTACAATGGTGGAAAGAAAGCAGTTCGAAGTTCTATACTCGAACACCTAATCGACTGTAATCATTCGACGAATCCACAGTCTGATTTTAAGGTTGTTTATATGATTCGTTCAAATCTACCAAGATTTCTTCGGATCAAACTTTTAAAAATAGCCGAAGCTCTTACCATCCATGAGCTCAAACCAGAACTATAAGTACAAAAGAAGTACGTTTTATCATTATCGTTACCATGGCCTTAATATTATTATTATTATTATCATTCTTTTATTATTATTATTACTCCATTCCCCCTTTACTTATGTTTTATATTCTCATTATTTTATTCATGAATACTCATCACCTTATTTATTTATTTATTTATTTATTTTACACCTCTATGACCTTTAATGACCTTTAATTATTGTAACCAAAACATTTTATCCGTCTTACTATATACACTAAATCTATTGTTGTTATTCGTATTACGTAATCCAGTATTATAATCTTGGTTATTAGTGTTCACATTTCCTCACGGAATTACTACTTTAACAAAACATTTTCATATATATATACGATTGTACAGCTTGATAATAAATTCGTTGAAAAGAGATCCCTTCGCTGAAATCTGTGTTTTAATTTTAATGTTTAAATGGGAATTGTATACCAATTTTAAATTACTACTTTACATTTAATCTCTAATCAGTTATTATTATTACCTTATACAAGTTTTCTTGATTATTACTCAGATTATTATTATGACCTTTGTGCTTGTCACTTTTCTTCATATCTGTCAATTGAACTATTATCTGACCCATAAATTATTTTCTCCCTTACCCCTTGATTAGTACGCCACCTCATTTGTTATTTATTGTCGAATCAATTTTGTAATGCAATCTTTTCTAGCCTCCTATAGACATTTATTTTCCATATTACTATATATATACGAATGTACAGCTTAAGTAAATGATTTCGTCGAAAAGAAAATTTTCTTCGCTGAATTCTCTTTTTCATATCTACTTCTCTAATCATTAATTACAATAATTACTCATACTCCTTACCAATCAGTATGAACCTAATTCTAAATGGCCCAATTCAACAGTTCATGACTTCATAGATTAATAACACACCTTGGTTTCACCCAAAAACCAAGTATGTATATAACTACATAGTTGGTATACAAATAGTACTAGAAATATTAAAACTACTTGACATAAAAGCCACAAAGATTGATAAGGAGAGCCAATCAGAAGTGACCTGATGGGAAAATGCATTTCCTTGGTTAAAAAATGGATTAATTTCCTAAAGATTGGAGCGGTCTACATATGAATGAGTATTTGTACATTTTATTCGGTAGTCTAATACACTTTCTCGCTCAAGTAGTCATCTAGGAGGGGCAGTTAGCGCATAGCACATTGTGTATCAATATCAAATTTCGGACCTCGCCCATCACAACAAAGATAGCATGAGACTTCACAGTAACAGAAAGAATTAACTTACATTTAAGAATGAAATATCTTCAGTTAATTCAGGATCATGACTAAAGTCTTTTTGATTCAGTAATTCTAATTCTTTTAAGACTTTATATTGAACTAAACGTAAACCACAATCTCTTTGTTCAGCGTTTGTAGGCAATTTTTCTAAAATACTCTGTAAAAATAGTTTTATATGAAAGAGGACATTAAGGAAAGAAATAAGTAGCGTTTCTTAAAGCTTAAATATAAAAAAAAGATAAAATCATTTTGGTTAATTAGGGTCGTGAATGTATTGAACATTAAGCATAGAGCGTTAGCTTAAGAGTTATTACTGTACATAGATCCCAACTATTGGATTAAAGTTTGGGATATGCCTACAACAATTGCTGGTCACTGGCTACCATGGGACTGCATCTCCTTCAGCGCTTTGACCGGGTCGATGGACACGGCGAGTCCACCTAGGGGAGTTGGAAAACCCTGATTCTAAACCAATAGTGCGCATGGGCTCCAGTATCCTGAGGAAACAAATGGCGTATGAATCAATCGTTGGTCACTAGCTACTATGGGACTGCATCTCCTTACGATGCTCCACTGCCTTATGGATCAGACCTTTAGGTCAAATTCTCCGGGTGTGGACCCCTAAGAAAAACACCTGCTTCAGTTTGGGCACCTGAGCAGTATCACAGCCCTCACACAAATCGAATGAGATTTGTGTGGCGCATATGTATCTGGTGTCCCTTTGTTCCAATATTTATGTGTTTAAATAAATAAAATAATAATATAAAGCATAAAAAATAAATCACATAGCAACAATAAGATACTATAAATTAGCCAGAATCAACTAACTTACACGAAAGAATGCCAATGAAATTCTAGTAATTTTTTCCCGATCTGCTTCAAGGAAAATATCAGCTACAGTGGCCAATAATGCAGAATTCTTACATATAACAGTTACATGAATTGAATCAAAACTCATACACCATAAACAAAAAATTAATTGATATTGTAATTGACGACTAGTTGATTTTTCTTGCAAAACATCTCCAATGCTTTACAAATAAGAAAAAACAAAACAATTATAATCAAAATCATTAATACTGGACAATAGCGAGAAGGTATTCAATTATTTTACTTCAAAACGAGAGTTTAGAGGTCAGTCAGTCACAACGTAGAACTTCGTACGTACATCAGTTCGGGTTGCCACACCACATTAGCACAGAGATGCAGTTGTAGATTCAAATCCCATAGTGGTAGAAGTAGTAAGAGTATAAGCATTGATGTGAAAGATTAGGGTTTGAAGATGTTACTCAAGGAGTATGATCCAGTGAAATAAATTTGGAAAGAGAAAAAAGAAAGGGACATGAAGAATCCAGAAGTTTAGAATTTGATAGAACATTAAGAGTGGATGCACCTTAGCCATTGCAAACGATTTTGAGCTATGCCATTCAAGGTCCCTAACCACCGATTGCTATCATCTCGCGGATCCCAACCAGGTAGTCTACACTTACCAACATAGCTCAGTTCACTTGTCAGTGACTCCATGGATTTGTGCGACGTTTTGGAGAGTTTATAGGTATATATCCGATGGAAAAGAAAGGTAAATGAGGTAGTAAAATGTCTTAATAAGATATGTACAGGGAAAAATTATCGTAACGGGTCAATGATTATTATAATTAAAAAGACATCGCAATAGTTAGAATATCATTATTTTAGTAAGACTTGAGATATTTTGCAAGGAATTCAGTAAGGAATCGAAAAATTACTTTTAAGCAATTGATCTTAGTTACAAACATGACAAGATAACCTCTACAAATAAAGTAATGCATTTTAATTAGTAACAATAATTAATTCAATTGTGTAGTTGATACAACTCACTAACCAAATACAAACATGCTTATCTATTGATTTGACATATAGTAGTATTGTTAACAACAGTCTCTGACCTTTTGGAAGACGTCATCTCTTTGCCATAAACAGATTTATGTACTCGGCTTTAAGCTATGCTGTGTGAGGGATAGTGTAATTACGAACATATCCAGGTCGAAGTAGATGAAAAGTGATTCAAACTTGGAGCTTACCGGTTAAAAGTTAAGTGCTCCTAACACAGCAATTAACCATTAAACAGATTAAATACATTCAAAAACTTCTAGTAAGCTCGTCTTTCTGTAGAATAAAACTCAGAAAACATTTAAGAAATAGAAAGTTTGTTATACAAGCAGTAACAAAGAATGAAGCACAAACGCACGTCTCGATTCCTCCGACCTTAGCGAATTGAGTACGATACTCTCTGATACGAAGCATCATTTGAAGATTTCGAGCCACAGTTTGGTCATACTGATTATTCTGTAAAGAATAAGAAAAACAACCATTAGCTCATTGCGCAAGTCAGAAAGAATTTTAATTTAATACGTAACGATACGAATTATTTGCTATGTACAAGATTATCTTGGCTTTAGGTCCAACTAATGGCTGTACGGTTAGTGAAACTACTTGACTGTTTGAACCGAAGTGGGTGTTGTGTGGCACCGAGCATGAACAAAAATGTAGAATGTACATTACGATGGAGAAATATAAGTAAGATATATCCTCCTCTATCTGTAACAAAGGAACACAATCTGCCTTTAAAGTATCACTGAAGGGGGAATTAAGATGAAATATTAAAAACAGGGAGACTATAAGACTACTGTTTTGCTTATTGACTGATGATATGAGTTAAATTTATTAGTCTAAATATTTGTTCCAAAGATTATAGTAATCAACGATTTGAAAAACTGCACCAATGTGAGGTTTTTGCTTTAAACGCATCACAGACCCTTATTTTCAGTACTTTTTCCTTCTTATTCTACAGCAAAATTAATGACTTGCCATGACCATAAGTTAACTGCTGACCGGTTCAGGCTAAAGAGTTTAGAAGCGTATAGGAGTTAAAACGAAGGTTCGATAAACTACATACAGATATATTAACCATGACTTGCATGGACAGAGGATATTTGTATCAGAATCTACGTTCATCATGAATAATTGAAGCATCTCTAGTGTGGTTTACTATACACCGAAAGACTTGGGAAGTTAGACACATTTACATTACCTTACCGCATGTAAGGTGATTTAATCATGGTATATAGGATAGTAAGTAGAGAATTTGGATCAGAAGAATCCTCTCTGTAATTCAAACAGGGAAGGAGAGTTTAAAAGTCAAAAAGGAACAGAATTTTCATGATACACAGGTTTTCCAACTGCGTGATTAACTCTCGGAACCTATAACCAGAAGTGGTGTTCGGACCCATGATCACTTATTCAGGAAGTTAGACACAAACAGGGTTACTAGAATAGGACTAACACAGGCTCCTGAACTTCTATTCTCAAAGTGTAAGTTTTAACCTGATGTATAATAGCTTCGATAACTTGAACTATAGATTTACCTATCAGATTCTACGGTGCAGTTTAAACAGAACTGCAGGAGCAAGTGACGAATATTTATGGACGAGCTGAAAAGCTGAAAATCAGCTTAAGCTTCAGAGCAAAATGCTGTGTACAGGTGATACTCTCTAAGGTGAAAAGAAGCTTACGGTTATTGTCAGTTGTTCACGTAGCCAATTTAAATAATAAATTAAGTCATTTTCCTCCATAAGTTGAGAAGACCAACATGCGAACTTTGCTATTATCCGAGAAGCTTGGTACATACAGAAAGGATCCCCTCTTTGAAAAAATCCGAAAAAATGAGACCAAAGTGATTCTTTTGACTTGGAGAAGTAATCACGAAAGATTTCAACACGCAATTTGTCTTCCTAAAACTCAATGGCTAGTGAATTAATAACATACCTGAAGCATATCATCAATAAGTGTAAGGATATATCGTAATGTTTGTTCTTTCGAAATTTTATTTAGGATGAATATAAAAACCCTAGCGGTCTTTCGAACAATAAGGGCTGAAAAAGCTCACTTACCATGTTTTCATCAGCCCTAATTACATGATTTCGTGCTTCCGCAGTAGGAGCATTATCAAGTCGTGTTATGAATGAGTACTGTTCATCATTAATTATTTGTCCTCTGAAACCAAATTGTACATACACACATTTAAGAACTTACTGAAGGTAAGATTGCCAGTTTACTCGTGTTGATCTAACCTCAGCTGCTGTAGCCTGTAGAAAGCTGGTGGTTGAACCGACTAAATATGAATCAATATATGAGAATGAAACTACTTGACGTGATATCTTCAATATTACCAACTCGAGCGTATTCTAACGACATCCCGGAAATTTCAAAACAGCCACCGAGATATATTCAATTTACTATGGATCAGTGTTTGGTCGAACCACATTAAAAAAACTTCAAGGCTGCACTAAGCGTGGGTTATTTGAAGACCAATTGCTGAACCATTGTCTATTGTTCCTGTGGATGTATTGTGCTATCATCATTTTAATGTCATGTTTACCATATTTTATCTCTGTAATTATCAGGCAATGACTACATAGTAGCATTATTCATCGTGCGTGATTATTATTAACTTTGAAAACATCGACGTTATTTTATTTAGTATCTGTCAATGCCAGACATTTCGGAATACCGACTCGGAAGTGCATGTAGAATAAATAACTCAGATCAGTTTTCAGAAAAAGTAGATTCTGAGGTTGCTACGGCGGATCCATCTAGTTCAAATGCATTGAAACTTGGAGAGTGTACAGTTCCAGTTCAAGAATTGCAACATGTAATCAGTGATAAACCATCTTCTGACGATGACGGTTCTAGCAACAATAACTCAAATATGGAGGAGGTCACTTGCTGTTGTCACGACGTTAAAAGTAAGTTAGTTACATTAAGTTTGGAAAAATCAATATATATTCCTCTTGTCTTGGACATTTTTGCTAAGTATAACATACAGACAGTCTTCAGTTAACCATTCAAATTTGCGGTTATGCCTCGTGTCCTCTGCGCAAGATTTGAAGCTCAGTGACAGATTGCTATGTTATAGTGAACTAAACAAATATCAGAAGTAGATTTGAAATCGTGCTTAAGCTAGATAACAATATATACATGTTTTCAAGCTTGAATATGCGGTAAAGTGCTTAATGTGACTCAATACGTAGTCAGTTTCGCTTCGTGAGACTAGATTGTTTTCCTTCACCCCAATCCTTTGAATTCCAATTCCACGTTTCTTAAGTTTGTGAACATTAGGTTGACGAAGCATTTCATTACAAATGAAATCAGTTCGTGATGAAAAATTACCCTAAGGTGTGAAACTATCTCAGACCTCAAGCTTAACTCGTTATACCTTGTCCTAATCTTTTTTCATTATCTCAGGTGTTAATTGGTGATGATGACCCCATGGGGTGCTAATCCTAACTCATAACACTTTCCCTAGTCCTATTCTTCAAAACCTATCCTTTTTCTTTTACTGCAAAAAATAAGTCGACATTTAAGAATTAATTGTTAAGACCAGAATTATTATTTCACTGTTGTAATATTGCTTTTTGTTGTTAATTCTTTGTAAATAGTCTCTGTTCCCTGATTGGCTGACAGCGACATTCCATTTAGGTCCGAAGGCGAAGTCGTACTGCTGACTGTACAGAGGTGTGACAGCAGTAAGGTGTTTCCTTCAGACAACCAGCATGACAGCGATGCTGCCTTCCCACAAGGAGGGGTGGGGTTAGAAAAGGTCGACCCTAAAAATGCACACCTTGCCTTATCCCACGGATATCCGTCTCCGACGGTAGGGTCCTTTGAAGAACGGAGCTAACACAAAAACTACCCACAAAAAGGTCGTGTGTGACCGACCTCAAGCAGTTGTCCCTTGGGCACTGCGGTCACGCTCTCAGGTCATTAAGACCAATTCAGCACGGATTCAAAAAGCTCGTTTAGCTTTTGCCAACTTACGTCACCTATGGCGAACACGAAATATCCGTCTATCAATTAAGGGACGAGTATACTGCTTAGCAGTTCGCTCTGTTCTACTTTACGGCTGTGAAACATGGCTATTAAGAGTAGAAGATACTGGTAGGTTACTAGTATTCGACTACAGATGCCTTAGAAATATTGCTCGCATCTACTGGGATAACCGGGTAAGTAATAGTGAGGATAGACTCATGGTATTAGGGAATGATGGTAAATCAGTTGATGAGGTGATGAATCTTCATCGACTGAGATGGTTGGGCCACGTATTACGTATGCCTGAACACCGATTACCACGACGCGCTTTCTGACTAGTATTGGGGATGGTTGGAAGAGAGTTAGGGGTGGCCAAACCAAAACATGGCATTAGAGCTTGAAGTCACTCACTTCTAATGTGAGCCATGTTGGTAGATACAGACTACCTGGTTGGGGTCCGCGTGACTATCGTAACCAATGGTTGGAAACTCTAGGTGACATGGCTCAGAATCGACCACAAGAGCGTGGGTATATACACATTTTATCTTCCCTTAAACCTTGAGATTAAAACTGATTCATATGTCTTTCTTCCTATACTATATCCTTATATACAACCTTTTTTTATATATTACCACCACTATATTAATTACTTCTATGAATCCGGTGTTGATCTTGTTGTGCTAACGAGGTATGGCAACTTGGACCGATGCATAAATGTGCCTGGTCCTACGTTGTCGCTGACTGACTGACTGGCTGACAGATCGTTCAAGGTCGTCAGTATATTATACCTATACTGACGTTGTATGGCAGTTCGAACTGGTGTACGTACGTACGAAGTTCTACACTGTGACTGACTGACTGACTGACTATACTAACGTTTCTGAACCCGGTGTTTTTATGACTTTGTCTTTTCTTTTATGGATTTCATTTTACATTAGCTAAACTTCGTACCTACGCGTAGTGCATGCTCGGTAATACTGTTACTCCAGCACTTTGTGTGCTCACTCACTAATACGAGTATACCTCCGATATTTAAGGGTTATTAACGATCATGTCTCTTTTAGTTACTATTAGAGTTCATTAGGGAATTCTCGGCACTAATAAGTCACTTGGACTCGGGGCTCTAACGTAGTTTTTGGTGGGTTTAGAAACAAGATGTATTTTCGTTTCACAGTGCTACACTGTTTACTGATTATGTAATTTCCATTTTCGTGCATTTATGCTAGTAAGAAGTTGTTATACAATGAAAATTTTCTAGAATGATAAATATTTTTCGTTTCATGTTTTATGAAGTGGACAGGCGAATGTTCATTGCTAAAGTCATTTTTTGTTTTTATGTTTCCGATTTTGTGAAAATTGCCATTGATCTGTAAATGTAAGGTGTTCATTGAATATTAGGTTTTCCCCACTTATTTTAAAAACCACAGATGACCTTAACTGTCATTTTCATCATGGGAGTCCTCTGAACATCATGTATTACTGATCATAATTTAATGTTTTTGCTTTGTGACGAGTCAACGAGGGAGAACACCACCATCTTCCGTTTGTAAGAATGTAAACATCCGTAGCAAATGGGAACGGTTTATCTTACTGGCTGCTAACTTTGAACTGTATAACCTAGCCCCATATAAGCAGTTGTTAAGCAATATCTAGTTTTTTTGCTGCCTTACTACCCACCCCAACACACTGAGGCAAAAATTTATAGGTCCCTCACTTGTGCACAGAAATTCACCCCTCAGAATCAACAAATTGAAGTCCGATTTCCAGTATTTGTTTTCAGTATTCGATGTTATTTTACGGGGTACATCGCATATTAGTATTGAAACTTTTCAGTGTTAGCCAGATCGATTTGTTGTTTGGTGTTCATGATTTATTTATTTATTTAAACATAAATATTGCTACAAACAGTCACCAAATATATATGTGCCACACTTCACTCGACTTGTGTGAGGACTAAAATACTGCCCGATCACCCAAATCAAAACAGATAGCTTACTTAGGCGGCCACACCCTGAGCATTTAACCTACACGTCTGATCCACAAGACAGTGGAACAACATTTGAAGATGCCGTCCCATGGTAGTCCGTGATCAACAATAGGTTGACATGCCGTTTGTTCTCTCAAGATCCTGTAGTTCGTATGCAGTATTAGTTTCTGATCAGGGCATTCCAAGTCCAATAGCTGAATCCTTGTGTCCACCAACCCGGTTAAAGCTATGGACATTCGCCTTTCTTCCCTTTAATTTCGTAAACAACACCCTGTCGGTGAGTAGGACTTTACTATCATTGGTTGTATGCACGTGGCGATGTGAGTGTATTTGAAGATGAACAGCTGACTCTCTCCACTTTCGACTATACCAAGGCATTTGTAGACACGAAGTTGCCAACTCTGAAGCTGTTTAATTCATTTTGGTATTCATTAAGTTAAGCTTGTTGCACGTCGATATACGGCTCTTCAAAGCCAACCTCTTAGGATCCTAATACTGTTTGCACATATCGAAACCTGTAGAAAAAACGAACCACTGAGAGGAGTTTAAGTTGAAGATTAACGTGAAAAGAATCATTAATTTCACGTATAACAATAGTACAAACATGCGAAACCAACTCGCTTATAAAACTATAATCTGACACCGTAAGTCTGTTTCAGGAGCTCCGCTAATATTATTTGGGGTTAGAGTTTTTGCATGGGCTATTATACTTGCTGAATAACCAGATCGACTCAGGTTTTCGGTGGTAGTTTTAGTCGACTTCAAAAGAATTTCGGCTTATATTTAAGGACATTGATATGTGGTCTGGTGATAAATTACACGATATTGAATTGGAAACTGAAGTATTTTAAACACTCATAAAATAATAGCTTAAATATTCCCCAAATATCTATTGTTATCATTATTACTACTATTATTATTATTGCAGATGAATGCGGTATACTCAATGATTCAAATTCATCATCTTGGTTGCGACGTCTATTTACGTCAAGTTTATTTAATTTAGATATGACAATTCAATATTTATTTAAATCAGATGATGTAAATGTACAAATGTATTTAGGTAAGTGTGGTTTATTGATAATAATCAGTAGTAGGGTCATGGAAACATACTAAAAACTCATTTACTAGGCATTTGGGTATAAGCCACGTTAAAAGTGCAAGGACTACTGACACTACCCGGTTCCCCTAACGGAAGCTGATGGAGTGGAGTTCAAACCATTGTCTTACTGACCGAAAGTTAAGCACCCTGACCAATAAGTCACCACTCCACGAGGTAACCATCCAGTGATCAAAGGTTTCCAATGGATGTCTAACTTAGATTGGTTCATGATCCAGTAGCTGAATTTATAGTGACAATCTATTTATCTCTAGTCATATTAACTGCCCAATGATCATTTTGTTTTAAACTTTACGTTCAAGCCGATTGTATCATAATGATTTGTAAATTAAAGGATTGTTGTTTGTGTGATTACAGTAATTGGCTTTTAATAACTAGGTTGCAGGTTCTAACATCGCTCTATCTATTTCGGTTTGGGCAGTGAGGTATGGTTCAAAGCCTTATTGATAAACATGCACTTTATAAATGTGAAACATTTATTCGATTTACAAATTATCCATTCTTCATTATTACCATACCATTTACTATTCAAGTGGCTTAAGTACTAGAAACAACTTTAAGTTTTAATGAATAAAACATGCAAAAGATGGAAATGTACACTTAAGTGTCAAATCTCTTCATTTGTCTAAAATATACGCTTATCAAGCCCGAAATACAAGGATATGTATCCATATTTATTTATTTATTTAAACACATAAATATTGATATAAAGGGGCACCAGATATATACGCGCCGCACAAATCTCATTTGATTTGTGTGAGGGCTGTGATACTACCCAGGTGCCCAAACTGAAGCATGTGGCTTTCTTAGGGGGCCACACCCCGAGCCTTTAAATCAAAGGTCTGATCCATATGACAGTGGAGCATCGTGAGGAGATGCAATCTCATGGTAGCCGGGGATCAGCGATTGACTCATACGCCAGTATTGGTTTGGCATCAGGGTTTTCCAACTCCCCTAGGTGAACTTTCAGTATCCACCAACCCGGTTGAAGCGCTGGACATTGGCTTTCAGTCCTCTCAATTTCGTAAACAACAGTAATGCCACGAGAAGACAGTGAGTAGGACTATATATAAATACTTTCATTACCAAAACAATGAAATACTATTACAGTGATCCATTAAAGGTTTCAGTATATATTCTATTGTATATGAAAAAATTCAGCTGTTATCAGTCCATATACATTTTTCATATTCATTTTTTCTTCACTTTATTAACAGCTGATCGATTATTCGGTTTTCCAGAATCTGATGTAGACTTTTATCTATTACAACTTGTCTCTCTTTATGAAAAATCGCCTTCATTAGCAGAACACTTAACTAATTATTTCATATACCGGTAAGTGTTTTCTAATTTTTATGTTGGCGATAACACACGTCATATTTTATGGTGTGGCAAAAAACATGATATCGAGAGGGGTGGTCAGGAGTAATTTTCTGTTAGTGGTGTACTCTCTGACCCGGATGATTTTATTGTGAAGCTATCATTATCTATTCAGGTGTCATTGTTAATTGCAGCCGAAAAATAAGGTCATTGAGTCTCTTTCTCCATAAACATTAAATTAGTTCATTCTAATGACCTCGTCTAGTTGTCCTTAAAAGTATCCAAATTGATTGCTCCACTAATTTAACATCTGGCTATTCAACTGGTTGACCTCCATTGTATAAACTGAATCTATGAATCAGAATCTTTACCGATTGTTTCGATGAAATTAACATCTGCACGGATCAGTATTAGAGATAAAATATTTTGTTGCTTGAAGGGTATTTCTTGAGGGACATGAAAAGGAAGTTAGATTAATGTTGGTCTTAACGACCCGGGAGCGTGACCGCAGTGCCCAAGGGACAACTGCTTGAGGCCGATCTCGCACCGCCTTTCTGTGGGTTTTTTTTGACGTGTTAGCTCCGTTCTTCAAAGGGTCTTACCGTCGGAGACGGTAATCCGTGAGGTAAGGTTAGGCGTGACATTTTTAAGGTCGACTTTTTCTAACGCCTTCCTTCCTTATGAGAAGGCAGCATCGCTGCAGATGCACGTTGTCTGAAGGAAACACCTTACTTCTGTCACACCCCTCTACAGTCAGCAGTACGACCTAACCCTCAGACCTTGAGTTGCTGCTTATAGTCTTACCGTTCTCCAATCGACCTGCCTGGTATGGTGGAACCTACAGGAACATATGTTCCAGCCAATATAGCTCGGTTGGGTCATCACGATAGGCAAGCCCGACCACCACGTCAAGCTAGAAGCTACGGTGGAGAATGGCGACAAAAATCCATATGGGATGTTGAAGTATGCTATTTTTAGATTCAAAACCTACTTTACCCTGATACCTTCAGTTAATGTTTTTTTTAGCTTGTTTGTATATTTGACTGTTAAAATGAAAGTGCTTTAATATTTCTAAATGCATGCACTCCGTTAGTGCTGATCAAATTCTGTCGATCAACATAGGGGTTATTGAATGTTATTGGTATCATGAACCAATTTAAGTTAGACATACATTTAAAACATGTAAGCAATGGACAGCTATTTCATGCTAGCATGGAACGTCTTAGCAGCGAGCCTCCATGACCATAGGAGAGATTGAACCCAAGACCTTTAGTTTTGTGGTGAACGCCTAACCTTGAGACCATTGAGTTGGTGTCTTATGATATACTTGTCTAATTTCAATAAATTGATGTCATAGTTCATCCACCTTCCTTTGTATTTTGATGGTTACTTCCTCACATCTAAAACGGTTGAACTCCACTAGTCATGGTTTCTCTGTCAAGTTCCATGTATATATGTATATATTGTCTTTTTTAATCCACTATTTCTTCTTTTTTCTTCTTTTCTACCTTCTAAACATCTTATTCAGATGTACAAAATCTGTTTCATTTGCAATAAATCTTGTTTGGTTATTGGACACATTCAGTTCACATTCATATAATCCATTGAAACGTGTCTCATCAATTCTACTTAATCGTCCATCATCAGTGCCAATATTCTCTTATGTATCTAATCAATTGTATTTAATGAATTCCAATGATCATTCTCAATCAATCAACAATAGTAAATCTATGAAATTAAAATCCAGTTCATCGGCTATTACACCTTTACAAGAATTAGATTGTCATCATAATGATAACATTGGTGGTGAAAATGACAATACAATTGTAACTCCCACTCCTATTACAACTTCGACAGAATTATCCAATGATAATCGATTTGTGTATACTGCACAAACTTTACGGGATTTATTACTACCTATTGATGAGACTACATGGGGTAGTTTTATTCCACAGTCGATAGTCAATGGAAGGTGTGTGTGTGTGTTTATGTAAAGTTACCATTTTTCCTATGTTATTGACTAATTTCTGTTCATTTAAACGTTTTTTCTAACCTAAGAAGTAGTAAGTGTATCGATACATTATAGTTCCAGGTTAGTATTATATATTGCTCGCATCTGCTGGGATCACCGGGTAAGTAATAGTGAGGTTAGACACAGGGCATTAGGGATTGATGATGGTAAGTCAGTTGATGAGGTCATGAATCTTCATCGACTGAGATGGTTGGGCTACGTGTTACGTATGCCTGAACACCGATTACCACGACGTTCTATGTTGACTAGTATTGGGGATGGTTGGAGGAAAGTTAGGGGCAGCCAAACCAAAACATGGCATCAGAGCTTGAAGTCACTAACTTCTAATGTGAGCCATGTTGGTAAATGCAGACTACCTGGTTGGGGTCCGCGTGACTATCGTAACCAATGATTGGAGACTCTAGGTGACATGGCTCAGAATCGATCACAATGGCGTAGGTGTATACACTCTTTATCTTCCCTTAAACCTTGAGATTAAAATTGCTTCATAACTTTTTTTCTTCCTATACTATATCCTTATATACAACCTTTTTTTATATATTACCACCACTATATTAATTACTTCTATGAATCCGGTGTTGATCTTGTTGTGCTAACGAGGTATGGCAACTTGGACCGATGCATAAATGTGCCTGGTCCTACTTTGTATCTGACTGACTGAGCTGTAAAACGTAATCTTTAGGATTAGAGGACATTCGTAGTTTATTAGTACTGCCTGAATACGTTTGGACTATCGAGTAAGCGATTGTTGGGACAAGACTAGATAAAGATAGGAAATCAATCGTCAGTGTAATGAATCTTCATCGACTGAGATGATTGAGGTATGTATTATGTGTGCTCAAACACGTCATATCTCACAGTGCAATGCTTGCTGGTGCAAGAAGTTTAAAGTGACTGGAATTAGTCTATGAGTTCATTCGCTGTTGAACTGAGCCCTGTTGGTCAGCCAGTCAGTCACAACGTAGAACTTCGTACGTACGTACATCAGTTCGAGTTGCCATACCATATTAGCACAGAGATGCAGTTGTCGATTCAAATCCCTTTTGGTAGATGTCGACTATCTGGTTATGATGATATGAGTCAGAGTTTATGGTATTCATCTTGGAGATTTCTACTCCCCATACTGACTAGTAGGAACTAGAACCGATGCACATATAGGCTAATTTCTACATAGTATCTAACTGACGGATACAACATATTACGTTGGTCTATACTATTACTGATTATTATAAAATAAAGCAAGAGTGAATTAAGCAAACCGTTCACTTCATACAGATCACTTTACCATGTTACTTTCGTATATATATTTATTTTAGCTCCAACATGGGATCGTATAATAATGTTAATATTCATCATACACATAATACTTCACCATTATCTAATTGTAAATTATCTCCAAATATTCATTATAATATCGGGCATAAACGAAGTACATCTGACGTAACAAGTAAGTAAGATATTATTCAATTACTTAACCTGTTTTATTCCATTGATGAATTATTTTATAGTCAATGCTTAAATGAGTTATATTCTGTCACTTAAATCACTAACTGATCTTAATTAGATAATCATTGAAAGCTAAGAAGTAGTGGATAGCTGTTACGTTCTAATACGGAATCCTCAGCAGCTTGCATCCATAACCTCATCAAGGATCAAATCCAGGCCTCTCGGCGAATACGACCTTAAGACTACTAAGCTGGAATCTAATGGTGTACTTGTCTGGCGCAATAATGTACAACCAACTTCTAATTTTACTGATCGGTAACTGTCTCACACGTGGCATAATTAAAATCCACTGGTAACAGTTTCTCAGTAAAATTTCGGAAATTATCTCTTAAAGTCAGCCACTAACGTGGACATAATAACTACCATTATTGATATATGAGATTGCTGAAGATTGTTAACTTTCGAAGTTTACATGAAAAAACTAATCTTAGTTAGACTGATATTGTAAACTAAGAATTTTTGTTTTCGTGCCAAAAGTGCTCATTTTTGACCTTCATATCATATTTCCCACTTGGGAGGATCTTAAACGCTATTAGTTCATTGTATCTTTTAGTATGTTATTTTTGTAACGTCCCAAGGACAATTTTATGCTGTATATATACGTTTGATTTGTGCCTGTTGTGATTGCTTGTGCTTCTGACTGCTTTCGGAACATATTTCCTCACTTCGAACTTGGACTTCCTGCTCCAGTTAACGGGGCTAGGAAGCGTCAGAATAGCTAGCTTATTGGTCTTTGATCACAGAGTCTTTGATTGTTTTTAGATTAGGGAACTAGTAATCGCTTCAAATATAACTATTTCTATTGACTATATGTGGATTAATAATTAGTTAGTTTTTTAAAATCATTGTACGCCACTTGGTTGTACTACCCATCTATGTTTAATTTCAGTAGGTAGTACGACGATGTTTAAAGCTAAAACTTGTCTTAAATTTATTTATTCATTTGAACACATAAACATTTGTACAAGGAGGCACTAAACATATATATGTGCCACACTTCATTTGATTTTTGTGAAGACTGGAATACTGCTCGATCGCCCAGACCGAAACAGGTAGCTTACTTAGGCGACCACACGCTGAGCCATTGACGTCTAATCCACAAAACAGTTGAGCAATGTTAGGATATACAGTCTCATGATAGTCGGTGATCAACAGTAGGTTGACATGCCGTTTGTTGTCTTAGGATCCTGTAGTTCGTATGCAGTATTAGTTTGTAATCAGGGTATACCAAGTCCAATAGCTGAATCGTCTTGTCCACCAACCCGGTTAAAGCTATGGACATTCAATTTTCTTCCTCTCGATTTAGTAAACAACACCCTGTCGGTGAGGTATTCAGTAGGACTTTACTGTCAGTGGTTGTATGCACGTGGCCATGTGAGTGGATTTGGAGATGGAGAGCTGACTCTCTCCACTTTCGACTGTACCAGGGCATTTGGGGGCACTTGTTTTAAAAGTGGATGATTTCACTTTTAATCAGTCGAACAAGAATGTATGTTTGTGTTAGTAAATTCCCGTCCTATTTTTAAAATTCTAACAAGTACACGTACACAGGTTAATTAGGTTTCGTACACAAGGCTTTCTTATATTATTGCTGAATATCATAACTTTAGACCATAATGTTCCACATTTTTAATTTCAGTCGTAACGTTCATCTGACAGCGGTTAGTCTCTGATGAAAACCATCATAGAACTGATGTAATTTCTACAAATATTTAGGTAAACTGTTATTATTGTTTGGTCGATGGGGTTTATATAAGCTAACCTAATTTATAGTTGATCTACGTAACAGGTACTCAAATCAAAGCTGGTGGCTTTCTTAGGTGGGTCACTCCTACAACTTTTGACCTAGAAGCTTAATCTACAAAGTAATAAAACGACGTCAGTAGATACTATACCATGATAGCCTGTAGCCAAAATAGACTCGTGCTTCATTCGTCCCGTTGGTATCCTGGAGCTTCTGTATACCTTTAATTTAAAATCAGGGTTTCACAACTCCTCCCTTACAAACCCTTTAAATCGATTAACTTGACTTAAGCGCCGGTCCGTCCACTGTTCGCTTTCTTACTTTCTAAAAAAACACCCTCTCCATCTAAAGTCAGTCAGTAGAATTCCCCTGACATAAATACATGATTGCATGACAACTTTTCAAGGTAGGGAAAGTGGATTAACCCCACCCTCGACCATAGCAGGATATTTAGAGGAATAAACACCACATACAATAAATATTTTTCTTAGTTTTTTTTCACTATGAACGTTTTATTATGATCTATAACACAAGCTTATCCACTTAGAAACAGGAAAAATCACTAAGAGAAATTAAAATTTAAAAAAAAAAAATCAATAAACGTTTGTGTGTTAATTACCATTATTATTGTTAATCGTATTCCTTCTACCTTTTTAATTATTGTCATTAACACACTGGTTCATTCTTATTCTTCTTCTTCTTATTAATTGTTTGTTATTCGTGTGTGTGTGTGTGTTTGTGTTGGTGTGGTAACAACGTGAAGAATCGATTTTATTGAAAGTAATAAACACATTTGTATTATTGTGTATTTAGGAAACATACATACGTACTTATGTATATTTGTGACGGTAAAGTAAACCTCAATCTTCATTTATCGACATTAGACAATCACCTGATAATGAAGTGGTAATTTAAAATAATTCTACACATATCTATGTGTAGCGCTCGAACATTGAATGATCATTGTTATCTTATCAGGGAAAGCTAGCCCACCGATTCTTCGAATATGAACGACACTCTAAGTGTAAGAGGTAACAATACTAATCAGTTACTCACATCTGATGTAAATGTTGCTGGGTTCGAATATGAGGTTTAATGGATAAAGTTTGAATGCCTTAACTACTAAGCCACTGCTTGTAAAGAGAAACCGTAGAAGAATAATGATAGTTGAAGAAATTAATGATAGAGAACATAATTTCAAAGCATAAAGAGTGGATGCACCTGTACCTCGAGTAACTGATATTGAACCATATCACTCGTTGTCTTCAACTATAGATCATATAAATGTGAGATTGGTAACTATTCTGTGACTATTCAGTTTTAAATATATCAGTCCTATGAGGGATGAGTAGCAGCTTGATTAGCTCATTGGTAACATCTTCGACTGAATCTGGACGATACGGGTTCAAACTCCATCGATGGGACGAGTTCCTTCAAAACTACAGGTACACCTTATTGACGAGCGACAAATAGCACTTTAGGATTTAATTTGTCCTGCAGATATTCTGTGGAGATTATGGAATTTTCGTAGCTTTACATCACAGATTAACTACAGTTGGGCACAATCAGTGAAAATTAGGACGGACTAGACAGTTGTTTTTCCCAGGTATAAGGCTCCTTAGCAACGCATATCTATGACTTCACCAGGTATGGAAGTCAGGACCTTCAGGTTTTGCAGATAGCGCCTATCCATCAGACCATCGAGCCGACATCCAATAGTTTACATGTGTAATTTCAATCAATTTATGATATTGCGCAACCATTATTCAATATCACTGGTAATTGACTGTCTCGTTACAATATGTTCGAACTCCACTGGTTACTGCTCCTTATTATAACTTCGGAAGTGACTTCTAAAAACTAGTAACTAGTAGCGCTGCATTTTCTGAGCTGGTTAATAGAATTACGATGATCTGATTATCATCCTACACAACATCGTCACTATCTACTTCAAACTAATTTCTCAATGGTAAGCTGAGTTGAATGGTGATCAGCAGTGAAATCCAGGACTCCCCTTTCTGTCCTATTTGGGACTCACTGGCTGGATATAGCTGTATCTACACTCCGGGACTCGAACCCAGCACCATTCGCTCCAAATGCTAACAATTCACCCACTTAACCACCTATTTCATACAGCCACTGGTTTATGCACTAGGTTGAATTTCGATTCATTTGTTTTGGTGCTTTGAATCTTCAATTGACTCATGATTTCAACTGTGAAAAAATACTAAGTTCTCCACAAAACTCCCTCTGATCTATAATCATATGCTCACTAGTGACTAACTTCAAGAGATATTTCCTTGAGTTCTAGTGGGAAGCAGTGGCCAGTGGAGTTCTACCAAGTCTGTTGTAGAGATATCAACTCACTGAAGACAATTGGTGAATGGTTGCTTAAAATCGTGGATTGGTTGAAACTAGACATTAACACCGTCGGATGCCGGCTCAGTGGTCTATCGGTTAAGGGCTCTGGCTCGAGACTGGTAGGTCCTGGGTTCGAATCTCGCGAGTTCTGGATCGTGGATGCGCACTGCTGAGGAGTCCTATAATAGGACGAAACGGCCGTCCAATGCTTCCAAATTTTGCATGGTGGTCTAGCTTCAAATGACTCATGATTTCAACTATGAAAATACTAAATTCTTCACAAAACCTGCTCTGATCTATTTATGTTTTTCTCTAAACTGATTATAAGTTTTTCAGAAGGGGGTTTTGTGGAGATTTTAGTAATTTTACATAGTTAAAATCATGAGTCAATTGAAGCTACTAGACCACCATGGAAAACCTGGAATCACTGGACGCCTGTTTCGTCCTATTGTGGGACTCCTATAAGTTTAATTCAATGTTTAATTGAAATTACATTCCATGTTTCATTTATAGTCCGTTGCTTTTCATCATTCTAATTATGTTTTATCTTTTCAATACACACACACATACATACACGCGTACAGGTTCAAGAAATTATCATTATTATGTTGATAAGTCCAGACATCGTGTTGTCATGGATCAATTGGATCTAATTAATAATCCTGAAACTAATCAATCCATAGTAACAATAACTTCTAATCAAAATCGTTGGTCTTCATCACAAGATTCAGCTGTTTGTTTATCAACTGTCGACGTCATAAATGATGATGTTGTAAACAATCCAATAACAACTACTTCTAATGTTGTAACCAATCAAATATCATTAAATTCAATATGTCCTATAATAAATCGTTCTTTATTAATGAATGAAAATCGACATTCTTTACATCAATTACATTTGAATAATCTTGATGAAAATCCACTTAAATCAAGTATGAGTATGAATAAGGTATGTGAAAGTGCTTTGAAACTTGTTTTTTTCCTGGTTAAAAAAATGTACTTACTTATTTACTTACGCCTGTTACCCCTCGTGGAGGAGCATAGGCCGCCCACCAGCATTCTTCATCTAACTCTGTCCTGGACAATCGTTTCCAGTTCTTTCCAGTTGTTATTCATCCTTTTCATATCTGCTTCTATTTCCCGGTGTAATGTGTTCTTTGACCTTCCTCTTTTCTGCTTCCCTTCCGGATTCCAAGTTAGGCATTGTATGGTGATGCACATTGGTGATGTAGTTTTACTAAATAATTATCATATAGAGATTATGTTTATATTTTGGATATATTTGGATAATTTGAAGGTATTCTACATACTTTGAGATCTAATGATCCTAGATCTTTTCTCAATTGAATCAGATATGGGCATTCGTTAAGAGTCGCAGACTAAAATGAAGCGATTTCCCACTTTTTTCCTCTTCCTTAATGTGTGTATACATTAAGCGCTCACAAAATACAGTGTAGTTTAAAGGAACCATATGATATGGTCAACAAGATCTTAATTCACTACAGAGTTAGCGACTTTCAAAAGTAATATTTGGCAATCGTTCATGATATTTCATTATATATTTTTTTCGAATTGATTAATCACTGGGTAATAGTGATCAAGGTCATTTTTTGTCTGGTACTTGAGGGCTGATTAAATCCTACTGATCAAGTTGCAATGTGGTCACTAGTTTAAGTAACTCGATATCTTGTGCACCACATTGATATATTAGATGGTTGTGAGTAGTTGACAGGAAACTCTTAACGACTGCTCACTAATAAATCAATTTTGCGAACGTATCAATTCCACAAAAGAAATCATTCACAACGTGAATAGCTTGATGGTAATGAAACTAGGTGATTAGTAGTCGAATCCACTGTGAGTCATTAGTTATCTCAAGGTTATCAATATACCTTACTGACAAGTGCCTAATAACATGAAACCTAGATCCAAGGAGTTTAGTCCGAAATGATACGCAAAACAAAAAGACGAAACAATCTTTTTAACATAATAGTTAAGATTTATTAGTATTAGGTCTTGTAAAGAAAGGGGGTGAAATTATAGATGATAATGAAGAGACTATAAATAACAATACGCTATTATCAAATTATTGGAAGGCAGCCATGATTGGCCTCCAAATGCCCTGGTACGGCCGAGAGTGGAGAGAGTCCGCTCTCCCTCTCCAAATGCTCTCACATGGCCACGCGAATATATAGCCTCTGACAGGGAAGTCCTACTTACTGCCTTCTCGCACCACGGGTGTTGTTTACAAAATTGAGAGGATGGAAAGCGAATTTCCAGCGCTTTAACCGGGTTAGTGGATGTGGAGTGTCTACCTAGGGTAGTTGGAAAACCCTCATTCCAAACCAATGGTGCACATGGGCTGGCTCCAGTATCCTGAAGGAACAAATGGCGTATGAATCAATCGTTGGTCACCGGCTACCATGGGAATGCGTCTCCTCACGATGCTCCACTGCCTTGTGGACTAGACCTTCAGGTCAAAGGCTGTGGGTTTGGCCCCCTAAGAAAACCACCTGCTTCAGTTTGGGCACCTGGGTAGTATCACAGCCTTCACACAAATCAAATGAGATTTGTGAGGCGCATATTTATCTGGTGCTTGCTTGTACCAATATTTGTGTGTTCAAATAAAATAAATCAAATGATTGATAATCAAGGAGCCCAGATGACATAAAATGCAAGTTAACATCATGATGGAGTATCATTGGAATTTTTTTACTTGAATTTGTAAACGACAGTGAAGAGATAATGTGACTGACAAACGTTAAAATAATAGAACTATTTTACTATGGTAACGAGAGATTTACCACAATTTTTTTCGGCATACTAATGTCAGGACGTAGGCGTTTAATGCTAATGACCTCTGTAAAACGAAGTAAATATGTTCTCTGCTTGTTAATTATTTTAAACGCTCCTGAATCATCTGCGTTATGTCCACTATTTATTGAATTTCCGGTGATCACACTCGTATATACTTCCTTTCAGACACAACTGACGGTGAATATGTTACGAAAACCTTATTGATGCACTTCTGCCATTCATTCGAATATACATGCTTCCACAACTATATGTAAATCTGTAAATAAATTTGGCAGTGACCTCAGATCCACTCTTAATTTTTCTAAGGAAAATCTAGTGTTAAACATCAAAAAACAAATAGGAGGGAAGCTATTTTAATCCTTTTATCGACCCTGCCTGATATCTTCTCACCTTTGAATCCAAGACGGATAAGGACTAGTTTTTGTTGACAGTTGTTTCTTCTGTACTTTCTGTACTTCATTATAAAGGGTGCCGTATAAAAAATGGGTATCCAAAGAATGGAACTCAAGCTCTATTCGTGACTCATCAGTTGGATGTACCTTAATTCCTGGGGAATATTCACAATGTCCGTCTTAATACAAACGCACACCCAATAAAACTAACCTGGAACGGCAACGCTAACATTGCGTATCCACAACTTCACCAGGGATCGAAGTCAGGATCTTCAGTGGATAATGCATTGAACATTTGAAGAGAATGACGACTAATTTGAGTCACTCTACGTTAGAACATCCATCGCCCCAAAAGGCCCTGGTACGGCCGAGAGTGTGGAGAATCCTCTTACATGGCCACGCTTATACAGCCACCGCCAGGAAAGTCCTACTCACTGCCTTCTCGCGTAGGGAGTGTTGCTTACGAAATTGAGAGGACGAAAAGCGAATGTCCGGTGTTTTGACTGGGTTTGTGGATATGGAGAGTCCACCTAGGGGAGTTGGAAAACCCTGACTCCAAACCAATGGTGCACATAGGCTCCAGTATCCTGAAAGAACAAATGGTGTATGAACCAATCGTCAGTCGCCGGTTACCATAGGATTGCATCACCTGACGTTATTACGCTGCCTTGTGGATCAGGTCTTTAGGTCAAAGGCTCCGGGTGTGACTCTTTAAGTAAACCACCTGCTTCTGTCTGGGATCCCGGGCAGTATCACAGATCACACACAAACCAAGTGACTTGTGTGACGTATATGTATTCGGTGCCCCTTTGTACTAGTATTTATGTGTTCAAATAAATAGATAAGAACATTAATACTGGAATGCGCTTGCATCCGACTGACATGTGTAGCAAGCCCATTCAACTACTGTATTTTTTGTGTGCTCTCTGTAATCCTAACATTTAACCCACTGTAAATTTATGTGTGAGTCTGATTGGGCGCATGTCTGCACATCAATCCCTAATTTGTTCTCTCAGTGGTTGTAAACAAAGACAATCAATAATTTATCCACAATCCATTAACACTCAAAAATATATATGGATTTTTAGCACTCACTCACAGACACTCACTTGCTTTCTCTGTGTGCTTGCTATCTGTACGCTTGCGGATTTTACCGTGCTTCATCAATAAACTATCTCTATAACTGGTGTTCAGGCTTTTGAATAACCTCGAGTAAACCCGTAATTCTACTAGGAGATTTAGCTTGCAGTAAATAATCAGTTAGCGGGATATTATTTATTTATTGGAGTCAGATATAGAGGAATTAATTCTTCTGCACATGTCTGAAATAAGATGAAACACAGTCTGAATTCTACTGTTACTAACTACTTTAATTTTTAGTCTAATCTATTTGTTTCTTTAATGATATTCTTGTTTTGCCAATGATCAAAAACACTTTTGATTTTGTTTATATACAACTAACTTCACCAAACGTGCACATATACATACAGACAGACGAACAGATAATGTTATAAGTTCAGTAGACAACTTGGAAAACAACATACAGCTTAATAAATTAAAGTTGGCACACTTCACAATAAACTACACTTATTACGGATCAATATAATGTAGGGTGTGATAACTATAACACTAATAATAATATAACACGGGTAAACAACTTCACTTATCTTGGAAGTGTGATCAGCCCTAATGGGTTGGTGTCTGACGAAATCTCATCACGGATTCGAAAAGTTCGTTTGGCTTTTGCCAACTTACGTCACCTATGGCGAACACGAGATATCCGTCTATCAATTAAGGGACGAGTATACTGCGCAGCAGTTCGCTCTGTTCTACTTTTCGGCTGTGAAACATGGCTATTAAGAGTAGAAGATACTCGTAGGTTACTAGTATTCGACTACAGATGCCTTAGAAATATTGCTCGCATCTGCTGGGATAACCGGGTAAGTAATAGTGAGGTTAGACGCAGGGTATTAGAAAATGATGGTAAATCAGTTGATGAGGTGATGAATCTTCACCGACTGAGATGGTTAGGCCACGTATTACGTATGCCTGAACAGTGATTACCACGACGCGCTATGCTGACTAGTATTGGGGATGGTTGGAAAAGAGTTAGGGGCGACCAGACCAAAACGTGGCATCAGAGCTTGAAGTCACTCACTTCTAATGTGAGCCATGTTGGTAGATGCAGACTACCTGGTTGGGGTCCGCGTGACTATCGTAACCAATGGTTGGAAACTCTAGGTGACATGGCTCAGAATCGACCACAAGAGCGTGGGTATATACACATTTTATCTTCCCTTAAACCTTGAGATTAAAACTGATTCATATGTCTTTTTTCCTATACTATATCCTTATATACAACCTTTTTTTATATATTACCACCACTATATTAATTACTTCTATGAATCCGGTGTTGATCTTGTTGTGCTAACGAGGTATGACAACTTGGACCGATGCATAAATGTGCCTGGTCCTACGTTGTAGCTGACTGACTGATGCGCCTGCTACACCTTGTGGAGCATAGGTCGACAACCAGGAATATTCAACCTATTCTATCCTGGACTCTTAATTTGTTCCCAAGTGCTATTTGTGCTTTTGATACGTGCTTCCAATTCCCGTTGGAATGTGTTTTTTGATATTTCTCTTTTCCTTTTACCTTGAGGATTCCTATTTAGGACTTGTTTTTTGTGTAGTTTGATGGTTTTCACATTGTGTGTTCTATCCACCTCCAGCGTCTTTTCCTAATTCCCCCTTCAACTTGAAATTGCTTGTTCTCTACTAGAGTAGGTTATTACTCCACCTAATCTCAGTTATTATTCACTCAAACTGTTTTTAGAGCATAAAACAGAGAACTGCACTATATTATAAAGCTTTACAAACGGTAGTCTCTTTACCAAATCTTTTATCAAACCGCATTAAATAACAATGATTAGGGTGATCATATCATAAATAGTTACATTCTTTATTCACATTAACATGTCATGATGCGCGGTGTCTGTGAGCCAATACTGACTCAGCAATTTTCTATATCCGAGCCCAAACCTGGTACTCGAGTTAAGAGTTGGAGTGAGAAGAGAGTTTATTGGCTGACCGAATCAAGAAATAACTGTATACTTGTTTATATATGTACAATCTAGATATATATCCCTTAGGTAGTTAAATGTTTCAATGGTTTTTGTCTCATCCCTTGGACAATCGCATACACTTTTCATCTGGTAGTTTCTGATTGACCTTCTGGTGTCATTCTGTATGTTGCATACATTATTCATTACAGGTTGTTTTTTGCAAACTTATCTCTTAGACAAACAAACAAAAATCTATTCGACAGAAAACTATAATTTTAATATTGTTTCATGTGATCAAGATACTCGAATTACAATATAGAGATCAATATAAACTGTGTCTGTTATCTGTGCCGTGTAAAATGATAGTTTTTATATCATAACGTGATTGATGTACCCTGTATTTGTGTTTCGACTTACGACTTGCCAACGGTATATGGGATGGGTCTGAATTTGAAAGTGTTCCACTCTATGGAAACCTTTGTCTTCCGTTGGAAATTTGATACCCACAAACACCTTTCGAAAAATAGTATCAGCTTCGATGTTTCGGATAAATCTCTAAGATTATGTGACCTGAAATACATGGCATCGATCACCAACCAGTGAACAATCAATTGTAAATTCATCTCAGTCCTACAGGAGGTCAGTCGCGGCCTGGATAGCTCAGTGGTAGCATCTCTGACTGTAAGGTTAGGTGACACGGGATCGAATCCGTCAGGGAGCATCAGTTCCCTCAAAATTACAGGTACACCATGTTGACGTGTGCCAAGTAGCTCGAAACCTAGGTCCGGGTTTCCTATTGACTACCTCCAACCACCATATTATCTTAACATAGTGGACGCAATGTCTAGTCCCCTAGACTAGTGGCCACATTGCAACTTGGTCGATAGGATTCGATATGCACTAAGAAGGACCTGACATACGTGAAATTGATCACCACCTAGTGATCAACCAGTTGTAAATTATATGATTGTGATAATAAAAGTTGCAAGTCGGTACTCAAATCGAAGAGTTGCTTCTTTTATCTATCCGAAATTCGACTCACCATCTTTGGGAATTGGGAACTACAATTATGATTGACTGACCGGTGAGGTTGTAGAGGATAATAGATAAAGTGATCTACTGCAAGAAGGTGAATCGAAGAAACTCCATATTATTAGACATTTTATTTCCATAGCGCTACACAATACCTCTTTGTACGTGTTCAAATTCTGTTCAATAGATGACTTTTTTTCTCCATGAGCTTTGTAGAGGCTTTTTTTCCATTTTCCGTTCTAAATTAATTCATTCCAAACTCATTTTGTTTTTGTTTTCCCTTCACTTTCTATAAATGGTTATAGATTATTACAAAAGAAATTCTACCACAATCATGTCTTCCGAAACATTCTCTTTCATCAGTTAATTTAAAACGATTAAATTCATCATTATGTATCATGAATGATGATACTTCTGCACAAATTAAATCATCATCATCTTTAAATCAAACTGCCAGTATTCCTGGTGACAGTAATAATCGTAATGATGTTGATCGCAGTTTATCTTCATATTCTACAAATAACATAACTTCCGACTTAATGCTTGGGTCTTTAGGAGGAGGAGGAGTACCTGTAGTTACAACAACAACATTCACTAAAACAAAGTCAATAAATGAAGGAAGAAACAATCCAACTCACACTATGGAATCTTGTAGTTCCACGACAGAATCGTCAAGTCCATTTGACAGTGGTTTGTATATGACAGCTCCCAATCGTTGTATTCATAGTAGTTGCGATGGTGTTGGTGTTGTTGACCATGGTGATGAAGATGATGATAACGATAATCATGATATTAAGTTGCAATCACCAGAGAATTCATTTCATTTACCACATTGTCCACATTATCACACTACTTCATCAGTGATGTATCGAACTTTGACATTACGTAATTATTTAGTCCCGAGAATAATTCCTGAATGGGATTTTGTTGATGGTCTTTTGAGAATAGCTCGTCGATTAGTACCAATTAGTCCCAAAGAGCAAAGAAGTAAGTGTTTTTTTCAAAAATTTTATTATACATTGAGTCGTTTCATTCACTAATCGATTTCATATATAAACCTGTGGTTTGTGTATGAGAAACAACGGATGACAGAAAACTGAATGATTACTTCTTCGTCTGAATTTGTTTACCAAGTAATTTTCAAGGATTCTCTTTTTAACTCAGAATATCTAGATAATATGATCTTGTTCCTTCCTAGGTAAGGATGGCAAAACGATTGATGAAGTAATGAAACTTCATCAGTCGAGACGGCTTGGACACGTGTTACGTATGCCCAAGTACCGACTGCCCCGACGTGCAATGTTTTATGGTGTAGGAGCAGGTTGGAAGAAAGTTAGGGGCGGCCAGACCAAAACGTGGCACAAATCCATGAAGTCATTCACAAGTGGACTGAGCCATGTTGGTAGGTGTAGACTACCTGGTTGGGATTCGCGAGATGATAGCAACCGATGGTTAGAGATCTTGAGTGACATGACTCAAAATCGTTTCCAATGGCGAAGGTGCATCCACTCTTTGTGTTCTACCAAATTCTAATCTTCTGAATTCTTCATGTTTCTATCTTTTTCTCTTTCGAAATTTATTTCACTGTATTATACTCCTTCAATAACATCTTCAAACCCTAATCTTTCACATCAATGCTTATACTCTTACTACTTCTACCACTATGGGATTTGAATTGACAACTGCATCTCTGTGCTAATGTGGTATGTCAGCCCGAACTGATGTACGTACGTACGTACGAAATTCTACGTTGTGACCGACTGACTGACTGATGATCTTGTTCACTAAAGGTGTTGACTAATGGGATTATAATGCAAAATTATTCCGAGATACATTCATTTTTCTCTGGATGAAAAGTGCTACTTTAGGACACCTCTACTTTAATGTCTAGCTTGACTGTAGTGAGTGGAGTAGTCGATCATGTTGAAAAACATATATTTTCAAAGTATCATTCAGTCACAGTACGTTGGTGAAATATTCCTTCAGTCCCTTTTCGCTTAGACAACTTGTGGTTCAGATGAAATGCTTGTCTGCAAATATACTATAAAAACAGTCCACCTAATATTGTTGTATGGTTGTGGAGTGTAACATTTGACGCTTGGTAACATGTGTGTCTCACTTATTCTGTTGGATATTTCTTCAGAAGATTGCACGCGTATGGCGGAACAACGAAGTTAGCAATACTGAGGTTAGATGTAGAATACTAATTAGAAATGCTAACTCAGTGAATAAGGTTGTAAATTGTTGACAGAGCTAATAGAGGCATGTGATACCTGACGTGCCATAATGACTCATATAGGTGTAAATTTATGGGTCATCTAAACGAAGACATAACTTCCATGGAGTAAGCCTTTGACATGTTGACGCATATCGTTACCATTTCGTCATTTCTGTCCATACCACCACTCACTGAAGCTCGTATGGAGTAAAAGATGAGTTTTACAGGAAGCTTTCTAACCTCTGGAAAGCCAGGCGCTCAGATATAGTGATCGTGCAAGATGATTTTAACACTCAAGTTATTGAGCGAAGCCAAACTGAAAATCACTTAGGTGAGTCTTATGGCGTCTCATCCCACGAACGGATAACGGTAAATGTTTGTTGCAGTTATGCACGTACAATCGCTTATTCTTAGCATATTCAAACTTTAAGCAAATGCAGAGACATTGCCTGACCTGGCAACTCTCGGTACCAACACAATGATGAGCACAGATCGATAATGTCGCTATCAACCATCGTTGTAGAAGCTCGATAGATGATACTGCTATTCCTTCTATGCTTGGAATCCGATTTTATCCAGATGAGATCGCACATTTTCATATTTTTCACTAGCCATAGAAAATTACAACACAAATATTCCATAGTTCATTTTATATTTATTTGTTTGAATCTTCCCATTGATGTTTAGGACTGTAATTGATCAGTCTCTTATTGGCATATTTGCATTCTATGTGGGTTGTCTCATTGTCGCCTTAAGTCACAAGCATTATAAGCAAAGATGAATGGTGGCTATCAGGACGCGCGTTTCGTCCTATTTGGGACTCGTCAGCTGGATGTGCCCGCGTCTCAGAGATAATGTTCACTCCAATATTCGGACCTAGTACTGTTTGTAGGAAGCAATTTCCTACAGGGGTAACTTTAAGCTATTCTCTAAACTGTTGAATACAGAGTCTTGGTTTCGCCAAAGTCGCAACAAGTAATCTATTTGGCTTAATAAACTTTATCTGTTTCTGAAACGTAAATTAACAACATTAGTATGCGAATAAACAGTAGTCTATTACATAGGGAAAAGATGAAATATAAATGACATACCGAACAGTAACTGGAGTATAGAAAAAATGAGTCAAAAGGGAGAATATTGTGTTAGAATGAACATAAAACTGTGATTGGTGATAAAACAAAGACAGTCATACAAGGTCAAAGAATTTAGTGCGGTGATGAGCGTTTCACTTATCATTGGTGTGTTCGCTTATCGATCTCACTTTACTCTGTTCGCTTCGAACGCAATTGCGTTATCCACTTAAGGTAATATCGAGACAGTCCGCACAAGATGCACATATGCTTATAAGAGACTGATCAATTACAGTCCTGAACATCAATGAGAAGATTCAAACAAACATTAAAAATGAATTAAAACTTCACCTCATCGCACAAGCTAGTGGCTGTCAGGACTCCGTAGCTAAGCGGATAATGCTATGGCGTTTAAAGTGAACGGTATGGGGTCCGAGTCTCAGATCGAACACCAACTCTGGGACGCCGACGAGTCTCAAGTAGTACGAAACGCGCGTCCTGGATTCCACTGCTAGCTTCACCATCCATCTTTGCTTATGAAGATTCCTTATTTATCAATTCGAATATTAAAAGATCAAGAATCCGTTCAGGAGAGAATTAGCAATGTACCTAGTCGATCATTTAGAATAAGTTCATCCTGAAAAAGCTTGGCATTCTATTCACACACCTGCGAAAACAACAGTGGTATCCGCTACGAATTTAAATAAAGTTTTAAAAGGGACTAGTGTATTTCAATGGCATCTATTGAATATGTTGAAATCGTGAGTCAGTTGAAGCTAAACCACCAGGGAAAACCTGGAAGCATTGGACGACCATTTCGTCCTATTGTGGGACTCCTCAGTGGCAGTGCGTATCCACGACCTCGCCTCGTGAGATTCGAACCCAGGATCTAGCAGTCTCGCGCCAGAGCACTTAACCGATAGACCACTGAGCCGGCATCCAATGGCGTTTATGTCTAACTCCAACCAATCCATGAAGTTGATCAACCGTTCACCAAATGTCTTCAATGAGTTGATATCTCACAACAGACGTGGTTTGAACTCCACTGGTCTATTGAATTGCTGATTACTCTGAAACTTATCATAACAGACTTGTAGTATGGTAATGAACAAGGACAATTCAAACAATGGTTCACGGTGAAAGTAAGAAATATGGAAAAGACAGAGACACCAGTAAACACTAAATTATAATTTTAGCAACTAATCAAGGGAACAGGTATTACAAAATGCACTTGTTAATCATGACATTATTATTCATTCTCAGTGTATGTGATCAAATCGATGGAAATTATTTTTTTTTATCATTCTAAACTTTTGCCATAACAATCAATTCATTCGTATTAGATTACATTACATACATTAGACCAATCACAGTCATATAAAACGTAGAACGTGACGTCTATGTGCATTGGTTCAAATTGTTAGGAAACATTAACATAATGTGATATATTTCTGTAATACATTCCAGAGTAGTAGAATTAATAACGGCATCAATAGTTGTTATAACTTGTGGCCGAGTGGATACCCAGTTAATGTATGACGTGTTAAGACCGTCAATCAGAGAGCAGCCAATTATCGATTGGAACAGTGACACACGAAAACCGTATGAATAGTCTCGAGTACGTATCGGTCATGCTTTCTGTCTAATCCAGCCAGTTAAGTCTAGAACATTAATAACAACCTCTGAGGTATGAATCATTATATTTCAAACATACTGAGTTTATATATCAACCAAACTGACCACATCGTACTATAAAATAGAAAATAATATTTGTACAATATTTAGCCAAATGTGTCTGTGAATGTGGGAGGCGGTAATTAATAGTCTAGGGATAACTCAATAATGGTAAATCGTCTAATAATAGTCTATCGGTCAAAATGAAGCTTATAATAAGAGGGACACGAATATGAATAGTTTAGTTATTTAGCAAATATATGATAAAAAATGTATGCACAATACTGGTCCACAATGGATCCCAAAGTTACCATTCAATATTGTTATCAAGATATAACAATAGTACTATAAAAGACTAATTATAGAAAATTAAAAAAATGTTCTAATGGAAGACAAAGAGCAAATGCACCTGATCCGTTTCAAATGATTCTGAACAATAGGTGACAATCATTACGCGGACCTCAATCAGATAGTCTACACCTATTAACGTGACTTAGTCCAATCATTAGTGATTTCATGAACTGGTGCCACATCATAGTTTGACTGTCTCTAACTGTACTTCAACCAATCCTCACATTAGACAAAGTACGTTTTCTGACATAGGTGGTGGTTGGGCATGTATAAAATAGGTTTCGACCATTTCAATTGATGAATATTCAATACCTCATCAACAACATATCACATATTATTACTAATCTTTATATGTACGATATCTTATTTATTTATTTAAACACATAAAAATTGATTTAAGGAGGCACCAAATATAATATGTGCCACATAAATCATTCGATTTGTGTGAAATCTGAGATACTGCCCGGTCACTCGAACCGAAGCACGTAGTTTTCTTAGGGGAATCACAGCTCGAGCCTTTGACCTCCACGTCTAACTCACAAGACTGTGGAGAAATGTTAAAAGATGCAGTTCCATGGTAGCGGTGACCAACAATAGGTTGATACGCCATTTGTACTCTCAGGATCTTGTAGTCCATGTGCAACATTGGTTTGTAATCAGGGTATCTCAACTCCCCTAGGCTAGACCCTCTGTGTTCATCAATCTGGTTAAAGCTATGGACATTCTCTTCCTCTCAATTTCTTAAATAACACCCCTTTCGTGAAAAGACAGTGAGTTGAACTACCCTGACAACGATTGTATACGCGTGGTCATGTGAGAGCACTTGAAGGGATTGTGGGTTTAATATCATACTATAGCTTACTAATGAGTAAATGATTCTACTTTCAACTATTAGGTTTCATATTCGCATCTCATCCTATTTACAACGATTTAATAATCAGCATAGGTTATATCATTCGTTTATCATACGTATTTATATATCACAACACTATTCATCATTCTTTATTTTAAATGGATTACTTACTATTGTATACACTAGAATCCAAAGATAATAAAATGATCAGTTTGACATTTTAATATTCTATTGTGCTATTATAAAAATAAATATTTCAATACTACTAAATCACTAAAAAAGTATAATTTAACTCGGGGTGGGGTAGATTCCTTTCCAATTAATTTCCCAACATAGTACCTGGATACTAACAATATTATTATAAATAAGAATAATATATATGTCGTATCTTATGGAGAAGGGAAATGACATTTTTCTGATTTTTCGTGACTTCATGTCAACCTTTTCTTTGAAGAATAAAGAACCAAATGAATTTAATTTTGGTATTCATTCTCTGAAGAAGCAGCTTAAACGGAGTCACGAAACATCAAAAAGTTTCATCTTTTTTATTTCTTGGGATATCGGCAAATATATGATTTTTATTTATAACAATCTACTCAAATACTCAATTTATTTGAAGTCATCAAGTCATACCTTGGTAATAATACCTACAAAATAATAATCTTGGCCCATTGTGTATACCTGTTATTTAGTCCCCAAATGCCTTGGCCAAGGTGAAAGTGGGGAGAGTCCGTTCTTCCTCTCCAAATGCTCTCATATGGCTAAGCATATATAACCTCTGCCAGGAAAGTCCTACTCACTGCCTTCTCGAGTAGGGAGTGTTGCTTACGAAATTGAGAAGACAAAAAGCAAATATCCGGCGCTTTAACCCGGTTTCTGGACACGGAAATTTCACCTAGGGGAGTTGGAAAACCCTGATTCCAAACCAATGGTGAACATGGGTTCCAGTATCCTGAGGGAACAAATGGCGTATGAATCAATTGTTGGTCGCCGGCTACCATGGGACTGCATCTCCTCACGATACTCCACTGCCTTGTGAATCATACCTTTATATCTAAGGCTTCGGTTGTGACCCCCTGGGAAAACCACCTGCTTCAGTTTGGGCACCTGGACAGTATCACAGTCCTCACACAAATCAAATGAGATTTGTGAGGCGCATATTTATCTGGTACTTCCTTGTACCAATATTTATGTGTTTAAATAAATAAATGAATAAACTTTTTATTTAACTGATATCTAATTGACGCAATATATCAAATAAAGATAGAATAAATGGTTTATGGATAACAGCGTAATCAAACATAGACGTTATATCTTATTTGAGACTTCTTAGTTGAATTTACCATTGTCAAAGTGTTAATGTTCTAACTCAATCGGTTTTACTTCAAATGCTAGCAAATTTTGCAATCACCTACTAACCTATTGAATGAATATTATATTTATGTTATCATCAGAAAAGGTTTGAATTATCCTGTTGTTAATGTTGAGAACTGAAAACATGTGTCGAAATGACTATATCGGGGCAGCAATAGACTTAGAAAGCATGTATATCATGAATGCATACTACTGAGGAGTCCCATACTAAGACGAAACACTCTACCAGTGCTCTCATGATTTCAGTGGTGATCTGACTTTTATCGGATCATGATTTCAATGAAATGTAACAATCTCTACAACCTCATGTTAAAAATACTAATAGCGTTCATAACAGATCAGGCTTTTTTGTTATTACATGTTAGTTCTTTCTTAAAGAGATAACATCAATGACTTTTTCGTAATTCACATTTCATCAATAACATTTACTATCAACTGGTTGGTTGTTATCGTTTTTAGTTTCGTAACTTTATTACAATTGTCCAGAGCTATTGCAATTTACTACAAAAACAGAGTTGTTCTGCTCAGGGTTTCACTTCCTCACGAAATATAAAGTTACATTGAAAGTCCTATCTTCTCTCCTATCGTGTAGATTACTAACGTTAAAGTGTTTTTGTCAGTCAGTCAGTCACAACGTAGAACTTCGTACGTACGTACATCAGTTCGAGTTGACATACCACATTATCACAGAGATGCAGTTGTCAATTCAAATCCCTTGGTGGTAGAAGTAGTAAAAGTATAAACAGTAATCCGAAAGATTAGGGTTTGAAGATATTATTCAAAGAGTATAATCCAATGAAATAAATTTCGAAAGAGAAAAAGATAGAGACATGAAGAATTCAGAAGATTAGAATTTGGTAGAACACAAAGAGTGGATGCATCTTCGCCATTGGAAACGATTTTGAGTCATGTCATTCAAGGTCTCTAACCATCGATTGCTATCATTTCGCGAATCCCAACCAGGTAGTCTACACCTACCAACATGGCTCAGTCCGATTGTCAGTGACTTCATGGATTTGTGCCACGTTTTGGTGTGGCCGCCCATAGCTTTCTTCCAACCTGCTCCTACAACAATAAAACATCGCTCGTCGGGGCAGTTGTGTGATACAGGTGTTCAGTGTGTTCGACTGCCTGTTAGTTGCGACTTATTAAAAGAACCCTCATTCGTCCGTTTATAGAATTTATCTTAAGTCAACTAGAAATCCTAAACGTACTTGCGAGATTTAACACTGGGTAATTGATGTTTTTTTGAGGGGGATCAATAAGAAATAGTAGTATAAATTTAGAATCATTTCAATGATCAAGGAAGAGCGAAATGATGATTTTGAATTATGAACTACCACTAATACTATGGCTCTGACAATGTCATTTCACTATACTAATGTGGGGTATAGCACCTTGAAACGGTTTATACATGTGTCATGTTGTACGTCGGTTATGGCTGACTAACCGATACACAACTGTCTACCAAGTTCTACATTGATTATGATCGATTGATAACAGAATAACTAATTGATTCATATACAATTTACTCAAATAACACAGTGTAATCGCTTTTCTCTTTTTTTGTCTGTGCATTTTATTTAAAACAAATTTTAGCTGCTCATTTACAAGCAGAATTAGCAAATTTAAATCTTCATTTACCAGCACGTGTATGGTTACCAGTAAATAAAGCTGGTCATATTGTTTTACGTATTCCACCAACTGCTGCTGTATGTTTAAACTCTAAGGACAAAGTAAGTCAACTGTGTATGTGTGATCTGTTGTCGTTGTTATTTTTGTTTTGTTTGAGTTTCTGTTGGAAAACTATCCCGTTTTGTATAAACAAAGATGGATAGTGACTAGCAGTAAAATCCAGTTTGACGCGCGTTTCGTCCTATTTGGGACTTGCCAGCTGGATGTACCTACATCTCAGAGTTGATGTTCACTCCATAACTCGAACCCAGTACCTTTCGCTTCAAATGTCATCGCGTTATCCACTCATCTACTGGAATACTGCTTAAGTGCTCAAACGAAAACACGTGGTTTTCTTATGGAGCCACTCCCCGAACCTTTGACCTACAGATCTAATTCACAAGACATTGGAACAACGTTTATAGATGCAGTCCCATGGTAGTCGGTGATCAACAATAGGTTGATACTCCATTTGTTCTCTCAGGATCCTGAAGTCCATGTGCAGTAGTGGTTTGCAATCAGGGTTTTCTAACTGCAATAAATGATGGATCCTCTATGTCTACCAACCCCGTTAAAGCTTCAGACATTCACTTTTCGTCGTCGTAGTTTCATAAACAATACGTTTTTGTGAGAAGGAAGTGATTCGAACTTCCCTGTCAGTGGCTGTGTACATGTGGTCGTATGAGAGCATTTGGATATGAAGAGGTGACTCTCCCCACCCTCGACCATACTAGGGCATTTGGGGATCTATCCAGACGTACACAATAATGCTGGCTGGTAGAATTATGTTACAAGAATCTATTGTAGATTAACCAGTACGTATTATCAACTTATATGGCTATGAAACATAATTTATGAAATTAAAAGACATGCGTAGGCTTCAAGAATTTGATCATAGGTGTCTTCGAAGCATTGCTCACGCTTCGTCGAACAACCGATTAAATAATGTTGACGTTAGGGATAAGGTATTAGACATAGATGACAAATCGGTTGGTGAGGTTGTGAATCTCCTTCAACTGACGTAGTCACATTATACCCAAACGCTGTTTACCTAGGTTGAGGATGTTTACTAATGCAGGAGTAAGTTGGAAAATAGCTAGGGGTTGCCAAACCAACATATAGTATCAGTCCATGAAGTCATTATTAGATACCCTGATTTGTATTAGTAGATCCATACTAGCTTGTTAGGATCCGTTTGACAGCTGCAATCAGTGGATAAAGACTTCGTGTGTCATCATTCGGAATCATTCACAAAGACATAAGAATAATCACTATTTGTCTTTTTCTAAATCTTGAACTCCAGTATCCATTCATACTTACCTTTCAACTGTGTATTTCCGAGTCATATTCCTAGTGTTCAGTCTTTATTATTACCATTGCTAATACACTATTTCTATCTGTTTTGGTATTCATTCTGTTGTACTCACCTCGTGCTAATGTAATATGCCAACTTAGGCCAACATACATCTTTGCCAGGATTCTACATTGATGATGATTGACTGACTTACTGGAATTTTCATATTAACGTGAATTAATAAGAAATAGTGGCTTTCAGATTCTATCAATTCGGATTAGATTTAATCCCTGTGCACATTCTTAATGCCTAACCAATGTGTCTTTGTGGTGATAAAATATGTGTAGAATGATGTCGGCAGAGACTTATGTGGTCTTGATGAAATGAGCAATTCAATTACTTAAAATAGACCTCTCTCTCTTGAATCCTTCACTTACCTTGTGTCTTCAAAATAATATGCGACCTGTCCAGGTGTCAACGACATATCAGAAGACGTTTACACTAATTGAAGTTAATTAAAAGATAACTGTGTATATCTTACGAAACTGAAGATCCTGGGTTCGAATTCCTTGTGTGAGGTTGTGGATGTGCACTGACGAGGAGTTGTATACTAGTATGAAATGACTGTCCAGTGCTTCCGCGTTTTCAACGGTGGTCGAATGCAAATCTGTTCATTTTTCTCTTCTTGTTTAAACTACCTGTTTAAACAGAATTATATTCAAATCCACTCATATTAATAACCCGACAGAGATTTTTGTTTTAAAGTTGCAACTTAGTAGTGGTTGAAAAATAAAAAGTTACCGCTATAATCATCACACTATTACTCGAGGCGGTCCTGAGTGCTATTTAAGGTTCAGGAATGAAAGTTACCGCCTTGTTGCTCACATTATGGAAATATATTTCTTCTTCGGAGTATCTCTGAAAAAGAAACTAAATTAGCAGTGTTGGGAGATATAACACAGATCCCAAAGAATATCTGCTTGAGGCCGGTCACATACAGACATTTTTTGTATAATCTCAGACGTACTAGCTCAGCACCTATGAGACCTTACGGCTGATTACAGAAATTCATGTGACTAGGTGAGATATGATTTTTTTAATATCAATACTTCCATCATAAAAGGGCAACACTTCTGCAGATGCTAGTTATTTGGAGGGAATATCTTACTATCATCACACTCCAGTATAGTCAACTATAAATTTTCTCCGTTAGACCTTAAGTCTATTACTTTAAGTCTTATCACTCTTCAACTGATCTCCTTGATAAGGTTGGTGATATGTCTTGTAGGTTTATTCGGATCCTAAGCTATTCCGATAACCCCAGGACTAGCACTACTCAGAATTTTGAAGACCAGAGAGAAGACACGGGTATCAGAGAAAACCTTTACTGCAAGGATCGTCTTTGTACAGAAAATCGTAGGTATTTATAGATGTTTGCTTAAGTTAAATCAACATCCTAATTCAGCCAATCCAATTAACGACATAAATTGCTACTGACCAATGGTAGCGTGCCACGTTGGAACTCCAGAATGTTATGTCGTACTCTGATTGGTTGGGGCTCTTTTTGAGCCTCTGGAGGCTCTGTTGGTGTTCGATGGAAGCCGACTTAACAGTTGGATTAGAGGGAACTAATTTTTTTAATCACCATGATGTTTATTTATTTATTTAAACACATTAATATTGGTACAAAGGGGCACCAGATATATATGCGCCACCCAAAAAATTGTCATTTCATTTAATTGTGTGTAGGCTGTGATACTGCCCGGATGCCCAAACCGAAGCAAGTGATTTTCCTAGGGAGCCACACCCCGAGTCTTCGATCTAAAGGTTTGATCCACAGTTTAGTAGGACAACATCAGGTGATGCCATCCCATGGTTGACAGTGACCAACGATTGATTCATTCGCCATTTGTTCCCCTAGGATCCTGGAGATAGCCCATGTGCACCATTGGTTTGGAATGAGGGTTTCCCAACTCCCCTAGGTGGACGCGTCGTGTCCATCAACCCAGTTAAAGCGCCGGATATTCTCTTTTCGTCCTCTCAATTTTGTAAGCATCACTTCTTCTGCGAGAAAGCAGTGAGTAGGACTTCCCTGACAGAGGCTGTATCCGCATGGCCGTGTAAGAGCATTTCAAGAGAGAGGGCGGGCCCTCCCCACTCTCGGCCATACCAGGGCATTTGAGGTCTATATACAAAAAACCTGTGACCACCACATTAAGGTAACAACTACTATTGAGTACCCCATATAATAGATTCTACTATTTCCATATATTCTTATAATTCTAATGTTTTCAATTTTGTAATTATCTGTTTACCACTGTTTATTTGTATATGTACGGGTGTGTGTGTGTATGTATGTTTATATGGGTATAACAACACTATTTACATGTTACACATACATCGTATATATATTCATTTCATCAAGTTCATATTATGTAATCTATGTAATCATAAAAATAGAATATGAGGTAATATTGATACAGGAAAAATACAGCAACAACAACAACAACCATCGAATGTTATTTTACTGAAGTTTCTTTTTTTCTTTTTTTTTTAATGTCAATATTATTTTACACAATTTTAAAAATAAAAAAAGGTGTTTATTCGAATCTGTTCGTTCAAAGTATCATTTAATAAATAAGCAGTGGAATCTAGGATGCGCGTTTCGTCCTATTTGGAACTCGTCAGCTGGATGTACCTACATCTCAGAGTTGATGTTCACCCTGGAACTCGAACCCAGTACCATCTGCTTAAAACGCTATCGTGTTATCCATTTAACTACTGAGTCTTGATAGCCATCTGCTTGTGCAATGTGGTGACGTTTAAATTCATTTGGTGTTGTTTACTTGTATTTTCAGGCCATATCGATTCAGTTCTCACAGGATGTACATGTGCCAACAAGAGACTAATCAATTGCAGTCTTAAGTAAACATGGGAAGATACATGTAAACAACACCAAGGGGAAAGAAACTATAGAAATCCTACAATCTCCACAAACTATTTACACTTATGATAATTATGTACTTATTGATAAAACCAAATTCAAGAGTTCTAATGAAAAACCTTGACTATTAGAGGTCAACCATACTCGAGTATGAGACAGTTATACGCGCTACATGCAATAGAATCGATGATAAGTTATCCAGCACTAACAGACTTGAGTCAACTGTAAATGTTTATTAGTCTTCGATAAAGTAGCTTCTTGCCTAGCCCAACTCGTTCCGTTTGGAACACAGTATTCAGCTTCTATTGTTAGAATAATATTTTTGTAGACATATATATAGATATATATAGTTTATATACAAACCGACTAGACTGAATCACACCACAAAATCGAAAATACTATACAAGATCCATTCAAAAATGGCTGTGAGTATAGGAGATAGTAGCTAACAGATTTGAAATAAATTAAAAATGATAAATCATACAGTAGTAGCCAGTAGATGAAATGAAGGCTTATGATATATATATATATATATATATATATATATATATATATATATTGACAGTCCATAAATAGTTCCTGCAGGCTACTCATAATTTAATCTTCTTCGGATACAACATTGATAACTTTAACTTGAAGCTGAGATAATCTTAACAGGTATTTGCTAGGATACAGTTTTCCCGTTAGCCGATGTAGATCAACTACTCTTAAGGTAGATAACTTCTGTTTGAATAGTTCAATCTAAAACTTAAAATCCATCTAATGATAATATGGGCTAATTACTTAATTGCACGTTAGTATAAATAGGGAACATACAATGTACAATTAGTAGACTATAAATGAAAGAGAACTGAATAACAGGTCCGTAATAAATGAACATTAAATTAAGAAAGGCCCCTAAATACCCTGGTACGTCCGAGAGTGGGGAGAGTCCGCTCTCTCTATCGAAATGCTCTCATATGGCCACGCGTATATAACCTCTGACAGGGAAGTCCTACTCACTGCCTTCTCGCACCACGGTTGTTGTTTACGAAATTGAAAAGACGAAAAGCGAATGTCCGGCCCTTTAACCGGGTTGGCGAACACAGAAATTCCACCTAGAGTAGTTGGAAAACCATGATTCCAAACCAATGGTGCACATGGGCTCCAGTATCCTGAATGAACAAATGGCGAATGAATCAGTCGTTGGTCACCGGCTACCATGGGACTCCACCTCCTTATGATGTTCCACTGCCCTGTGGATCAGACGTTAAGGTCAAAGGCTCCCAGTGTGGCTCCCTAAGAAAATCAATTGCTTCAGTTTGGGTACCTGGACAGTATCACAACCCCCACACAAATCTCATTTGATTTGCGTGGCACATATATATCTGATGCCCCTTTGTACCAATATTTATGTGTTCAAATAAATAAACATAACAACTTCTTACTTATACACTGTAAAAGAATAACCGATTGACACGGCGTATGATATCTTATCTCTATTTTGTTTTGATATTTACTAATGTTTGTTTTCCCTACAAATATAGGCACCATTTTTAATCTATGTGGAAATATTGTGCTGTGATGATCCATCAATTATTTCTTTACCTAGTCGACCATTAACAGCGGCCAGTTCAAAAAGTTCCAATTCATTATCTGCTGTCTATCCATGGAATTCTAATTTAAATACAGTAAGCATTTGTTGAATAAATGCATTTTCTACACCAAACTAGAATGTTCAAATTGAATAATTCAATTGAAATCACGAGCCAATTTAAGTTAGATCACTGTTAGAAACCAATTAGCACTGGACGGTCGTTTTGTTCTAGTATGTGACTCCTTAACAATGCGAACCCACGACCCCACTACAAGAATCTGACTCAGGACACTCAGTCTTGTGCGTACGCGCTAAACCTTAAAAAGCTTCTCGAAAAACTCACCTTTTACTCTGTCAAAAACATTGCTACATATTTAGATTTTTCTCGATTTTTTTTCTGCCACCGATTCATTCTACACGATAGTATATATGTGAAATTGTAGTTTAGAAGTTCATACTTTGACTGAGTGTTGTTGTAAAAAGCTACTACTTACGTAAGATTTTAAAATAATGAAGAAAATCTACACCTCAAGTGATGAGTTGTTTTTAATAGATAGTTCAATTACAGAGCTTTCATTGTCGTTGTGTGCAGCATCTCGGACGCCTAATTCATCTATAAGTAGATGTACGAGATCCTTTACTTCCGGGTTTGTGATCGATAATAACCGTAGAAAAACTCCAAGTGGACTTGGTTCACTAAACTGGTCAAGGATATTTAAGTTAGTGACTACATTTGTGTTTTGTTAGCGAGTTTCTTGTGCATATACACCAACCAATGACATGTAAGCTTTGGTTTTTTGCACTAACGATTACTAGATTCTTAGGAGATTAGAAATATCGTTTAATGTATAAGGATAGATTACTATAGCCACACTTTTTTCATGAATATAATCATTCTTGTTCACTTTACTCCTCTCATTCGTAATTTGTTTTCCCAATTTCCTGTTTATGTTCACTAAGCTTTAAAGCTCACTATTTCTGTTCAGATTAATAATATTACTACCTGATGGTTAGCCAAACCTACGTATTTTCAGTGGGGTTCGAACCATAAACCTACTGATTAAAAACCAACTAATCTAATCACAAAGGTGCAATAACAATGATTATCATCCCTGCTTCTCATTGGTAAATGACTCCACCTTTAGTGCTGGGATTAATAATACTCATTAATGGGGGGTACAAAATTAGATAAAATATCGTTCTAACCTAACTCTCTCTCTAGTTTCCCATTCATTCCCCAGAAGATATCTATTACATTGTTAAAACATTTTACGAAAATATTAATAAGCTTGTCATTGTGTAGATATTCCTGATTTCATTGATTAGTATGATATGACAATTTTGACATTTAGTCAGTTCTATTCTATGGTAACATAGAACTAGTTCATGTCCAAATAAGGGAGAATTTTTGTCATGGAAATGTCAAAATCTAGAATCATCGATACTGTTAGAGTTAATCCCGCGGACGGGATCGTGGATGTGCACTGCTGAGGAGTCTCACAATAGGACGGAACGACCGTCCAGTGCTTCCAGATTTTCCATGGCGGTCTAGCTTCAATTGACTCATGATCTCAACTATATAAAATAATCTCATTATTGTCTTAATTTCAATATAAAATTTTATTGTCCCTATTCCAATGTTTCTTCTTTCTTAATGTTGATATTTTTCGTTAATATGATCGTATCAATAAATCCTATCTATTTTGATTACTTTAATGTTAACTTGTCAATCTGTTCAAAAGTATACATTCCAATCCTCGGAAGTAGTATCATTCCATTCAAGATTTCACGTTCACTTTGTCCAACAAGCATGAAACTTAGGTAAATATCAAGGTTTTCTAAAATGGTCTTGTGCAATGATTATAAGCAAAGATGTATGGTAGCTGGCAATGGAACCCAGGACTCACGTTTCGTCCAATTTGGGAATCATCAGCTGATAGTTTCTCCATCTCAGAGTTGATATTCACCCCGGGACTCATACTCAATACCTGTCACTTCAAACATTATCGCGTTATTCATTTAGCTGCTAAGTCCACATAGTCACTAGTTTGTATAGTAGCTAAGTAGATAACGCAATAGCGTTTGAAGCTAACCATACTGGTTTCGAGTCCCGAAGTGGTCGTCAACTGTGAAATGCAGATACATCCAACTGACGAATCCCAAATTGGACGAAACGCGCGTCATGGATTCCACTGATAGCGCCACCATCCATCTTTACTTATAAAGCATGGGACTTAAGGTGATATTGAGGCGATCCGCACATGATGCATATATCCCAATAAGAGACTGATCAATTACAGTGCTAAACATCAATGGAAAGATTCAAACAACCTATGTAAAAATGAATTGGTCTTATACATTGCTTTATCTCATTGTTAAATTTGATTGAAGCAAGAACAATGAACTCGGTAGAATAATGTCAATTCATTTTTACTTCATGATTTCTCTTTAGCAGCTCATACAACCTAAACCCATACAACCTAAACTCAATAGTATTAATCATTAAAAGTCGATGTTTATCAGAAATGTTCTCACCAATGAAAACAATGAATATTAAAGTGGTGTTCAAACGGTCTAGGGTCTTAAATTCCATTACCGATGCCGTTGGAGATACCCACTACATAGCAATGCCACACTAGGGCGAAACAATTGTTTAATGGTTGTCTAACCAAGATTAGTTCATCATATAAGCCATGAATATTCATCTGTAATGTGAAAATTTGGAAGAAAAGTTTTGAAAAAACACGTCTAGACAGGTAAATGAAAAAACTGATATTTAAATTTATGTTAAGGAGTTCCAAAGTATTCCATGGAAAAGTCCATTAGTACCCAAAAAACACTGGGAACATTTTATCCAACCAGCGTTCAATGGAAGCTTCTTACAAACTCCTAGAAAGTGAATAGTTATGTGTCGCGTTTCTGATTAGATATTTATCTATACTGTTGCTACTACTACCTTCAACTAACTTATTTGAGTATTATCAGCATGGATTTTGTGGAGACTCAGTATTTTCATAATTGAAAGTGTGAGTCAATTAAAGCTAGACCACCATAGAAAACCTGGAAGCACTGGATGACCGTTTCGTCCTATTATAGGACTCCTCAGTGGCATTGCGTTTCCACAATGGGTATACTTTATTACAAATCGTTTGTTTGTGTATAACTTATGTTACATAACTTTATTCATGTGTGTTTTATTTCTTATTTCTTTTAAATCCTTCTTGAAAAAAAAGGGTTATCTTTCATCTGCTGAAATGACAGAAAATCATGAAATCAATGTAAATACACATACATCAGATGAACTAAGTCTTCGTTCTTCATCAATATCATCTAATGTTTCATTAAGTGATGAATTAATAAATTCTACAGAATTGAATCATCATCAACATCATCATTATCATTTAACTATAGATGAAACTAATGAAGAAAAAGATCCTACAACCAAATCAACACGTAATCAATACGAAGTTAATGAAACTATCATTAAAGATGATTCTTTCACAACTACTGATTCAATTACAGTAACTAATACTACTAGATCTAAATCTCCTATTTATATTGGAGCTGGTGAAATACGTAATCGACTTAAAGAACAATGTGAACTTCAACCTCATAGGTCGTTTAGAGTAAGTACATTTGTATATGTAAATATGTAATCATTGTATAACTCATTTATTGTGATATTACTTACTTTGCTTACGCCTGTTACCCCTCGTCGTGGAGCATACGCCGCTTACCAGCATCCTCCATCCAACTCTGTCCTGAGCTTTCCTTTCCAGTTCTTTCCAGTTGTTACTCATCCTTTTCATATCTGCTTCTTTTTCCCGACGTAATGTGTTCTTTGGCCTTCCTCTTTTCCGCTTCCCTTCCGGATTCCAAGTTAAGCATTGCCTTGTAATGCACATTGGTGATTTCCTTAATGTATGTCCTATCCACTTCCAACGTCTTTTCCTTATTTCCTCTTCAGCTGGAAGCTGGTTTGTCCTCTCCCATAAAACGCTGTTGCTGATAATATCTGGCCAATGAATGTTGAGTATTTTGCGTGATATACATCATATAAATTATTAAGAAAAAAATAGTTCTGATTTAATGTTATTCAGGGAGTTTTAAATGATGTGAAACCTGGCAAATATTTGTATCGATCCAAGTTTTTACATGATATTAGAACAACGAAATGAAATCATGAAGACAAATTTAAGGGTAATATGTATAGTTACAGTGTCAGTGATAGTGGAAAAAGACTAGAAATAGTTATCCAAATACGAGAGGATCACGAGGCAAGCCCTAACTTAGAATCCTGAAGGGAAAAAGAAATGAGAAAGAAGAAGGAACCCATTGTGTCTGGAATGGGAAACAGACATCAAAAGGATGAATAGCAATTGTAAACATCTGGAAAGTATTTTCCAGGGTGAAATTCAGTGGAGAATGCTGGTGGACGACCTATGCTCCTCCGCGAGTGGTAACTACCGTAAGTAAGTAAATATAATTCGAAAAGAAAGAATAAATTCGCAAAATACAAAAATGTACGATTTAAGAAAATACAAAGTGCTATTCTCAAACCATAGGTTACAATAATCATATAAACACTAAACTAGATGGCTTGTATCTGCCAATATGGTTCCATGTCAACAATCAGTGACTTGATAGGTTGATTTCACTTTTTTTAATTCAGACGCCCGCCCTCAGTCTTTTTTCCACCAAGTGCACGAGCTAACATCTCTTTTTTCAAGGTAGGCGATTCCATTCATGAACTGATATTATATCTTGTTTGCCTATGTGTAACTTTCTAACAGCCTACACTCCTACGACATCTGGCATTGGGTATCGAGGTGTGTTGAGTGTGTGTAACATCCATATCCTTATACAACTAAACATTGGAATACTTGTCAACTAATTTAATATCTTTGTCTAGTACCTTATACCTAGCAAATTTCAGTATTATTCAGTTGGTGGACTGCACATTGTTATAATCAAGGTCATGCTTCATAAATATCTATGATAAAATACTACTAGGTAAGAGATGTCATTTACCTTAAAAGGACATGTCTTATAAAAGATTAAGTAAAATAGAACCAGGTAATCCATAGAAGATCCATACTTTAATAGGTAGACGAACATTTTACCACTCCACAAGTAATACAAATTGACAAAAGTCGAATGGACTTATTATAGTTATTATCCATGCTGACCTGTAAAATGCATCAAGTCTCTGATAAGAACTAAATGATAAATGTACTAACATTATCAGACTATGTCTGACAAAATCTCAGCATGGATTCAGAAAGCTCGTTTGGCTTTTGCCAACTTACGTCACCTATGGCGAACACGAGATATCCGTCTATCAATTAAGGGACGAGTATACTGCTCATCAGTTCGCTCTGTTCTACTTAACGGCTGTGAAGCATTACCATTAAGAGTAGAAGATACTCGTAATTTACTAGTATTTAACCACAGATGCCTTAGAAATATTGCTCGCATCTACTGGGATCACCGGGTAAGTAATAGTGAGGATAGACTCAGGGTATTAGGAAATAATGGTAAATCAGTTGATGAGGTCATGAATCTTCATCGACTGAAATGGTTGGGCCACGTGTTACGTTTCCTGAACACCGATTACCACGACGCACTATGTTGATTAGTGTTGGGGATGGTTGGATTAGGCGGCCTGCTCGAATACCTGGGCTACCTGTTTCTGCCATCTAAATATTTCAACAAGTTTTCTGGGTTTTTTAATTTTGTTTTAACTTATCGTTATGTCTATTAATCGCATAACCTATACAGGCGCGTTTATAAAAAGCTTACGTCCTTTCGCTGCAAAAATTACAAACAAGCACAATAAGAGACATCGTGGTGGTTGGCAATATGCTTTAAAGAGAATAAACATCAATCAAATGTCGATTCCCGAGCTACTTAACTCTAACTGTCGATCACTAATTAACAAGGTGGACTATCTCCAATTTCTGCTAAGTCAAAACATGTATTGTAATTGTGGTGTCATCACAATTCAAGAATCTTGGTTAACTGACTTACAGGATGATTGCTTAGTGTCATTACGTGATTTTAATATCTATCGTCAGGATCGATCAAACAATAAAAAGACTTGTGGTGGCGGAGTAGCTACTTTTGTAAACGTTAACTGGTGTCGATCTACTTTTGCCTGTTTCAAGTTTTCAAACGACTTTATTGACTGTCTAACTTTAAGGTGCCGTCCAAAACACCTGAATAAATACAAATATATTTATGTTACCAATATCTACATGACTCCAGACTGCACATCATCTGCGCTATCTGTCTTCACTGATAAATTTACTGAATTCGCCGTTACTGCCTTCAGTGATTCACTTTCAATTGTATGTGGTGATTTCAATTCATGTGACTGTAGCTTCCTTACATCACTAGGTCACCTAAATGTAGTAGATTTTCCTACTCGTTTGAATGCTCATCTAGACTTGGTTTTCATTAATGATGTGGGTACATATGTGACTCGCAAACGTGCTCCATTGTCTAGTTCGGATCACTGTATAATTCGTGTCCTACCTAAAGTATATGGTAAACATGGAAAGAGTACACACATACACCATACCAAAAAAGTAATATACAGGAATTACTCAGAAGAAAATTTACAAAATCTAAAAAACATGTTTCGTACGACCAACTGGGAATTATTTACAGATGACTCAATAGAAAATACAACTGATGTTATCACCTGTTATCTTAAATTCTGTTTTGATATTTGCTGTCCTACCGAAACCTTCTTTTTAAGTTTTGATCGACTTACATCTCCACAACTAAAACGACTACGGAGGGTAAAAGAAAGGATGTACAAGGAGAAAAACACTATTGAAGTTCGTAAGTTAAATGATCAAATAAACCAAGAGATTAGATGTCTCAACTCTGTGTTTACTCGAAAACTCCTATCTTGTAAAAGCCCTCCAAGTATGTGGAAACTCTTTAAAGAAATTACAGGGAACAGGAAGACTAGAAGCGATAACCAGCTAAATGTTTGTGACTTAAATAAGTCCTTTATACGTCAATCATCTGACATCATGCTCTCTATATCCAAGGGTCTGAAGAATAATTGTGTTCCCAGTTTCACTGAAAATGATGTCCGAAAATGTCTCCAGTCACTTAATTCATCCCAATGTTTAGGACCTGATGGTATTCCAAACCTCCTTTTTAAAAAATGTGCTGATGTTTTATGTTATCCATTAGCGAATATCTTTAACAGATTCTTCTCAACTAATGTCTTACCGAAAATGTGGAGAAAGATAAAGATAATCCCTATACCAAAGAAAGCTTCTGGTGATAAAAATGTGAAACTTAGACCCATTGCAATAACCTCACCTTTCCTCAAAATAATGGAAAAATTACTGATACAACCACTTCAACCTGCAATAAAAGAGCACTGTGATCCATATCAATTTGCTTACAAATGCAAAAGATGCACATTAGATGCCGTTGCTGTTCTGCATCACAATATAGTGTTCGGGTTGGAAAAGGGTAAGAAGTATGTTAGATGCGCTTTCCTGGACTTTACTTCTGCTTTTGATTCTATTCCAAGACACCTCTTACTTAACAAGCTGATCAGCGTCGACACTGACAGCTGGATAACCAATTGGCTATGTTCCTACCTTTCTGGAAGAGAACAGTACACTGTATTTGAAGGAAAGTGTTCAACATCTCTACTGTCTAATGTAGGTGTGCCACAAGGAAATGTTCTTTCACCTCTGCTCTTCTCTTTTTTTCTGCATGATCTGCCATCTTCCACAGAAAACACTTTTGTAAAATATGCGGACGACCTCACTGTATGTATGCCAATTTCTACCTCCTTAGATCCTATAGAAATGAATGAGTTTTTATCTCGTATTGGAAGGTGTTCTGTTGGTAATGGTCTCTTACTCAATCCATCTAAATGTCAAGCTGTTAACTTTAGCTTGAGACATGAAAAGAACCTATACTCTATGTTGGGATCCCATAATGCTTGTGCCATTGGAGACTCCTTAATAAACACAGTGTCGAAGGTCAAATATCTTGGTGTCATTTTTTCCTCTGATCTTTCTTGGTCTTCTCATGTTTCACTGTTATCGAAAAAAGTTTACCGCTTGACATACTACATAAAGAGGCTGCATGCTTTTGGGATTACTCGCCATTTACTCTTACAATTTGTAAATTCCTGCATATTACCTATTATTTTATATTGTTCTCCATTATTCTTTCCCGGGCTTTTGAGAAAAGACTTCGCTATTTTGCGTAGAGTGCTGAAGGCGGTTTGCAAGGTATGTTGTGAATCTTTCCAAGTCATTGTTAATATGCTTGTGGATAGACATCTTTAGTCTTGCAAACTCTTGGCATGTGTTATCTTATCAGATACTAACCATCCGCTTCATTCATATCTTTCTCTTTGTATATCTTCTGGTAGAACGAGACGTAAATACATTAAAATCCATGCACGCAAGCAAATCTATAAAAGTTCTGTAATATCTTACCTAGCAAATTTACTTTGTGACGAACAGGCTGTTAGAGTTGACTTAGTAAATAACTTGTCTTCTTAAGCATGTTTCAAATTTGATAATTTGTATAAACTCAGTTTTTCTTAAACCTTTTTCATTCCTTTTGTTTTTTTGTTTTTTTCGGCAAAAAACTTGTTGAAATAACTCGTGCTGAGAATTCTATATTGTACCAGTTTATGATATTGAATAAAGCCATTAATAATAATAATAATAAAGTTAGGGGCGCCCAAACCAAAACGTGGCATCAGAGCATGAAGTCACTAACTTCTAGTCTGAGTCATGTTGGCAGATGCAAACTATTTGGTTGGGTCTGCGCGACTATCATAACCAATGGTTGGAGACTGTGTGTGACATGGCTCAGAATCGACCACAAGAGCGTGGGTATATACACATTTTATCTTCCCTTAAACCTTGAGATTAAAACTGATTCATATCTGTCTTCCTTCCTATACTATATCCTTATATACAACTTTTCTTTTATATATTACCACCACTAAATTAACTACTTCTATGAATCCGGTGTTGATCTTGTTGTGCTAATGAGGTATGGCAACTTAGACCTATGCATATGTGTGCCTGGTCCTACGTTGTAGCTGACTGACTGAGACTATAAGTAATAATATAAACACCAATCCTTAGGAAAGAAGGTGAAACTGTAATTTGTGGATGACCTTTGAGCGGTGCTAAACTGACCTTGAGAATGTCCACCTACTTTCTAGAGATAAATGAGGGTTATAAAGCAATGTAAAGAATAAGGATTATTGCTATAAGCTTTATTCAGTATTATATTTTCGGTACACTATAGAATTCTCAGCACAAATTATTTCAAGAAATTTCCGTTTTTTACTTCTTGATCGATCCTGACGACATATATTGGGGTGGTCGCCAGTTAGAAGTTAGCAGTCCAAGAATCGACATCTGAATAATGTACATTCTTTTTGTTGCATATATTTTAGCAACCACAATGTCTCAGATTGCACTTTTTTGTAACTTGTACAATGAAAGTTCGTAAAGTTTTCATAAACGCACTTTAATGGGTTATGCGATTAATAAGCAGAATGATGTTAAAACAAACAAAAATAGATAAGTGGGTTGCTCAACTACGTGGATCGGTTGAAGTTAGACATTAACACCGTAGGATACCAGCCGGCTCAGTGGTCTATCGGTTAAGTGCTCTGGCGCGAGACTGTTAGGTCCTGGGTTTAAATCTCGCTTGCGAAGCGGGATCGTGGATGCGCACTACTGAGGAGTCCCATAATGGGATGAAACGGCCGTCCAGAGCTTCCAGGTTTTCCATGGTGGTCTATCTTCAATTGGTTCATGATTTCAAGTATATATTAAAATAGATTATATGTGAAGATATCTAGAAGGCAAAAACATATCCAGATGTTCAAACTGATTGTCAATTTAATTTAAAGATTACGGTTTACACTTGACAGTTTAGGGTTAGCAATTAGATTTAACGTTTTCATCACGAGCAGACATCAACTATTATGCCAAAATGTTATTTAGCCAAATGAGTAAATAAATTTCGCGCCAAAAATCCGTGACCTGTTATCTTAAATCGGATTAGTTCATCTATAACTGATAGTCTCGCCGCTCTGTGTTGATTTTCTCCACTACCATTTTATACCTTAATTAATAAATGTGTTATATTTTGTTCTGCATTGAAAAGAACTAATTATGTTTTTTTGAGTTAGATGTAATACTTTTGAACTTCATAGTGAAATCAACATTGGTTGGAATCCTAAGGCCTTCGATCTCACACACGAACAGGGACATGGATACTCACTACTACGGAGTCTCATACTAGAGGAAACGGTAGCCTATTGCTTTCAGGTTTTCAATGGTAGTCTAACTTAGATCGGTTCATGATTTCAACCATATTCTCAACGTTTTACCCTTGTCAGTGTCACTGCTGCTACTGCTATTTCGAAATGATATAGTAGCTTGAGCTAACACATATTTCTTCTTCCAAACTCTACAATAAAACTGTATTTATGTATTTATATAGTTTTTTTCACTATTTTTAGTGTGATCCAGAAGATCCAAGTGCAGCAGTTCTAAAAGAACCATGGCATGTGAAATGTGAACGTATACGTGCCACATCACCATGGGGTAGTTTACCAGGATGGATTTTAACTAGTGCAATTGTAAAAGTTGGTGACGATTTAAGACAAGAACAATTAGCTTATCAATTACTTACTGTGTTAAAGGTAAGTTTTATCTTATACCAACTATTTTATATTTATATTTTCCCATATTTTTTTCTTCAACTGATGATTACCGCGTTATTGTTTACTAAACGAGATTGGTTGGATTCCTGGGCTGATTATCAACTCTGAGATGCAGGTACATCCAACTGACGAGTCCGAGGTAGAACGAGGCGCGTGTCCTGAATTCAACTGCTAACCATCATCCATCCCTGCTTATAATGCTTGTGACTTCAGCAATATCGAGACAATCCGCACAGTATGCATATATTCCGATAATTAATTATTTATTTATTTAAACACATACATATTCGTACAAAAGGGCACCAGATACATATGCGCCACACAAAACAATCAAAATAGGAAAAGAAAGGAGGACTGAAATGTACAACCGGAAGACTCTTTCAGTTTACAAAGTTCGAACCACTCTTTATGAAGAAATTAAAAGAAGGTTACAGCAGGATCGCCACTGGCTTCTATTCTGAGCTATATCTGATAACGTCTCTAGCCAATAGAATGCGTCATTTCATTTTTGTGTGTGTGGGCTATGACACTGCCCAGATGCCCAAACTGAAGTAGATGGTTTTCTTAAAGAGCCACATTCGGAGCCTTTGACCTAAAGGTCTGATCCACAAGGCAGTGGGGGCATCGTGAGGAGTTGCAATCCCATGGTAGCCGGTGATCAACGATTGGTTCATACGCCATTTGTTTTTTCAGGATCCTGGAGATAGCCCATGTGCATCATTGGTTTGGAATGAGGGTTTTCCAACTCCCCTAGATGAACTTTCCATGTCCACGAATCCGGTTAAAGCGCCGGATGTTCACTTTTCGTCCTCTCACTCCCGATAAGATACTGATCAGCTACAGTCCTAAACGTCAATGGAAAGATTCAAACAAACAATTAAAAAAATGAATCAGTGATTATTAATTGTTTAGAATTAGGACTTATTGTAGCCCTCAATTGTAATCACATCCAGAAATCTAACACCTATAAAGGTTGATAAACTGAAGTACTAGAATCAACCATCGTCACTTCCCAAGTTCATAGCTGCTAATACTATAAAGACAGTTTTACGCTTGATCTCATTATTGATTGATTTTTATGATTGAAAATCAATTAACAAATTTACTGCTACTTTTTTTCTAAGTTCACCTAAATTTCTTCTCATTATTGATCTTAAACTTTTTATCAGATCACGAGATCATAGGTTTTACTAACTATTAATTTGTCTTCAATCATATTGAATATGATACAAGAAACGTTGAACTTTCAAGATTTATGTGCTCACTAGGGACTAGCTTCGTGAAGGAATTCTTGAAGTTCTAATGAGAAGCCTTGACCAGTGGAGCTAATCCATTTCAGATAGAGACAGGTATCTACCTCAGTACAATGGAAGATGGTCGTTCAATTTCGTGGATTGGGTGAGATTAGACATTAACACCGTTGGATGCTAGCTCAGTGGGACAGAGATTAAGCGTTTACGCGTGAGATCGAAAGTCCTGGGTTCGAATCCTGCGAGCGGGATCGTAGATGTGCACTACTAAGAAGTCTCACAACATGACGCAACGGTTGTCCAGTGCTTCCAAGTTTTCAATGGTGGTCCAACATCAATTGATTCATGATCTCAATTAAAATCCTTATAATCTCCACAACTCTATACTGATAATAAGAATAATCATTATTCATAGTTTTATTATGTAACAATTAGACACTTATGACTACGTTATGATGTATACACATTGTAACTTCGTTTTTGTGATCAGACAATTGACGTGCATTACTGTATGCATGTTGAGTCATGGATGATTAGGAGTACAACAGAAAGTTATTCTATTTGCTATCTTCATCTTCTGATTGAAAAGAATGTGATAACTAATAAACATTAAAATTCTCACTACCACTGAGACATTAGTTAAGAGAAGGTTATGACTTAAGGTGAAGGTCACTGGTCCCTACACTCAATAAAGACAAAATAAGTCGATAATTGGACTAAAAAAATACAACTGCTCGCATAATAAACAGCCGGATCATACCAACCATAATTATTTTATTTTATTTAAACACATAAATATTTGTACAAGGAAGCACCAGATACATATGCGCCGCACAAATCTCATTGGATTTGTGTGAGGGCTATGATACTACCCAGATGCCCAAACCGAAGCAAGTGGTTTGCTTAGACGGCTACACCCGGAGCCTTTGACCTATAGGTCTGATCCACAAGGCAGTGGAGCATCATGAGGAGATGCAATCCCATGGTGATCACCGTTTGATTCATACGCTATTCGTTCCCTCAGGATACTGGAGCCAGCCCATGTGCACCATTGGTTTGGAACCAGGGTTTTCCAACTACCCTAGGTGGACTTTCCGTGTCCATCAACCTGTGTAAAGCGCCGGACATTCGCTTTTCGTTCTCTCAATTTTTTAAACAACACCCGTGGTGCGAGAAGGCAGTGAGTAGGACTTCCCTGTCAGAGGCTTTGTACGCGTGATCACGTTAGAGCATTTCGAGAGGAAGAGCAGACTCTCCCCACTCTTGGCCATACCAGGGCGTTTGGGGGCATATTAATGAAGATGGGTATTGAGATGGAAAATAAACGTTTTTTTAAGATTTCGAAATTTGGTCAGTTTATTGTATGCCGGTACACAACTTGGACCGATGCATATATGTGCTTGATCCTACGTTGTAGCTGACTGACTGATGTCGGCACACCTCTAAGACTAGTCATGAACGTAGTTCTTCAAACATTCAATAAAGTGTCAGCTTTCAGTCGGTTATTCACAGCTACTTTTGATCTGTTTATACCTTGTTGATATTTTTTTCATTTTACAGTGTGTTACTGTTTAGTATGTTTGTATATAAACCAGTGTATGTTTGAATTATAAAAATGATAGAAGCTAGATGTTGACCACTTCTTTATAGCCCAAAGAGGAATGTAGAGAAAGGCTTTCGAATAATGGATGAATATTAGCTTCGCTTGCACTGGTTCAAGAATAACTATGTGAGTCAGAAGTGTAATCGGTCAAGTCTAGGACATTGGACTGTAAAAGAGATAGTAAACGTGGAATAAACAAAATTGAAGTTAGAATTCTGACTGATGACTTAAGCATGTGATTTTGGTTAGTGTTCAAAGACACAACATTTCGAATTTATTAAGAGCTTATAATTCGGACAATATGAGATTGTGGAGATTGTTAAATGTTATTGAGATCATAATCCAACTTAGCTGAATAGCTGTTTCGTTTTATTATGGGATGCAGTGCGTATCCATGACCCCAACACTGAGGCTCGGAACATGAACCTTCCGTCCTATGGTAAACGCCTAACCTCTAAAACCCAGTATCGCGGATTGATTGAGGTTAGGCTTGCACACTTTTGGATTCCGGTTCACTGGTCTCGAAGTCAAGCGTTCGTGTGATAGACCAAAGCTCCCTGGTTCGAATCCCTGTAGATGCACATTTTCTAAACAGTCCCATACTAGGATAAAACAGTTTTTAGTACTTCCAGATTTTGAGTGGTTTTTGAAATTAGATTGATTTGCTATCTCAATGAAAACAGGTACCTTTTATTAGTTTTAATCATGTCACCTTTTCCCAATAATTCAATTACACTCTGTATTTATTTATTTATTTTTTACAAATAGAATATTTGGTCAATGGAATATGTTCCATTATGGTTGCGTCCATTAACTGTAGTTGTTACATCATCCGACAGTGGTTTTATTGAACCTGTCCCGGACACTGTATCATTTCATCAAATTAAACGACATGCTCATTTATCATTATTAGATTATATGCATCGTGAACATGGTGGAGATAATTCTGAAGAGTTTTTAACTGCTCAACGTAATTTTCTACATAGTTGTGCTGCTTATTGTTTAGTTGGTTATTTGCTTCAAGTTAAAGATCGGTAAGTTAATGAGGTTTTGTTTTTTGATAATCATTTGGGAATATCAATCGATTTATTTAAACATGTAGATATTATTAAACAACAGTAGGTCTCAATCTAAACAAAGGGAAAAGCAAGACTCTTCGATACAGCACAGCATGCACCAATCCAATTACACTTGACGGAGAAGCTTCGGAGGATGTAAAAACCTTTACATATTTGAGTAGCATCATTGATGAACATGGTGGATCAGATGCAGATGTGATGGCACGGATCGGCAAAGCGAGAGCAGCATATTTACAATTGAAGAATATCTGGAACTCAAAACAATTGTCAACTAACACGAAGATCAGAATTTTCAATAGGAATGTCAAGACAGTTCTACTGTATGGGGCGGAGACGTGGAGGACTACGAAAGCCATCATTTAGAAGATACGAGTGTTTATTAACAGTTGTCTACACAAGATACTTCGTATCCGCTGGTAAGACACTATCAGCAACAAGTTACTGTGTGAGGCAACAAACCAGATTCCAGCGGAAGAAGAAATCAGCAAGAAGCACTGGAAGTGGATTGGGCACACTTTGAGGAAATCACCCAATTGCGTCACAAGAGAAGCCATCACATGGAATCCTGAAGGTCAAAGGAGAGGCGGAAAACCAAAGAACACATTACTTTGAGAAATAGAGACAGACATGAGAAGAATGAACAAAAACTGGATAGAACTAGAAAAAAAGGCCCAGGACAGAGTGGATTGGAGAATACTAGTCGGCGGCCTATGCTCGATTGGGAGTAACAGGCGTAAGTAAGATATTAAAAAGAAGCACCGTAATATATGTGCGTCACACAAATCAATAAATTTGTGTGTAGGCTGGGTTATTGTTCGATCGCCCAAACCGAAGCAGTTGGTTTTCTCAAAGGGTCAGTTTCTTGAGCCTTTGATTTAGAAGTAAAATCCACAAAGTAGTAGAGCAACTTTAGGAGATCTAGTCCCATGATAATCGATGACCAACAATAGGTTCATACGCCATTTCGCATGAAGATCCTAGATTTTATATGCATCATGAGTTTGTAATCATGGTATTGTAACTCCCCTAGATCGATCTCCCATGTCCACCAACCCGAATAAAGTGCCGGACATTCTCCTTCCACCCTCTCAATTTCGTAAACAAAAACCGAACCGCAAGAAGGCAGTGTGCAGGACAGTTCTACAATCTACTAGAAGTACTTTCAAGACATCCACATGCAATTGTGAAAGATAAATATTTCTGTAGTTTTTTTTCTAAATCTCAATTATAATCAACTTACAAATGCACGTTGGTTTAACTACATCACCACGACGAGATAAATATAATAAGAACTGTTCCGAAAGAGATTGGAATAGTGTAGTAGTAATAATAAGAAGAAAGACGGAACATTGAGAATCGGATGCGGAAAGACAGAATATAAAGTTATATATGAAAGAATATTGTAAATCAAAATCGACAAAAATATAGAAAGTGAATGCATCTGTGCCATTTTGACAGATTCTAAACTATGCCACCCAAAGTCTCCGACTAGTAATCATGAGGATTTTAACTAGGTAATTTGTATCTACCGACATGACTTAGATCAACAGTCAATAATTTTATGAACTGATGTCATATCTTGGTTTAAACATGTACACTTATTCCCCACGGTACTTGGGTATGTGAAGGATAATGATACAACTCGGTTGCTTTAATTGAAGTAGGTGGAGTCAAATTCGAACCCAAGATACATAATGACTGAAAGTTGGACGTCTTAACTACTAAGCCATTACTCTCTATATGTGTTGGTTTGACCATTTCTAGCTTTCCTCCAACCTACTCTTAACTCTACAAACATCTCACTTCGAAGTAAACGATTTATTGTGTAAAATATTTTCACACACTCACTCTATATCCACTGGGATGCCAGTCAGTCAGTCAGTCACAACGTAGAACTTCGTACATTAGAACAGAGATGCAGTTGTCGATTCAAATCCCATAGTGGTAGAAGTAGTAAGAGCATAAACAGCAATCAGAAAGATTAGGGTTTGAAGTTGTTATTGAAGGAGTATAATCCAGTGAAATAAATTTGAAAAGAGAAAAGGGATAGGGACATGAAGAATTCAGAAGATTTGAATTTGGCAGAACACAAAAAGTGGATGCATCTTCGCCATTGGAAACGATTTTGAGTCATGTCATTCAAGATCTCTAACCATCGAATGCTATCATCTCGCGAATCCCAACCAGGTAGTCTACACTTATCAACATGGCTCAGTTCGATTGTCAGTGACTTCATGGATTTGTGCCACGTTTTGGTCTGGCCGCCCATAGCTTTCTTCCAACCTACACCATAAAACATTGCACGTCGGGACAGTCAGTGGTTAGGCATACGTAACACGTGTCCCCATTGGGATGCAACTAATATAATTTTAAGCAGAGGTTGATAATAGCTAGCACTGAAATCTAGGATGCGCATTTTGTTCTATTTAAGACTCGTCAGTCGAATCTACTTGTATCTGATAGTTTCTGTTCACTCCAAGACTCAAACCCAATACCTTTCAGTTTAACCCCCCCCCTCACATAATCCATTTAGCTATTGAATCGAAATAGTCACTAACTGGTGTAATGTAAGTTTCCGTCACTGTTATTATTATTATTGATATGATTTGTGTTATATCTCCTTGGTTACCATCTTCCTTTTTTTCTTTTCATTTTATCTAGACATAATGGTAATATCCTATTAGATAATCAAGGTCATATTATCCATATTGATTATGGTTTTATTTTATCATCATCACCGGGGAAAAATTTAGGCTTTGAAACAAGTCCATTTAAATTAACATTAGAACAAGTTGATGTAATAGGTGGTTTAAATAGTGATTTATTTGAATATTTTAAATTTCTTTTATTACGTGGTCTATTAGCTGCACGTAAACATATGGAACAGGTTAGTTCTTTTCCTTCTTTCCGTTTTTTTCTTGTTTTGGTTAATCAGAGAAAGAGTTTAGTTCAATACATTTTGTTTACTGTCCAGTTCAGCTATGATATTATAGTCCTTAAATACCCTGGTAAGGCCAAGAGTGGGGAGAGTCCGCTCTCCTTCTCGAAATGCTCTCACATGTCCACGCCCATATAGCCTCTTCCACGTAAGTTCTACTCACTACCACCTCGTGGCGGGAGTGTTGTTTACGAAATTGGGAGGACGAAAAGCGAATGTCGGGTTGGTGGATACGGAGGATCTACCTAGGGTAGTTGGAAAACCCTGATTCCAAACCAATGTTGCATATGGGCTCCAGTATCCCGAGGGAACAAATAGCGTATGAATCAATCGTTGATCACCAACTACCATGGGATTGCATCTCCTCATGATGCTCCACTGCCTTGTGGATCAGACCTTTAGATCAAAGACTCCGAGTTTGGCCCCCTAAGAAAACCATCTACTTCAGTTTGGGCACCTGGTCAGTATCATAGCCCTCACACAAATCAAATGGGATTTGTGCGGCGCATATATATCTGATGCCTCTTTGTACCAATATTTATATGTTTAAATAAAATAATATTATGCATTTCTTATGGTATACTAAAATTAATTATGCATATAAAAAGATTGAAATGTAAAAGAAAGTTTAATTAGTGAATCAAATTATAGGTGTATACCATTCTGACGTCCCGTACTTGATTATGACAGAATACGATACACAACTAACTGTACTCGAGTGTGTAGAACCCTACAGTCACAAATCAGAAGGAAGAAACAGGGTAAGGGATTATTGAGTGTTGGCTATAATTCAGCCAATTTCTAAGGAGGCAAGTTATGCTACTGTCCAATCATAGCATCCCACGTTGATATTCTAGAAGGTTCTATCAGGTTCTGATTAGATGGAATCTCCCTTGGTGCTTTGGAGCCTCTGGAAGTTTCGTCGTTGTTTTCGTAGCCATCTCAACATATAAGTTCATGTTGGTTGAAATCCCTAGCAATGTGTTTCCTTCAGAATTTCTTACTTATCATTTAACTTTGACTTGGTATTTTACCACAGACACGTGGTATGTATAAACACTAATCTAGCCTGTCGATCTCCCTGATCGGATGACATTGAGTCCCAGGTTCGAACTATCCTGCCTTCATTCATTATCTCACTTTGAACAGTTCGGTAATACAATTACGTTTTTCACGTAAACATACATGTTTACCTGATCAACAACGTTACATCCAATTTTGAGCACATCACTTAGCCATTTGAATACGTAAATGAAATTTAGAATTCTTGAATAGAAATTATGCATAGAATAGATGAAATGTGGCTAGCAGTATAATTCAAGTCTTGTGTCTTTCCCTATGTAAGACTACTCATCAGCCAAATGCACCGGGACCGCTTCAAACACCATCGTATTATCCACTTAATTGGTGAATCCAGATAATCGCTCACTTGTGCAACGGTTATTCGTTTTAATTTCATTTGCAATAGAATAAATGATCTCAGTACTAAGGTGAACATCATCTCTGAGATGTAAGCACCTCAAACTGACAAGTCTTAATTAGGACGAAATGCACTTCACTGATTCCACTGCTAGTTACATTTCATGTATTCTATATTAACTTGTATTTTAATTGGTATATCGAGACAATCCAACATTGATCCATTTATGAGTTACATATGACTTTATGATTTGATCCCATTTGTTCGATCTGATCAAATTATTCAGTGAATAGATGTAATTCATATTAATATAAATCATTAATATTTATGTTGTGAGATATCAACTAACTGAAGACAATTAGTGAAGGGTTGCTCAGATTTCGTGGATTGGTTGAAGTTAGACATTAACACCATTGGATGGCGGCTCAGTGGTCTATCGGTTAAGTGCGCTGGTGCGAGACTGCTAGGTCCTGGGTTCGAATCTCGCAAGGTGAGGTTGTGGATGCGCACTGCTTAGAAGTCCCACAATAGGACGAAACGGCCGTTCAGTGCTTCCAAATTTTTCCTGGTAGTCTAGCTTCAATTGACTCACGCTTTCAATTATGAAAATATTTATCTCATTAGTAGTATATTCATTCATTTGATTACCTTTTCTTTTTGTTGATTGGGATGGATATGTAGATTTGTGTATTAGTTGAAATAGCTCATGCTACTTGTCCACAATTACCATGTTTTGCACGTGGTAATGGTTATCGTACAATCACTGATTTACGTCAACGATTTCAATTATCACGTACAGAAGAACAATTAAAACAATTAGTTGATCAAATGGTTCATAATTCATTAAATTCAATGACAACAAAATTATATGATAGTTTTCAATATTATACAAATGGTATCCAATAATCATAATAACTTCATTCTATATAGCTCATAATAATAATAATAAGAATTCATCCCAGTGACTAAAAGATTAACATTATCTTAATGGAGTGTTTTGTTCTCTGTGTTGGGTGGTTTCATCGTGGAGCTCATTTCAGAGAATAAAACTCCATCGAAATTGCCCATACCTGAATTATAAATCTTCTTCACCATTAACATCATCTCTTAATCATACAAATGTGAATGAATCTATTTTTTTGAATGGTTCCAAATGAAGGAAGGTTGAAAAAGAAGAAGAAGTACAAAAATGACAAAACATGTAAACTATGATGGAAACCCATCATCTCTGTTTATTTTCTTCTTTATCATTTTTAACAATAACTGTGATAATTCCCCTTTCAATGAAAGAATTTCAATATGTTACATAATTTTGATCAGATTTACTTTGTGTATATGTGTGTAAGAGAGAAAAAAAAGGGGGGGAATTAATTATGTATGTTTTATGCTCAATTATGAATAATTTTCTTTTTGTGTTCTGTTTCATATCCCCATGATTATACACACATACAATGGTAATGGTCAATTATATGAAAAGAAGTCTCTATTATCTCTATGTTTATTGGCTTGTCTCTTCCCTTCTTTCAATTTAATTTATGGTATGGGTTACCCTGGGGTTAGGGACAAGCAGATCACAAGAAACGGAGATATTTTTTTAAACCATTTCTCTCATCTCCATGTTTTTCTTTTGTAAGTTTTGATTTCCCCCCCTCCCCCGCTACAAAACCTATTTTTCTTTGCTTTCACGTCTTACCCCCCCCCCATCCTACCTAAAAATAAAACACTATCACTGTGCTACTTCATTACGGCAACTAATTTAATAGATCAACTACGTATTCTTTATCACTGTGTAAATGTACAATAATTTCTGATATGTATGTAGAGAGAGAGAGAGAGAAGGATGACTTGATTTTACGTATATTTTATATTTAATAATGTAATAGTGGTAATATTTTTCTGACTTCTTTTTTTTCTCCTTAAATCACCCCTCTACTTTCTTTTCTTTTTTTTGTATGTTTTTAATGCATTAAATTATTTGGTTAATACTGTAGTTTTGGTCTCCCCTCTCTTCAGATTCTTTTAATTTATCACTAAGGTATCTGGTTTACTTTTGTATTGTTTATTGATAGTGGATTAATTTATTGTGTATGTGTACGTATGTATGTATGTAAACAATATTATGGTAGAATAAATTAATTTTACACATTGTCTTGAAGTACGTTCTTAACTATTTCAGTAATATGGGTTAATCATAATGTATATACAACTATAGACACTAGTGCCCCCAAATGCCCTGGTTGGGAAGAGTCCACTCTCCCTTTCGAAATGCTCTCACATGTCTACGCCTATATGGCTTCTATCAGGGAAGTCCTACTCACTGCCTTCTCCTGGCACGGGGGTGTTGTTCACAAAAGGGAGAGGACAAAAAGCGAATGTCCGGCGCTCTAACCGGGTTGGTGGACAAGGCGAGTCCACCTAGGGGAGTTGGAAAACTCTGATTCGATACCAATGGTGCACATGGGCTGGCTCCAGTATCCTGAGGGAACAAATGGCGTATGAATTAGCAGTTGGTCACCAGCTAACATGGGACTGCATTTCCTTACGATGCTCCACTGCCTTGTGGACTAAACCTTTCAGTCAAAGGCTCCGAGTGTGGCTCCCTAAGAAAACCACCTGATTCAGTTTGGGCATCCGGGCAGTATCATAGCCCTCATACAAATCAACTGAGATTTGTGTGGCGCATATGTATTTGGTGCTTCCTTGTACCAATATTTATGTGTTTAAATAATAATAGACACTAGTCCATCGATCCAAATTGTTTATACCACAACATTAACGTAGCGGTATGATATTGTCAAGATGAGTATCAGATTAGTAATAGTAGTATAAGCGACAGTAAGAAACAAATTAAGCATAGACAATATCATTCGACAGCATACATAGGATAATTTTAAAACTCGACCAGTTGTGAACTACCTCGTTGAACATCTGCAACCAATTCTCATATCTTCCGAATCTATTTCGATTCAAGCATACAATACTTGATAATTAGAGAATGATTAAGCATATTGGAGTACGAGCATGTTCTTTGGCGGACTCGAAAGAATAGCAATTGACAAAACACCTTATATCAACTGCTCAGATACCGACTAACCAGTCTGCATTCACTAACGTCGCTCAATACAACTTCAAAGATTGAGATTGTGTTTCAGTTTGAGCAACATTTAGTATACTTACAACCCTACTCCAAAACATTACTCATCGACGTAGGCGGTGATTATATGTAATACATATCCCAGCCGCCTCAAGCTATGGAGATTCGAAACCAATGCAACACCCCAAGAGTACGTCCAACCTCAAAAATGCTCAATGGGTAGTCCCAACATGTGGAAGCAATGCATCAAACACATGGTCAAATACTAGTAGCCTACGAATATAACATTTGACATTAGTAAAAATCTAAAAGTAATAAGCTTATGGATGGTGGAACATCAAATACCGAGATTTACTTTATCTTGAGGAGGAGAGCGTAGCTCAAATAATCTGCCAAATTCAAATTTACGTGACGACGTTTTTGGCACTGGATGTTATACGATCCTAAATAAGTAAACTAACTGTCGGAGATGTTTATACTACATTCACTTGAAAATCATTACGGTTTTTAAAATTATCCAACATAATTAAATCACAAACTGTACCCTATTGGAAAACTGTAGAAAACCCCATTTTGTTATTGTGTTCTAAACTAGATGGCAAATTTCAAAACTCCTTTTGAAATTCTAACATTAATTAGCGTATATATAAGTGAGATGGTATCCCGTTTGACCAGCGTAACATTTTGCTCAATTGGTGTACATATGACTTCTCTGTTGTATCCCTCGATTTGGATAAATATGCATTAATATTGATTGTGTTAATTTCTGACATGCTTATATCTAAAAAGACATTAAAAAACTTGCAATGCAACAATTCAGTTCAGAGTAAGCAACATCACATGCTGTTCTCAAAGAATGCTGGCGATGCTTTGGAGACAGCTATTATCGAAAAAAAATTATTTTTATATAGATTAAACTAGCTTACACTACTAAGGTTGTTCACTTATTTATTTGAACACATATATTGGTACAGAAGGGCACCGAATACACATGAGTCACCTGATTTGAGTTTTGGCTGTGATACTGCCCGGACAGAAGCACGTGGTTAATTTGAGGGGCCACACCCCAAGCAGTATTGATTTGGAATCAGGGTTTTCCAACTCCCCTCCTCCATATCCACCAACCGGTTTAAAGCTCTGGACATTTTCTTCCTCTCAATTTCGTAAACAACACCCCCACCGCGAGAAGGCAGTGAGTAGGACTTCCCTGTCAGTGGCTGTACACGAGTGGCCATGTGAAAGCCTTTCGAGAGGGAAAGTGGACTGTAACAACTCAAAATGAGAGCGAGTCGTCTGCCAGAACTCGGTACTGATTAGCCTATTCCCAAATTACAGTATTCCTTTGCAAAACGTATCAGGACGATGGTTGAAGAGCTAGTGAAACTATTTTATGGATTATTATTATATATACTCCTATTGCGCAATTACTAGATAACTGGATCACTGAGTTTCTATATTCCGTTCATTGTAAGCTTATCCGACGTACAAATAATTACTATACATATTGTTTCTACTTCATAGCTAATTAATGATTAACGGTTTGCCTGGTTTAGTAACTTTTGACCTGTTTGTCTATAACTATCATCTATTTTATGATGTGGTGTGTGCGGTCTAGAATATTTATACATAAACCCACATGTGCCAATAATAAAAGTTTGGAGGGTGACTTCACTTCCGAACTCAGGGCTGGGAATATAAAAACGAGTGCGGAGTGGACAATACGCTAACATTAGCTAAGGGTTAGTTGTGTCGTTCAGAACGTATCAAGGCCAAGAACGCTAGATTATGGATGAAATGGCAGACAAGCGTTGGGAAAATTGGAATTCTGATTGGTGAGTTGAGCATCTCAAGACAGCACGAATCATTAGTCGATGAGGTACACATTGGGTAGCCACTAATAAACGTTCTTGTAATAGGTCAACACATCTTTGATGAAACACGCTTAAATGATTCAGTGTATAAAAGCAAGTTCAAACCGATGTTTCGACCTTAAGTAGGTGCTGGTGATGCCTTCCAAAAAGAAAATGAATAATCTGCAATTAAACGATCTAGTTCAGAGAGTAGAACACCAAAACACTGAAAAGCTACTTTGAACAAGTTGAAGATTTCCCAATGACTTGTTTTTATCCGATCACTTGTGGAATTATTCACCATTAACCATTCTGATGGAGTTTTGTTCTCTGAGCTCAGTAGTTGAACATGAATAATGCAACCACTTTCGTCCAGCAACTAGCTTATCTCCCGTACCGAGAACTCAGTATTCAACAGACTCACCATATATAGTCGATGCTAAGAAAAATTCGTATATGATCAGAAATCTACCATTGCATAACATCATCCAAAAGAGCATACAGCAAGCTGACAAACATCATATACACACCTTTAGTAAGTATAGGAATCTCCCACTAGTCCGGAGAATCCCAAACCAAAGAAGGACTCCTTTTTTTCGTAATAATATTTCCTCGCCACTGACAATACTTATTCGAACACACAAAGTTGCCAACGCAATTAACTAATCTAATTAATATCGAATTACCTATGTGCTAACTAATAACACACTGAAGAGTATTTATACTTGGAACTTTTATTATGAATATTCTTTTTTGAATAGGAACAGATCGTTTGTTGCTTACGTCTGTTGTTTTAAATCACGAACTAATCTTAGCTAGACCATTACTTAATACCCGGAAGCACTGAATAACTGTTTTATCATAGTATGGAACTACTCACCAAAGCAGACCCACAACTCCTCCACAAGGAATCGAACCGAGGATCTTTTTTTAGTCTGTCAAGGGTGAACGTTTAAACTCCACACCAACAAGTCGACATCTAATGGTGTACATGTCTAGTTTCAATCGATTCAATATATTGCCCGACTATACTTTATTTTGATATAATATCAAAATAGAGGATACATACACGTGTATATTATGTATATATGTGTTGTTAAACTGCATAACCACCTCATTGACAACCAAAAATAGTAAACAAGCCAGTATACAAACGAACATACAAAAGACCACAAAAAAAACAATAGACTAACAAAAAGTCAAGAAATAAGTCAATTCGTAATAAATAACAGGGATCACAATATTAAAGCAGAAAATATTTAAACTATTCCCCTTTTCCAAGTAATGTGGTTTTCGCTTCGTTATTTAAACCACTACGAGGTTTCGCGTCGACGAAGTCACCATCACTATCATCATCATCATCATCGTACCAAGATTCAACATGTTCTTTATCAAGATTCACTTGATCGTTATTGTTATTCTCCTCCTCGTTGTTGTCGTCGTCATCATCATCAATATCTTCGTCCAACTCCTCTTCATCTTCTTCCTCCTCCTCTTCGTCTTCTTCCTCATCGCCAATCAATTTGACCGAGTCTAATTCACTATCTCCAGAATCATTTCGATTATTACTTTTCGATTGTAGTATTGTTGAAGCGACAACAACAGGTGATGAAATAGTTTCTTGTTGTTGTTCCTCAATGGATGGTGCATAGTCGTTATGACTAATGGTAGTTGTTGGAATTAAGTTAGCATTAAACGGTAATTTATCATCAAATGATGATGGTTGCATGGGGATAGGTTTATTTTGCATTTCAACATGAAGATCACGATCACCTGGTAACTGTTGAGTTGGATAAGCTGAAGCAGGTAAATTTAAACGTGCTTCTCTATCAGCTTTTAACCATTTTTCTGTAGATAAAGCCTCCTAAAAGAAGTCAATAACAATCGAAACTGATAATCTGAATCTAACAATTCTTTAAAATGAAAACCGTAGGTGTTAGTTAGAGGTGAATAAGTGGAAAGGTGAGACTTTGAGGAGGTACTACTAAGTGTGAATCCTGAAATGAACACCAATTCTGAGATGCAAGTGTACATCCAACATATAGGATGAAACGTGAGTGTCGTGTATCATACTCCTAGACACAATTGAGCTACTCTATTCAGTGATTGACTCTTAGTATCCCTGTATGGTCTTTATTACATAATTTACAGTAAAGAAATAGTAATCAGTCAGCTATGTACCTGTATTATTGAATTCTATGTCGTAAATTCCCTAATTATACACAGACTGTGATTGTTTATTTATGGTGTATTGTAGTTTTGTAATTGATGTATGAGATTTTGAGTAATGCATATAGAAAGTAAATTAGGTTTCGTTTTTTTGAATCCTGATTGGGCAGATAAGGGACAGGAAGTGTTTTCATGTATTAATCAGCATTAAAACACTTAGTGGGGACAAGTAAATTAAAGGTAATCGTTAGTTTTATTTATTTCATTTAGTGAACTCTTGATCTACTTACTTACTTACGCCTGTTATCCTTCGTGGAAGAGTATAGGTCGCACATCAGTTTTCCCCACCAGTATTCTCCATCCAACCCTGTCCTGGGCAATCCTTTCCAGTTAACATTTATCCTTTTCATATCTTCCTCTATTTCCCGGCATCATGTGTTCATTGGCCTTCCTATTATCCGTTTCATTTCCGGATTCCAAGTTGGGGCTTGCCTAGTGAGACAGTTTGGTGATTTCCTCAATGTATGTCCTATACACTTCCAACGTCTTTTCCTTATTTCCTCTTCAGTTGGAAGCTGGTTTGTCCTCTCCCATAAAACGCTGTTGCTGACAGTATCCGGTCAGCGAACGTTGAGTATTTTGCGTAAACAACTGTTTATAAACACTTGTACTTTCTTGACGATGGATGTAGTAATTCTCCACGTTTCAGCTCCGTACAGTAGGACTGTCTTGACATTCGTATTGAAGATTCTCACTTTGAAATTAGTTGATAGTTGTTCTGAGCTCCATATGTTCTTCAACTGTAGAAATGCGGTCCTTGCATTGCCAACCCTCGCCTTTGCATCTGCATCAGATCCTCCTTGTTCATCAATGATGCTTCCTAGGTATGCGAATGTTTCTACATCATCCAGATTTTCCCCAGCAAGTGTGATTGGGTTGGTGTTCTCCGTGCTGTATTTGAGAATCTTGCTTTTTCCTTTGTGAGTGTGGAGGCCTATTGATGTAGAGGCTGCTTCTACATTTGTTGTCTTCGTTTGTATTTGTTCGTGTGTATGAGATAGGAGGATTAGGTCATCAGCGAAGTCCAAATCATCTAATTGATTCTGAAATGTCCATTGTATTCCGTGCTTCCCCTCAGATATCGACGTCTTCATAATCCGGTCAATCACCAGAAGAAAGAGTAAGGGAGAGATTAGACAGACTTATCTGACTCCAGTCCTTACTGGAAATGCATCTGTCAGCTGTCCTCCATGTACCACTTTTCACTGTAGTCCGTCGCAAGAGTTCCGGATAATGTTGACAATCTTCTCATGAACTTCACAGTATCGAAGAGGTTTCCATAATGATCTTTTTATCAATGAATTCAATAACTAATGATCATATGAAATGGGTGTTAAATTGAGATAAGAAGGTAAATTCATGTGTTTTCTCTAACTCGATATAACATATGTCAATATTGTTTGTATCAAGTAAGTAGAAATGTTGTTCATCTAATACAGTAAAACTAACTTCTTTGTATTACTCTGTATGAACTTTGTATTGTGTTTTACAGGAACTTCATGTTTGTTGGTTTTGTTTTGTTTTCATTTTTATATGATATTCGTGTACGTAAAATAAGTCATATTATGGTGTGGGTTACTGATATCTACATAAGTAGTACATGGTGATGGTCGGGCATTGAATATATTTCAGTGGAAGATCGATAAGGAGAGGACCAGTACGGCACGCATTTAATATGAAAATGAATGAACTATGAAATCAGAGACGATGGACTGATAGTTGCAGAAGGAGCAGTTGAGATTGAGACAATTGATTGTTCTCTTGCAAATTAACTATTCACTAGATGATAAGCAGAGATGGAGAGTGGCTAGTAGTGGAATCCAGTTTGACGTGCGTTTCGTCCTATTTAGGACTCGTTAGCTGGATGTACCTGCATCTCAGAGTTGATGTTCACTCTGGGACTCGAACCCAGTACCTTCGCCTCAAACGCCATCGCGTTATCCACTCGGCCACTGAGTCCATCTCTGCTTACCATGCTTGCGAATTAAGGCTATATCGAGGCGATACGCACAGTATGCACATAAACCAATTAGAGACTGACCAGTTGCACTCCTAACAAATCGATGGGAAGATTCAAACAAGCAATACTAAATGAATTTATTTACTATATGGTTTTCATATTTTAATGAGATATTCTGTAATGTTGTGCTAAAATACATTCGATTGTACCCACTCGTGTTCTTGTTCACTATAATATGAGTATAATTAGTTTAATGATGACCTGATTTTGAACAAATTACTATATAAGGACTTGTTCTAGGATTATTTGAGAGAGAGAGAGAGAAAGTCAATAATTCATCATCTGTACCAATGTTTGTATTTTAACTTTCCATCACGGCAATTATGGTGATTCCTGTTTTCAAGTATAAACTGTAAGACGGTGAATGGAATAGAGCCGAAAAGGATATTACAACAGTGAACATATGAGGGGAAGTAGAAAGTATATTAATCAAAGGTGTTTTCTACATGAATACCCTGGTACGGCCGAGAGTGAGGAGAGTTCGCTCTCCTTATCGAAATGCTCTCATATGGCCACGTGTATATAGCCTCTACCAGGGAAGTCCTATTCACTGCCTTCTCGCACTATGGGTGTTGTTTACAAAATTGAGAGGACAAAAAGCGAATGTCCAGCGCTTTAACTGGGTTGGTGGACAAGGCGAGTCCACCTAGGGGAGTTGGAAAACCCTGATTCCAAACCAATGGTGCAAATGAGCTTCAGGATCCTGAGGAAACAAATCACGTATGAATCAGTCGTTGGTCACTAGATACCATTGGACTGCATCTCCTCACGATACTCTACTGCCTTGTGGGTCAGACCTATAGGTCAAAGGCTCCGGGTGTAGCCTACTAAGAAAACCACCTGCTTCAGTTTGGGAACCTAAGCAGTATCACAGCCCTCACACAAATCAAATGAGATTTGTGCGGCGTATATATATCTGGTGCCCCCTTTCTACCTATATTTATGTGTTCAAATAAATAAATAAATATATAGATAGATAGGAGAATAAATATGTAAACATACCTCAAGATCTGGAAATAAATTTGGATAATCTTTTGGATTAGCTAAAGAATTAGCAATTTTTGCACTGGCTTTATTTGATTTATCTAACCAATTACGCCATTGTTCAACTATTTCAGGCATATAACTTGGTAAATAGGTACGAGCAAAAAATGCCGCTTCAGGGAATCGTTTAGCATTGGTCAATAACTAAGTAAAAATAAAACAATGATAATGAGCAAAAAGCATAAAATTAGTTTAATAATAATTGGGATCAGTTAAGAAATAATTAGTGTCATACACATTCATTAAGGGGAATGTGCTATGAATGGGACTTTCGCTCATACTTCTAATGTATGGGGGATAGAGAGAAACTGTCCAACTAGTTGCATAGCAACTAGATGATTTGGAATTCTCAGATGACTTACCACTTCGATCCCACATACAACAACAAATGCAAATAGAGACAACCAGTTTATTAGCAGTCTCCGTATCAGTAGGCCTCAATGTACACAAGGGAAAAACATGATCCTCAAATACAACACAGAGAACACCAACCCATTCACACTTGATGGGGAAACTCTAGAAGATGTGATAACTTTCAGGTACCTGGAAAGCATCATCAATGAACAAGGAGAATCCAATATAAACGTAAAGACAAGGATTGGCAAAGCAGTGGTGGCATTCCTACAGTTGAAAAGCATATGGAACTCAAAACAACTCTCAACCAATATCAAAGTCACGATCTTCAATATGAACGTCAACACAGTTCTGTTGTAGGTAGCTGAAACTTTCAGAACTACTACAGCTATCATCATAAAGGTACATGCATTCATAAATAATTGTCTACTCAGGATATTCAATATCTGTTGGTCGAATATCATCATCAACAGCCTACTGTTTGAGAGAACAAACCAGGTTCCATCTGAGGAGGAAATTAGGAAAAAACGTTGTGAGTGGATAGGATATACATTACAAAAACCACCAAACTGTATAACCAACCAAGCACTAACTTGGAATCCTGAAGGCAAAATGAAAAGCAGAAGACCAAGGCATATATTGCGTCGAGAAACGGAAGCAAAAATCAAAAGGATAGGTAGTGACTGGAAAAGATTGCCCAGGACAGTGTTCGATGGAGAATACTGGTGGGCGGCCTATGCTCCTTCACGAGGGATAACAGACGTAAGTAAGTGAGTAGTTCCATTGAAGTAGGAGATGTAAGTCTGTAACATTATTGTTTCTAAGTCAGGTAAGCTATACAACTTATCAATTACTCTTTAATATCTTATCAGATGACAATTAATTAATTTATTGGTTTTTAAGTGAACTGGACAGGACGTTAACAAAACTGAATAATAAAAGCGCAACCATATGGAATAGCGAGAATTATTCATATGGTTGCAGGACAGGCACAATTTAAAAATATGCATTCAGATTATTCATATGGAGTGTGGCCTTCATAGAAAATCTGAACTACACATTCACTTAAGCTCGAATACACTTAGATTGTTGATACCCCTTAGTGTTATATAATAACAGATTCATATCTTAACATAAGCTTTTAATCGACTGCGAGCAAGCTAAAACAGGGTCTGTTATCAGTCAATCAAAGGCGACGTAGAACTTAGCATATGTATACACTGGTTCCAGTTGCCATGGCCCGGCGAGATTAGTCAGGTCGAATCCAGGAGAAGCACAGATAGTAATAGAACTATTAAAAATGACAGAAAAGATTAGGCATCTAAGATAAATATAAGCATACAATAGTGAAATACTACAAGGTTTGTGGGGAATTTAGAAAATAAAGATCTAAGGAAAGACAAGGAATGGATGCACCTGCGCCATTCCAAACGATTTTGAGCCATGTCATTCAAAGTCTCTAACCACTGGTTATGATAATCATGCGGAACCCAATCAGGTAGTCTACATCTACCTACACGGTTTAGTCCAATAGTCAATGTCTTTATGGACTGGTTTAACTGCATCTAACTTTATTCCGACTTACTAAAAACACTAGACAACATTGTCTATCGAAATAGATGGTGGCGGTGGTGTTCCAAACACCTCTGTTGATGAAGATTGTTATGATGATACTTTATAAAGTTCTATGTCGCATCAATTGAGCCACTAAGTTCAAATCGATAAACTATAATTAGATTATCACAATATAGAAGCTCGATCATCAAAATTAGGGCAGTAGCTACGGTAGGGTGTGGGAAGGTTTTGAAAGTGTGCAAGAAACCGCCCCTACCCACAAGCATACTCACACAAAAAAGCAGAAAACCACAAATGTATTAAATAAAATGTACTATATTCTTATGCACAATCTTTCTCTTATATATTACTACCATTGAAATAACTACTTCTATGAATCCGGTGTTCATATTGTTGTGCTAACGAGATATGGCAACTTGGACCGATGCATATATGTGCCTGGTCCTACGTTGCAGTTGACTGACTGCTGAATGAAATAAAAATGTTTACAAAGCAAAATAATAGTATTAATAATAAACTTACTTCAAGACAACCTTCTAAATCAGTGACAAGAAAACGTGCTAGAAAAGCGATATTATCATTTCCTTTTGTAGCAGCTTCTTTACCAATCCATTCAAGCAGTTTACGATTACCTGAACTTGTTGCTAATAACATTAGACTAGCATAATCATCTGTATGTGATAGATATTGTTCAGCATATTTAAATTTACAAGTTTTACAAGCAGCTTCAGCTAACTGAATACAATTGGGAATGTAAAGAAGGAGAGTTTTATTTGTTAATTAAGGCAATTTATTATTATTAAAGCATGTAACAGCTAATTTTAACAAGAATAGAGAATCCCAGTGTGGAAGCTAATGCTGGGATCCAAGTACATCCGGGTGATGAGTCTCGAATAGGGTAAAACGTACACCCGGGACTCCATTGCAAGTCACAATCTATCTATTCTATGTAGAATGAACAGTTTGAATATTTCCCTTGCTAAAAAATGGTGTTGAAACATTGTATTTATTTGAACACATAACTATTGATACAAAGGGGCACTGAATATACATGCGCCACACAATTCATTTGATTTGTGTGTGGGCTATGATACTGCCCAGGTGCCAAGACTGAAGTGTTGAGATCAACGTTTAACTACAAACAATCAACCATAATAATATGAAGATTGCAATAAAATCATTCTAGTTTTGCAGAGAGATAGGCTTCTTCGTTAGTTTGATAGCGGCAGAAATTTAATGGGACATTTATTTCTCACATCCAGTTTTACCATGAGTACTTATAGTGTATATTCGCGGAGGTTTGAATAACAGTTTTGTTTACATTCATAACTAAATTTTGATCAGTCTTAGTTTATAAGTGCACATCCTGCAAGGATTGACTAGAAACTGCCATTTCGCCGCAAGACTTTTATAAACAAGATGGATTGTGACTAGCAATGGAATCCAGGACGCGCATGAACGTGTATCCTGGTGTTGATAGTTACATTTTGAACCCAGTACTTTTCCCTTCAAATTACCAATGCATTATCCACTGGAATAATGAGTCCAGAGAATTAAATACTGATTGAATTTCAGTGGTGATTATCAGCAAACGAATAATTCAGACTACTACGGTGAGACTATAATTTATAGAACCAATAAGATTTAAGAAAGCAAGTTTTGGATTTTGGCGCGAAATTCATTTATCCATATAGTTAGATAGCATTTCGGCATTATGGCCGATGTCAATTAATGATGGAAACCCTAACTCTGATCCCTAATCCTAAATTTTGATTTTAAATCCTAATCTTAATTCCTCATACTGATTTGTAACTGCCCCAAATGCCCTGGTACGATAGAGGGTGGGGAAAGTCAGATCTCCCTCTCCAAACGCTCTCACATGGCCACGAGTATGCAGTCGATGTCAGGAAAGTTCTATTAACTGCTTTCTCTTGAGAGGGGTTATTTACGAAATTGAGAAGACAAAAAGCGAATGTCCGGCGCTTTAACCGGGTTGGTGGACACGGAAAGTTCACCTAGGAGAGTTGGCAAACCCTGAATCCAAACCAATGGTGGAAATGAACTACAGGATCCTAAAGAATAAATGACGTGACAACCTATTGTTGATCATCGGCTACCATAGGACTGCATCTCTTTACGTTGTTCCACTGCCTTATGGATTAGACCTGTAGGTCAAAGGCTCGGGGTGTGGCCCCCTAAGAAAACCACGTGCTTCGATTTGGGCGACTGAGAAGTATCATAGCCCTCATACAAATCGAATGAAAAAGTGTAGTGCATACAACCCCACAACTCCTATTTGCTAACAATAATCTCACAAACTATCAATGTAGAAAATCCTATTCACCGGTTGAATAATTGACTTCAGCAAAACATAATGATATACATTGTTTAGGTGAATATATAAGTGACAAACTGACTAACTTACTTGTTTCCATTTAGCTTCATTTGTTTTAGCATCACCATCCATGGCTATTTGTTGGCATAATTCAAAATCTCCTAATTGTAAAGCTAATTCAAATTTATGATCCATATCTGTAGTAACACGCATAGCTTGTGTACGATAGCCTTGTTTCTCTAAGAATTGAGCAATTTTTGTATATTGATCTTTTGATATATTTGGTAGAATAGCATCGGCTGTTGTAAAATCTCCACGTAATACCGCTGTTTCATATTCTAATACACTTAGTAATAGAGTATAGCTAACAATCTATGGCCGATCACCAAAGAGGATAGAAAACGAGGAGGAAGAGAGGTAAAATAAAAATTAGTTTATAGTTTTAAAAAGTTATAAATGATAATTAACTTTGCACCTAGCTATCACTTAGTGTTTCCGTTGTGGATGCTAGATCCCCAGAAATTACTTGGTAAACATCTCATTTATGGGAATTCGAATTTCTTATTTTCGCGCCCACCTTATATCTTCAGTTTGTATTTCCCACTTGGAAGGACCTTAAATGTTATTGGTTCGTTTCTTTTTTATATATGCTATTTTGTGACGTTTCCCAAGGATATTTTTGTGTTGTATATATATGCGTGAGTTGTGTGCTTGTTCGTTCATACTTCCGACTGCTTGTGGAATCTACATTTCCATAGGCTGAATTTGGTCTTCTCCCTCTATTTAGCAGGGTTGGGGCGCAGTGGAATAGTTAGCTTGTCCTGTTGCTGTTTGCTGACTTCGTTCTATTCTCCAGTCCTAGGCGATACTTGGTATTCGTCAGCAAAGTGTACAAGTAATCTTTGAAGGAAACGATACTCTTTTACAAACTGTGAAGCTACGTGACGAGTGTTAAATAACAAGAAACCTAATCTCAAGGTAATATCTAAACACAGTTTACGCGAGATCGAGTAACCATACAGCAACTTGGTTGATAGAATTCCATCAGCATTGGAGGGCTAGATAAACATTACACTAATTACTACCCAATGGTCGGAATAATATTAATCTCAGTGATAAGATTAACTTGTTAAGACATAATTGAAGTGTCTTTATTGTTAAAATCTAAGTGATATAGTGTATCCCCTCGTGTAGCATAGACCGTCAACCAGAATTCTTTAACTAAATCCGTCCTGGGTCATCCATTGCAACTGTTCTAAAGTGTTATCCATCCTTTTGATGTTTGCCATCAATGTGCTTTTTGATCTGCCACTTTCTTTTGGTTTGAGAATTGTAAGTTAAGAGTTACCCCGTGATGCAATGTGATGATTTAGGCAATATGTGTCCCATCCACTTGCAGAGTCTTTTTTTAATTTCCCCCTCAGATGGAACCTGGTTTGTTCTCTCAAACAGTAGGCTGTTGATGATGATATTCGACCAACAGATATTGAATATCCTGAGTAGACAATTATTTATGAATGCATGTACCTTTATGATGATAGCTGTAGTAGTTCTGAAAGTTTCAGCTACCTACAACAGAACTGTGTTGACGTTCATATTGAAGATCGTGACTTTGATATTGGTTGAGAGTTGTTTTGAGTTCCATATGCTTTTCAACTGTAGGAATGCCACCACTGCTTTGCCAATCCTTGTCTTTACGTTTATATTGGATTCTCCTTGTTCATTGATGATGCTTTCCAGGTACCTGAAAGTTATCACATCTTCTAGAGTTTCCCCATCAAGTGTGAATGGGTTGGTGTTCTCTGTGTTGTATTTGAGGATCATGTTTTTCCCTTGTGTACATTGAGGCCTACTGATACGGAGACTGCTAATAAACTGGTTGTCTCTATTTGCATTTGTTGTTGTATGTGGGATCGAAGTGGTAAGTCATCTGCGAAATCCAAATCGTCTACCTGCATCCAGGTTGTCCAACTCTGAACTCTTGGATAATTGTGTAGAAATTCTAATATCTAACTTCATTTTGAAATTTATGTTTGTGATAATGTTGTCTAGGGAACACGATCAGAAAGCTTCCTGGATAAAATAACTAGCTCCGAGAATGAAACACCGTCAAAATATAGAAGTGACAGGAATCTCATTTAATGAGCCATATAGATTCAAATGTTAGCTTACATCTTGAAACTGGGTAAGCACATAGAAAAAGAAAACGATGCAAAAAAAAATCATTGATTTCAGCAAAAACATACCTGTAAATCTCTATCACCTAGAATTAGACGATTTTCTTTCGCTAAATAACCCAATAAATACATTGGACGATCCAATAAGGCTAGTGTAACTACTTCACCACCAACAAAATAACATAAACGATTCCCTTGTGTTGTAAATATAAATGCATCACCAAACCAACGACCATTAAGTACTTGACTATTAACTTCACCATTTGGTACAAGCTATTAGAGAAAATAATAATAAGGTAGAAATACAAGAAAAAAATCGTTCAATCCGATTATTCAGACCACACGTAGCCAGAATGAATTCAAAATCTATAATAATAGAAATATTGATGGAGCTATAAGCAAGTTTAGGTAACTCTCAGGTTAATGTTAACATCTTTTAGATCGTACTTAGTTAATACAAAGAACTTATAATGCTAGGATTTGGATATAGGCCATGTGACTGGAATTTAGGATTAAGGTCTGAAATTTATGGTTATGATTTGGTGTTTACGGTTAGGATTTAAGATTAGGAATCAGTGTTTAAGATTCAGAGTTAAAGTTTATATTAGGACGTAAAGCATATGATTACAGTTAGGAATAGGATAAGGATTCAGGGTTTTGATTTAGAAATGAAATTAGATTTTCTGGTTAATCTAATTTTAGTCCCAGTCCCAGTCCCAGATCATAATCCCTGAACATTAATCTTAATCGCCTAATGATCCTTTCATTATTAAAACTAATCAGCTATGTTTGATAAACACTACTCTTTTTTGATATACGTGCAGTGGTCTTGAGGTTGTTTGAACGTTCTTGATTCTAGTGGCCAACAGTCTAATACGTTGACTATCAATTTATCCACCTTTTTATAAAAACCACTAAAGATGAATTAAAATGATAAGCAGGATAAACGCATACTTGGAGATATGTAATGTTTACGATCTCAATTCGCTCTTTTTTTCATATTCTCACCAGAGATGGATGGTGATTTGCAGTGGAATCCAGGATGCAAGTCTCATTCTATTTTGGGCTAATTAGCTGCATGTACTAGCAACCCAGAGTTGATGTTCATTCCAGTACTTGAACCCATTACCTTTGTCTTCTAACACCATCGCGTTATCCACTCAACTACTGAGTCTAGATAACCATAAGCTTGTGCAATCGGATGAATTTTATTCCATATATAATAGTTGTTTGGATCTTCTCAATCATGTTTAGGACACTTATTGATCAATCTCAGAGTGAACATCAACTCCCGTATGCAGACATATTCAACTGACTACTTCCAAATAGGATGAAACGCATGTCCTGGTTTCCACTGCTAGCCATCATTCATCTTTGCTAATAATGCTTGAGAATAACTTCCAATATCGAGGCGATCCGCACAGGATGTATATATAGACTGATTAATTACAGTACTAAACATCATTGGGAAGGTTCAAACAACTAATATATATGAATTAAAAATTAAAAAATCAAATCAAACTACTTAGACGAGCACAAATTTCTTGACAAATTAATATCAGAACAAGAAAGTACCTTTGAACAAACATTAAAACTATTTTGGTGAATAGAATTAAAATTTTATACATGCATATGCATAAATGCTTCCTTAGTGGGACCCTTCATTAGATCGGACGATGTTATCGACGAGCTCACCATTTTAATGGCCCTATATCTGACTCCAGTTTGATAGTTTCTGATTGCTAATGAGATATAAATATCGTCTATCTTCGTATAAAAGTATCGACTTAATCCACGTTAGTGTATAACGAAATTAAATAAGTGAAATACGAGAATGAATGTTTCAATAGGTATATTTTGTACACTCATTGATCAGGACAGATAATTAGAGGGACGAAGCGAAGAGAACAGAGCGGAGCGAAATGACGCACGATAGAGTTGGAGGATGAGCCAACTCGATTTAATCAAGCGTTAATCGATATTTATAGTCACAAAAAATAAGCTACAAACATCTGAACGGGCTAAGAAGTGCACACACATACGCTCATATCAAAACAGTCAAGGTTGATAACTAAACAATTAACAAGGTCGAAACGTGACTCAAGAAGAATGCATAAATTGGCCTGTCGACAAGCTAGAAGAAGGTATATAGGCTTAACATAGTAACCGACACTACACCTCAAACAAAATACAGAACGACAATATTTTAAAGAATTAGAAATGAGAAAAACAAGAAGAAACTACGTTCTTAAACAATAAACGGAAGGTAGACGAAATTTGTACTCAAACATTTTGAAAAACACAAATCGAGTGAAGAAACACTTCTTTTCAATGGTAGAAAGTATTAAATGATATAATCCTAGTAACTAAGCAAAACTTTTTGTTAGGAATGTGCTTCTTACTACTAATGAGTAGTGTAGTAGTTAAAAACAGAAGACAAACGGGTTATCAGTGGTTTCTACTTGGCAATATGGTTGACACCTTATCAAACCGCTAATTTTAATTATTTATAGTACTTCACACAATAGTAATGAACATTAATGCAGAAAAGGCATCCTTCATGCTTTATATCTGGACTTTCCATTGAGTCCCAACAGCATTAAATGATGTAAGAGATAGAAGTCGTTGTGATGACACGTGTAGGATGTGTTCAATTCAATTAAATCGGTACCTCAAGACAGGTATGATTATTTATTTATCACTACATGAATAATTTCCAAAACACAGGTTGTCGTACTTTACTACTGCTTACATCATGTCGAAAACAAATTAAAGAGAGTATTCAGAGACAATGACGTCATGAAGTTACAAAGAAGCTAACAGCATAGAACAAAACTGAGACAGATTGACGTATTGATAGTGCCAAAGAGAGTCCTAGTCAGCATGAACCACTTTGACTTTGAATACATACAGATTAATTCAGCTTGATATATCACACCAATATCACTCATATAGCTACTCAAATAAGTGAAATTATCGACAATTTACAACAAACGATGAATGGAGCCACATACTTCTATTCTTATCCTAGCTAGTATAGGAAGTCAGGGTGGATGGTCAGTGGGTACATAGGTAACATATTGTTCAACACTTCGACTGATGTAGGTTCATAGTCTCCCCTAGAAGTTATTCACTTGGTAATTCTACCACACTTTTTCTGACAATACGTTGAAGACATCTATAGTCAAATATAAGCAAGTTAAATGCGTGTATTCAACCACAAAAGACTACATTTCACAGTTGCAAATAGTTACAGAGCAAACTACTGCAAAGGATACTTCATCTTTGATAAGCAGGTAAACATACCTCAACTGGATCAAACAGGTGAAATTGTAGCAACGTGAATTATCCTAACTTTTAAACAGACTTTAATAACTCAGACAGCCTGTGACTAATGAGTCACTTTTACCTTCTTAATAATCCTACTCATTTCATAAGAAATTGTGACCTTTAGTATGTATATGCCCTATATTTATGTCCTTATAATTCGACAACAATAGGTCTTGTGTGTGTTTGTGTGCGTGTATCTGTATTCAAACACCATCTTACATCTCAGCATAATGCACAAGATGTCGAGTCACCTAGACTAGTGGCTACATTGCAACTTAGTCGACAGAATTCGATCTGTGCTAGGAGCGACCTGACATACATGATAGTTGTCACTGACCAGTGATCCATCGAGATTGTAAATACATCTCAGTTCTAAGAGTTCAGTCGCGACTCGGATAGCCCGTCGTAACGTCACTGACTGTGAATCTGAGTGACCGAATCCGCCAGAGAGCATCATTCCCCCCCCCAAGATCACACATATGCCTTGCTGACGAGTGCCAAATATCACGAAACGTTTGTCGATCAGAGTTTCCTGTGGACTATATTCAACCACCACCTTACACCTGTTTCTAACGTCCATCTCCTTATCGCACTGTTATCTATTTTGCGTTCAATTAACCCTTGTAATGTGCAATATCTTGAGTAAACACATTTGCCTTGTCTACTTCTTATCTCTTCGTTTGTCTGCCGAAATGAATGTACGAAATATAAACAATCAAAACATTAGTATTCGACCTATTATATCTATATTGTTGTCAACAGAACTTATCAACAAAATATGTAAGAAGTTAGTTAAGTAGGATTTATATTTTGTCTGTCATTACCAATGTGATTATATTAAAGTTAAACAGCGGGGAGGGGGGTAAAAAGCAAAAACCTAATTTTATAATCTTTGTATTCACAAATAGGTTAAATGCTCTGGTGCAAGACTGGTAGGTCCTGGGTTCGAATCTCGCGAGTGCGGGATCGTGGGTGCGCACTTCCACTGAGGAGTCCCATAATAGGACGAAACAGCCATCCAGTGCTTCCAGGTTTTCCATGGTGGTCTAGTAGCTTCAATTGATTCATGATTTCAACTATGAGAAATACTGAAATCTCCACAAAAACCCTTCTGATTATAATCATATGCTCACTAGTGACTGACTTCAAGATACATGTCCTGGGGCTCTAGTGGGAAACAGTGACCAGTGGAGTTCAACCACGTCTGTTGTGAGATAACAACTCACTGAAGACAATTGGTGAACGGTTTCTCAAACTTCTTGGATTGGTTGAAGTTAGACAGTAACACCGTTGGATGCCAACCGGCTCAGTGGTCTATCGGTTAAGTGCTCTGGCGCGAGATGGTAGGTCCTGGGCTCAAATCTCGCGAGTGCGGGATCGTGAATGCGTACTGCCACTGAGGAGTCCCATTATAGGACGAAACAGCCATCCAGTGCTTCCAGGTTTTCCATGGTGGTCTAGTAGCTTCAATTGATTCATGATTTCAACTATGAGAAATACTGAAATCTCCACAAAAACCCTTCTGATTATAACAGTAAAGAATAAAGAAAAAATTAAAATTTCACTTACTTGAAAAGCTTTTTCATATCCATCTATATCTTCAGGATTATTATTAATTGTTGATAAATTAGAATCTGGCACAGCATCAGCTGAATAACGTAATATGAAAAACGTATCATTTGTACATAATGCTACTAATTGACCGGATTCATTCCAATAAACACCTTTTGGATTATTATCAATACGTCGAATAATTCGACCAGTTAACCAATCATAAAATGTTAAACCAGTTAATGAACGTACACCTAATAAATATCCACCAAATATTTGTTCAGCACCATAATCTAATTTAAATGTACGAACTTCTTTCATTTGTTTATAAACCTTAATAAAAAAAAGATGATATTATACATTGTAGTCATTTATTTAAATTTAATTAAACACATAAATATTGGTACAAGGAAATACCAGATATATATGCGCCTCACAAATCTCATTTGATTTGTGTGAGGGCTGTGATGCGGTTTTCTTAGGGGGCCATACCCCAAGCCTTCGATCTAAAGATACGATCCACAAGGCAGTGGAGCATCGTAAGGAGATGCAGTCCTATGGTAGCCGGTGACCAACGATTGATTAATACGCCATTTGTTCCCTCAGGATACTGGAGCCCATGTGCACCATTGGCTTGGAATCACGGTTTTCCAACTCCCCTAGATGGACCCTCCGTGTCCACCAACCCGGTTAAAGCGCTGGACATTCGCTTTTCGTCCTCTCAATTTCGTAGAGAACAGCCACGCCACGAGAAGGAAATGAATAGGACTTCCCTAGCATAGGTTATATACGTGTGGCTATGTGAGAGCATTTGGAGAGGAAGAGCGGACTCTTCCCACTCTCGGCCGTACCCCCCCCCAGGCATTTGGGGGCTGTAGTCGAGATGATGATGATGATGATGATAATGATATTGAATTTAGAAATAGGATTCATAGGAATATAATATTTTTGTTTATGTGAAAAATTATAATAATCGTACACAAGAAAAATTCAATCAATCAGTCATATATAAGCAACGTAGAAAGTGTGACATATATGTATTAGTTCAATTTGTGAACCCCCGATTGTCGCTGCTACCTTGACGTGATGGTCAGGCCTTTCTATCGTGATGAACCAATCGAGCTATACTGGCTGGAACGATCGTTCCTCAAGGTCCTACCATGCCAGACAGGTCGGTTGAAGAGTGGTAAGACTAAAGGCAGCAACCCCAAGATCCAAAGGCGAAGTTGTACTACCGACTGTACAGAGGTGTGACAGCAGTAAGGTGTTTCCTTCAGACAACCAGCATAACAGCGACGCTGCCTTCCCACAAGGAGAAGTGGGATTAGAATAGGTCGACCCTAAAAATGCACACCTCGCCTAATCCCACAGATATCCGTCTCCGGCGGTAAAAATTAAACAAGTACGGATCTAACACACAAAGGTCGTATGTGACCTACCTTCAGCAGTTGTCCCTTGGGCACTGAGGTCATGCTCTCAGGTCACTAAGACCACTTCTAATCCAATTTCGTTTTCAGGTACCTCTTATTATTATATATCAATTTGTGAACCATTTGATATTAGTACAGCGAGATGAAATTGTCAAGACAAGTCGTAGTGTAATTGAATTAGTAATGATATCAGTGGAAGAACGAAGGACTAAGCAGAAACAGTATGACTCGAGGAGGGAACGAATTCACAGAATAAAAAGTATAAGATACCGGTAAAGCTTAAGATCTAGGGAAAAGCAAACTCAGAACATCTACGACTTCGTGAACGATTCTGAACCATGTTACCAAAAGTCTCCAACCAATGAGTATGATAATCGCACGAATTCAAGCCATGCAGCTTGCACCTACCAACACGGATCAGTCCAACATTCAATGACTTAAGTGAGCTGACGTCACATTCATAAATATGACTGGGTTGTAAATTAAACAATAACAATGAATATAATGATGCTCCAAGAATAAAATTGTTTACCTAAGACAGTTTAAGCAAACGACCATCTGACAATTAAACTGTTACTACTTTTGAACACTGTAACTAACAGGAATTGAAAGAAAAATGAAAATCTAACTGGAATTTCATCCTCCGACCGATCGTTTAGATAAAACATGTTTTACCCAAATGTCATCATGAATGAATATACTTCTATAAAGAGTTCTAGAAAATTACTGGATATAATACGCTACATGAGAGATCTATCAGACGAATATACAGATATTTGACGTTAGTTAGTGAAGCTCATATACAACCATGTACATCTTTGTGTGTGTGTGCTTATTATACTACCAAAATGTCTAAAACCACAGTAAATTCACACCTACAACCCAACAGTTGAAAGTAGGGGAATAATAACCAGTGATTTATGAGATTATAAGTAAAAGATAAGTCAAGTCATACCTTCTCAGTGAAACACCGACTGACATTAAAACAACCGTTGTTTTTCTCCTTGTCCCTAACAATAAATCTTGATGACGTGACCATGAATATTGAAAAAATTGGTGACTGGTGCAAGTGTGATCGAAACATATGCACAATATATCTAGATGCACACTTCTTTTTGTTCAAATATATATGAAGATTGTCGAGTCCGAAGAAGACAAAATTATGGGTAACTTCGGGGAACTATATATATATATATATATATATATATATATATATATATATATATATGGAGTTTGTCCTCTGAGCTAGATCGTTTGGTCGTGAAGCTATTATCGTTCTTCTGGAAGACATCATCAGCACAAACTCCAGGTGAAGTGTTCGAATTTCTCCACATATGACTCACAGCTTGTCCTGTAGACCTCGATCTTGATTGGTTATTGTTGACCATTAATCAGTCATTGTCTACTTTAGTTTGATTGTATCGCCCATTGATTTGATTTATGGTCTTATATTTGTCCATAATTATGGATAAGCTGTAAGACATATGTGGAGAATTTCGAACACTTCATTTCTACCTGAAATTTTTGCCGTTGATGTCGTTCATAATAACGATGAAAGCTCCACGATCAAACCATCTAGTTCAGACAACAAAACTCCATCAAAATCATCCACATGACCTACAAATCTTTTCCACCATCTGACATACATTTCTTTCCTCAGATTGAGAAGGTTTATATTAAAATAAAGTAAATTATTGACGTATTTAACAATAAAACGATTAAAATATACCTTAACAACAGCATTACTCTCACGAACAGCATAAACTCCAGCATCGGATTGACACCATACAAATTCTAAGCCTTGACCAAATGTTTTATTTCTTAATGCCATAGCAGTGTAAACTATGTATTCGCCATCACCGTAAACAACTACATAACGTCCATTGGCATTATGTTCAATAATTTGTGGATATATTTCACATGTACCCATATCTTTGAAAGTAACTGGAAGACGTTCACCATCCTGGAATTGATAAAAAAATAAATTCAATGCGAAGTCATGTGATAAGAATTCAAAATATAGTGAGAATTTCCATCATAAATACTGTCCATGAGACGTTCATCGATAATTGAAAGATTCGTTAATCAGAATCCTAGTTATAATGCCTCTACTCTAAGTGCACTATTTCATTCCTAAACTAGTACACTAAGCTTTGATGAATGATACACCTCAACTGGCAAAAGTAACCTCGAAACGAGGCCAAGACAATCCTAGCTCTTATTGATCCCCCGACGTGTGTACCTTGTTCTGATAAGAGGACAAAAGGACACACCAGGCAAGCTTCTACTATTAATATTTTAGATGCTCGATGTATTTCTCCCAAACATACATTAGCTTACATACATGAATAACCAGATCGCAATGCATGCCAAACAAGAAGTTGTTCATTATCCACAAGCATCCCATGTGATAGAAAACGGACTAAATGGTAAATAAACAATTAACAATAATTTATCTGTACAACTATATGAATCATTATTTGAAATAGCTAAAAATCGTAGTACGTGGAAAGTATACTGATGATATGATGACCTATAAGTCATGTAGCTTATTTGTATACAACAGTCCCAAGTTTATAACGCTCCCAATGCATATCGACTAATATCTACATATACAGTTACAAACGCAGTATTTCAATTCATTCATACTAAGAGAACAATTTTCCTCATAAAAATCTATGTATCTACCTGAATCATTTCACTTCCTTCCCCACTGAAATTCAACGATCGTAAATTAGCTTGAACTAGCTCTGAATGTCTAGCACAAACCAATTTTCCAGATGCATCCATAGACATGGCAGGTTCATCTCGACCCAAAGATATAGCAACAGTACCTTCATCATAACCAATACCAACTATTTGTTTACCGCGTTGACATGTCATAGTCCAGACACGTTCTAAGCCATAATTTAATGTTGACTCTAAACGATAAGTGTTAGCGTGCCAAAATCGTACAGTGCCATCTTCAGACCCGGTAAGAATTATTGGCAATTCAGGATGGAATAAAACAGAGCTGAGAAAGAAAAACAGATACAGAAGAAAGGGAACTTGTCATTAGTAAACACGTAACTGAACTGCTAGTAATACAATTATACAAATTAGTGAAGAGATTATTCAAAAGAATAACGTAGTATGGACCGTACCGGATAAGATGTACCAATTCCTAAAGGAAGGATTCCCTAAGAGTTGAATTTGATAGTAGACATCTCCATTAGGGCTGATCAGACTTCCAAGATAAGTGGAGTTGTCGACGCGTTCGACTACTTCACTCCCTATCCTTAGTTCAGGTGTTGACGCAGGCCAGTCCTGGAGTAACAATTTACATTTAGAGGGGGAGAAGCGCATCCCAAACATCCAAGTATATATATATAGTTATTTTTACAAATGAAAATAGGCATGGGAAATCTATAATTGACTACCTGATATTTTGAGCATGACCTTCGAGAGTTTGAACACAAGCTTTAGTTTGATAATCCCATATTTTCACAGTTCTATCATCTGATCCACTAGCCAAATAAGGTTTATCACCGGATGTGGAATAATCTACACAATTGACTCCTCTCTCATGACCTTCTAAAGTGAAGTTTGGAGTACCTGATCCCAGGCTCCACACTTTGACTGTATGGTCCAAAGAAGCACTAGCAAACGTGTTATTATCCTTTGGATTGAATGCTAGATGCATAACATAATGATTGTGACCCTCAAACACCTGGAATAACAAAATGATAAACACATGTCAATGTGAAACATAAATATTACTACTCCAAAATTTGACTTGTATAACATGGTCCTCGTTAACAAATTCTAACTGCTTCATTTAATGAACTAGTTGTAAAACAAATAAACGAATATCCTAGCATTCCGTTAAATAAGGTAGGTATCCCTTAGTTATATGATAATGCAACGGCAACATATTTTCCTTTCTAGGTACTATAAGAACACGTTATCATCCCCAATAGTAGTAATAAAATGGCACAACTGAAACAGAAAAAATACATATCCTGCTTATCAAGCGTTATATTCATTCATTGTCGATTTAGTTGCTTTCAGTGTCGCCTATTATTACCAACATTACTGGTAAGTAGTAGTAGTAATAATAATAATAATAATAATAATAATAATAATAATAATAATAATAATAATAATAATAATAATGTAAATTGTCTTGCTTATAATATGAGCAGGAATAGAATCGTCAATAGAATTCATCATTTCATTCATTTGTTATTATTACTTACCATATTGCTAATTCACCCCTTTTATCCCCAATTTGTGTAACCTTACTCTTCAACTTATGCATCAGCTCGCTCTTGATGGAAAATCTGTCCTATCTAAACGATCTCCAGTCACTGTCTGGTTGAAAGTGAATGCTTCCACCGATAATGAATACTGAGGCAGTCTTTCTGAAACCACGTACGCCGTTCAAGCTGGCTTCCTTCAACGTTCGCACACTAATGCAGATCAGACAACAGATAGGGCTGGCTATGTCTTTGGAAGGTCTTAATGTTGATGTTGTTGTCTATCCGAGACCCGTATTCAAGACTCTAGTGAAGTACTACAAATCCGCTCTCCATCTGTCGCCTCGAAAAGCTTGTTCCACGTGAGCGTATCCGGGGACCCTGTGGCATATTCGTCTGGTCTTGCTGGCGTTGGCGTCGCACTAAGCGTCAGGGCTGAGGCAGCATTAATCGATTGGATCCCCATTAACAGTCGGTTATGTGCTGTTAGATTAGAAAGTTCCATCAAAGTGAGAAGAAACCGGCGTGAGAAACGGTGTCTTTTCGTCATCTCCGCCTATGCCCCGACAGATTGCAGCCCGGATGCAATCAAGGATGAGTTTTACCACCAGTTAACAGTTCTTCTCCAGAAAGCGCGTTCGACAGATATTGTAGTACTAGCCGGAGACTTGAATGCGCAGGTCGGGCGTCTAGGCACAGAAGAGAGTCGTCTAGGTGGCCGATGGGGACTTGTTGGTCGCAGGACAGATAACGGGGACCGTTTGCTGCAACTGTGCACAGACCACAACCTGTTTCTGGCCAGCACTAACTTCACGCGCAGTCAATGCCGGTGTGCCACCTGGCGTCCTCCCTCTGCATCTCAACCCTGGACTCAGATTGATCACATCGCGATCAGCTACCGCTGGCGTGGTTGTGTACAAGACTGCCGCTCCTTTTGGAGTACCTATCTGGAGTCTGATCATGCACTGGTCTGCGCCAATCTCACCTTACTTTTCAGTGGCCGAAGGATTGACCACCACCAACGGATTGATATTAGTAAACTGGCTGCAACTTCTGTTGCAAGTAAGTATCGAGCGGAGCTAGCCTCTAGGCTAGCTAGCACCCCACCGAAAAGTATAGATGAGCATTGGTTGCATCTTCACGACGCCATGAAAATGGCGAGTAAAGCCGCTTACGGCTTCGCGAAACGTCCCGCTTACAAGCACTGGGTCTCTTCTGGCTCCTTACAACTGATCGAAGCCCGTCGGTCTACTCCGGGTGACCGTGAGTTTGACCACAAACGAAGGCTGTTACGTAATGAAATCGGGCAAAGCTTGCGTAAGGACCGGGAAACCTGGTGGTCGGAGCGTGCTAATGAGATGGAAGCAGCAGCTGCATCTGGTAACTGCCGGAAGCTCTTCCAACTCATCCGAGCCACTGGCAGCAAGAAGTCTGGTGTGAGTGAAACAATCTACGAGGATGATGGGATGCCAATCACTAACATCTCCCGACGTCTTGGACGATGGGCGGAATTTTTCGAAGGGCAGTTCAACTGGCCTGCTGCTCCGGCAACATCAACCAGCTTGTCCTGCCCCCCATGGCCGGTGACGACTGTTCCACCAAACGAGGCGGAAGTCTGCAAGGAACTCCAACTCTTGAAGCGCTACAAATCACCTGGCCCAGATGACTTACCTCCGGCTCTTTTTAAAGATGGTAGTGACTTTCTGACTAAGGAATTGACTGTGTTGTTTGGAAAGGTTTGGGAGCAAGAAAGTGTTCCAATATCATGGAATGAGTCAATAGTCGTCCCTATCTTTAAAAAGGGTTCACGTTGTTCCTGCAATAACTATCGGGGGATAAGTCTACTTCCGATTGCGTCCAAACTATTGGCTTCTATCATTCTTCGTAGGTTGTTTAAAACCCGAGAACGATTGACTCGCGAGGAGCAGGCTGGTTTTCGTTCTGGTCGAGGATGCATTGATAACATCTTCACCCTCCGCCAAATGTTAGAACACCGTCATACTTATCGCAGGCCAACAATCGTAGTGTTTCTTGATATCAGGGCTGCCTTCGATTCGTTGGACAGGACTGTTCTCTGGGATTGTCTATTGAAGAAGGGTGTGCCTGAGAAGTTCATTAACATCTTAAAGGCCCTGTATACGAACACCTCAGGCAGAGTGAGGGCATACAAACACCTTTCTCCCTTGTTCCATTCGAGCAGTGGGGTTAGGCAGGGTTGCCCGATCTCACCATTCCTCTTCAACTTTGCCATCGACGACATCCTAGAAACAGCTCTGGTGGATGTAAGTAATGGCGGTGTGGATATGTTGCCTGGAGAACGACTTCTCGACCTCGAGTATGCGGATGATATTGTCTTACTGTGCGATAATGCCCAAGGCATGCAATCAGCACTCAATCAGTTGGCAATCAGTGTCCGCAGGTACGGCATGTGCTTTGCACCCTCCAAGTGCAAAGTACTCCTACAAGACTGGCAGGATTCTCATCCTGTACTCACCCTGGATGGTGAGCAGATCGAAGTAGTTGAGAAGTTCGTGTATCTAGGTAGCTATATAAGTGCTGGTGGTGGCGTGAGTGATAAGATTGATGCACGTATAATGAAAGCCAGAGAGGCTTATGCCAATCCTGGCCATCTTTGGCGCCTTCGTGATGTTAGTCTGGCTGTAAAAGGTCGGATCTACAACGCGTCGGTGAGAGCAGTTCTGCTCTATGCTTGTGAAACCTGGCCTCTCCGAGTTGAGGATGTTAGACGTCTCTCTGTGTTCGATCATCGTTGTCTCCGAAGGATTGCTGACATACAGTGGCAACACCATGTTAGTAATGCAGAGGTTCGGCATCGTGTGTTCGGGCACAGAGACGATAATTCAATTGGTGTCACCATCTTGAAACACCGACTTCAGTGGCTTGGACATGTTTTACGAATGTCGTCCCAGAGACTTCCACGTCGTGCATTATTTGCCGACCCTGGGACTGGTTGGAAAAAGCGGAGAGGAGGTCAGTGTATGACATGGTGTCGTGGCATGAAAGGGAGCTGCAAAGGGCTAGCTTCTGTTGGTCCTTCACGACTCCTTGGTTGGGGTCCGAGAGATGGTGCGACACAGTGGCTAGAGACGTTATCAGATATGGCTCAGAATAGAAGCCAGTGGCGATCCTGCTGTAACCTTCTTTTACTTTCTTCATAAAGAGTGGTTCTAACTTCCTTAACTGAGAGAGTTCTTCTGGTTGTACATTTCAGTCCGCCTTATCTTTTCATCCCTTCTCTTCCTACTTTCATTATTTTGTATGGCGCATATGTACCTGGTGCCCTTTTGTACCAATATATATGTGTTTAAATAAATAAATAAATAAATAAACCAACATTACTACTACTATTTCAAAATCTTATTACTATATTACTGTTACCAATCAAATGAGCCTAGGAAGTACGATTCTTGATCCCTTAAAATCATATGGCTAGATAAATGCCAGACCTCTCTACGTATATAAGTCAAGTCAAACAGGTAGCAAGCTGCTAGCTCACAAATTCATGTCGCATTTCTGAGAAATACAAGTGCAATTATTTATCAAACTTTAGCTGACAAATTTAATGGGCTGGTATGATTCACTCCACTAGTTTTCAGGAGATTTACTGGATAGTCCGAACAGACTTGCAAATGTGGGAACATCATTAGGTCTTAAGGTGGAAAGCCCTTTCTTATATCCTGGTGAAGACATAAGCACGGATAACTCCTAAGAACTACTAACGGACTATTATTCCATATGTATTCTTATTGTTTAACTATTGAGTAATTAGATTGTGTATATCTATATTCATCTTATTGTAAACTTCATTCTGATCTATGAATTATTATTATATGATTTACTGTCCCTAAATTATATCCAGCTTATTGATTATTGTATCCCAAGTTTACAGCCACATTTGGCTGTTGTTGTGTTACTAAATCGACCTTTCCCATCATCCTGTTTTTACTTCATACTTTTTAAACCATTATACACAGATTGGAATCGTGAAAAATACAGTTGTGGAGTAGTGGACGATAACAATATTGTCCTGTTACTCATACCCACGTAAATGAAGTAGGTTTAAATCTGTGAAAAACCCTTTAGTCTACTGAATTACACCTCTAATTACCCATTGTCAGACAAATCAATTAACAAGAGAAAATGTTTGCTAGCTAAATTTAAAACATACCTGAGCACATGTCCAGTTATTTTCCCAATCCCATAAACGTATAAGCATATCATCTGAACATGTAAGAATAAATGGTTGAGTAGGATGCACAACAATGGATCGTATATAATCAGAATGTGCTTCTATTTGTTGAATTCTTTCAAGAGTATTGTAATTGAAAACTCGCAACTGTAGTTAAAAGTATGAAGAAAGTAATATATGACGTGACTAAAATGAAAAATCTGAAAAAACGCGAAGTTTGCAATAACCAAAGACATCCACTTATGATAATGCATTCAAAATTATGAGTATTATCAGTCAGTCATGGACAAAGCATGATGTGGAACAAATGTACACTAGTTCAAGCCATCAAATTCAGCACAGCAAAGAGAAAACATAAAGCCAGTACTAACAATAGTGCCCATATTGATAAGACAACCTACCAAGAGAGAACACATGAAATCATTAGACAAGAAGTATGATACAATATTTAAAACACAAAAACTCAGAAGAAAAAGAATACACACCTACACCATGATAAAATCTAATCCTAAAGTTTCCGATTACAAAAGGCGATTATCTGCAGATGATGGTCAAAGAATGAACCTTTGGCAAAAACCTGAAGATATGAATCAAACGAGAGAAAAGAATCTGGTGAAGTCCATCTCTAACATATGTGATCCACTATAGAACTAGACACCACTACATCGATTCACATTGCCCAAAATTATGATGATTCGAAAACAAATAGCATTGAGAAGTTAATAGTATAGTTATGTATGGTACTGGAATTAGAAATATAACTCTCAAAACAGGAGATAAATAAATGAAGCTATTATTAAATGTGAAATAAGCGGCCCATTTCCTGTTGACTGGGTCTCGAGCTAGGAAAGTTTTGTGGCGCAAATAAGTTTGCTATTTTATGCGACAAGAATGGTTACTGCATGAGGCAAACGGACGGATCATTTTAGATAGAAAAAGTAAACTACAGAAAGCCTTAAGCTGAATGAAGAATGAGTAAATCAGCACACTCAAAGCATTAAGCCTAATAAAACATTGAATCGACCTATTGTATTTTTTCCGTTTACAAATGTTAATCTTTCTAACTTCATAATCAGGAAATAATAGCGATACTGCAGAGTTATTTGAAACTCACCTGCATGTCATCAGAGCCTGTAACGATCCAATTTTTTCGAGCCACAAATTTCGCAGCGCGAACAGGGCTTGTACACACTTCTATAGTTTTTATCAACTGCTGAGCCTCGATATTCCATATATGCACATTTCCATTATACAGTGCAGCACAAATCCATGGTTCTGTTGAGTGTAAATCCACGGACTTAACTCGATCAGATCTTGATAGAAGTTTTCTTTTAATATCAAGCTTCATTGGCATTCTTCAGTATTCAGTAATATGGAAAATAAACCTTAATTTAAAGTACACGTTGGAGTCAGATCATGAACCCGCGTTACGAGACAAAACTCTAACTAGGATGTTTAAACAACATCGACAAAGACTGGTAAGAAGGTAATAAACATGCTTTTATCACGATAGTCTTAATACCTAGAAGCAGATGAATATTTATATCTGTATTGTGACACCTAACTATAAAATGGTAAACTATATTGCTACGGGTAAAAAATGTGTAGTAACACTAGTAAAATGACGGGTTATCGTGGGGAATCTCCTCGCTACGGAACAACATTCCTGTCTCCTTTAGATAAGACGACCATAGAAATAAGAGTGGATATGACTCCCTGAAACCATGTAGATAAAGATTCTTTCCAGTATGAATCCTACTAGGCACAATATAATACTAAAGCATGCTATCTGTGACAGCTTGATATCACTTGAGTGCAAGTATCTTGTCTTTGTAGGGGCCATGAGTTTTTTTAGAGCTCGACAAAGTATTCTAGGAGTGACAATCTTTTAAAGTTCAGTCTGTGTTTCCGATAATGTTTGCGAACGTAATCCAATGGATATAACTTATAAGTTGCCCCTAGGCGTTTGTTTCAACTTGACTTTCTAAGATGTTTCCGTGAATTTAGCGTTATTGTGATACTTATTAAATCCATTACGAATAAGCAGTAGAGTCAATGCCCACATTTTCACTTTCAGTTTCTAAGCAGAATTGCTCATTTAAACATTTACTAAAACAAACCACTGCACCAAATAGTAGAACGACCGTACTATCAGAAATGATTTCTTGATTAGTAGAAACTAAAACCAATAATTTGTTCGGACGTCTTTATTTCAAAAGTCTCCTAACACGTTAAAGTCGGTTCATGTCACTTTCCGTAGCGAAACTTCCCAAAATATTCTGGATAAAGCTCTATCTTTTGGCCTTGTCCTCCGGGTATCGACGGATAACATGGTATCTTAGGTAGATACTGTTGCATTTTCGTTTCTTATAACGTCGGCTGCTATGCTAGGAACTGATACTACACTTGCAAATCCACTCACCATTGCTTCAACATACAGCCCTAATAAAGAGGATAGTAGATTTATTAACCTTCTCCTCCATCTCGTATTCCGACCTAGGCATCGTGGAGTTAGAGTCTCTCAAAATTAAAGAGATCCTAAGGTGCTTGAACCCACATCAACCTGCAGGATTAAACTAAATTAAACCCACAGTCCTTAAGTAATTTCCAGATCTATCATTCTTCTCTTTCTATTGATCTCTTCAAGTTTCCCTTAGTCAAAAGCAAACTACGTTGTGACTGAAAAAAGAGTATGGTTAATTCTGCAGAGAAACGAGAAAGTAAGCTAAAAGTCCTTGTTCTCTGCGGTTGCAGATGTTATAGGAAGAGTTTTCAAAGAATTCCTTCAAAAGATCTGCCAAAAAGTCATTTGTTTATCACTCACAAAACAGTTTCCTCCCTGACAGACTACGTAATTCGATAATGACTGTCTGAAATAGATGTAACCTGTAACTGAAATACAACTATTCCGTTCAAATAAGCTGTCTAGAATTTTCCGAAGCATCTAACGGTATTGATCATTGAACTCTCAGTCTGGAACTTGAGGCCGTTGGCATTAGTGAGGTTCGATGAATTGTAGATATTTACTATTACAAGCCGTTAGAGTTCGTTCTCCTTCATTTGACTGGTTCTCAAACAAGGTGAAACGAGGCTCAGCCTTTAGCCACTCCTCTTTTTATCGTTTATCAACGATCTGTCCACTACTCTAGGCTCCCTGACTCTGTTATAAGCGAGTTGTCTTATATTCGGAGGGGAACGCTTCACCCAAACGACATTGCGGTTTTACAAGAAATTTCACTCAGGGTACACAATGAAACTACGAGAAGTTTCTTTTTCTCGATACCATCAAGCTCAGAATGCTAATGGTAAATAGCAGTAATGATCTTCTCACCTTTTAATTCCGGTGAGATTGTAGTGTCACATTTTCTACCCAACAAAAGAGACTGTCCATCGTTCCATTTGGTACTCTATGTGACGTTTCCGACCAGCCTTCGCCTTCAGGCCTCTTAAAATCTGATAGCCTGGTTCTGGAATTATTTAAAACGTTCTTCAGTGTTTATCTAAGCTTTCATCCGACAAACACCTATACAATGGGCTCATTTATCTTGATAACAATATTGCTCTATTGAAATGTATTCAAAGAAAGGCAAGTGACAAGGTTTTTGAATTGGAAAAAAACTCTTCTCATCTCTCCTGGAAATTCTAAACTTTCAGTCCGTGTAGTATAAAGGAATTAAAGGGATATAATAATGATGTATTAAAGCACGGTTGATCCACTCGTAACTGACGACCGCAAGTAACAATAGAACAGAATAGTAATTCAAGTTATCAACCCAAATATTTATCTTTCTAATAAAACAAAATTTCAGAATTTAGGTTGCAAGACCAAAAATCAAGACATCAAACCAAAATCAGAGTGAAACCAAGATGTCAGAGGATAACGTTATAAATAAACGGGTTTGAAATGCGAGTAAAACAAATGCATCGAAAACACGGTGAAGCTGTTAATATTCAACATAACAGTTTTTAATCAATCAAACTCTGATGATTAGAAGTAGTTGAATTATTATACGAACTAGGAATCCCCGAAATAACGCATGTTGGACCAAATACAACTAGGTGAGCACGAACGGAAGTATTTTGTTTAGAATTCAAAATCAGGCTGTCATCTGGTATAAAAAAACCGTTAGTTCATACAGACAGCACAACCACTACAGCTTAAATTGGAATTTAAGTTTCTGTAGTCAGTCAGGAGTATTCTTCTTAGGTTCATTATATGTTTGTCAGACTGTGTATTAGATACAGACTCTACATGATCTAAAATATGCTCATTAGTATTTGATTTAACAAATAAAATTGGAACGAACTCTCCTGGTTCCTGGAATTGCATATGATCATTATGTCGGTTATGTACTGAAATAACTGGTAGCTAGAATTTCAGTCATAGACTAGTAGTAGGCGTCGAGTTGCGGTTGACCATTACCACCACTATAAGAATACTACGTGCCAGTTACTAGGTTAGACTCCTCCAAAGGCCAGATATCAGGAGGCAGTTAATGGTTGTAGTAAAATGTATTTATTGGCGATATCGTGGTATCGAAAGTGTTATAACGTATGGACTCGTAATATATATAAACGTGCAATGATACAGGAAACACGTACGAGCAGTCTTGATTGCTATTCGGTCCTTCCTATATATCTAGCCCACCCGTTAAGTCCACAACGCAAATACAGCCTCGGCAATATGAATCATTATTTACAAACATACAGGGTTTTTATACAAACCAAAGTAATCAATAAACTGATTATAACTCAAGAATCGTATGATAATGAGCCAAGGTCAAAATAAAGCTAATGATAAGAGAAATACGAATATGAATAGTTCAGTTACGTGATAATTGTACAATAGGAAACAGGCATAATACATTGGTCGATAAATAGTCCTTACAGTTACCATTCATAATTCACCGGGGGATATAACAGAAAGAATACCGAGACGTGCCAAAATCCACAAGCAAGACCACTGAGTGTATGCAAGTTCGTGAAAGGTCAGAGACAACGGAAAAGTGTCTTTCCGGCACACTTAAACAAACAGGTACAGTCACGGTTTTACTCTTGTGATTTGTTGCATGGTTCGACCTCTGCCACCAGTTAAAAAGCGTATCACTTTAAAAACAGCTCTTAAAGCTTTTGGATTATTTTGTACATTCACCGGGAGTGGTCTTTTAGGTTACAAACTATTTGTAGAATTACCATTATACAATGGACCAACAAGAGATCTACAAAATAAGCCAATTGTGATAACACAACCATGTTCTAAAATTTCTCGAGAATTAGTATATAATTTAGCTAAACAAGATTCACATCTTATCTTAGCTGATAATCACTGGGATAAATGTGAAGAATTAAAAGATCGTTTATTACGTAAATTTAGTGTTAAATCTGATATGATTGAATGTCGTCATTTAGAATTAGATAGAATGTGAAGAATTAAAAACAATCACTGATATGATTATTTATGATGATTATTATTTTCTTTACACCGATCGTGTCCTCCTCATAAAAGTAGGTCACTACAGGAGCCCTCCGCTAGAAATGTTGTACACTTTCGATATGCAGCTGTTTCGCTCTAGGGAGTGATCGGTAAAGGTGCGGTTGTAGGACGAAAGGGTTGACAAACAGGTGTAGCTGTAAATAATTCCCCAAAATCAATAGTTCATTAAGTGTTCGACATTGGATGCTGACCATGTTGTTTAAGTGGACTTGTTTAGCTGAAGGCTTTCGGTCATGCATCCGCACCAGGTCACGTATCAACACGGCGTGAGACACAGCTCCTACGTTTCATTAGCCAGCTCATAGAAAAGGTCCTCGATATATTGGTAACGAATCAAATATATATTTCCTGCCTCTTCTCGTCTGACTTCTGATTTCTATCTGACTGGGAACAATCAAATTTAGAAGGTGCTACTGGTAGCTAGTTGTAAAACTAGAACATCCGTTGCATCATCACAGGAAGTAATCGTTGATACTAGAGTTGTCAACGAAGGTCATTTACGTAGAATGGTACCAGGAGAAACGTTCTATATTTGTTGCTTGACTTAGCGTACCACACCAGAGTGGTTTGTATCCAGACTCTGAGGATTGCGTTTGTAGGGGTTTGGACCAGAAAACGCTGCAGAACCACATTGAGTCAAGAAACTAGAAGTGACCATAACTACCAGCCACGAGATCATATGTATGCCAGACATATTCGGAGCCTGAACTGATTGAGTTAAAAAGAGCATAGGTGATCAGTCCAGCTTTCGCCAAGATTGACTGAAGTCGACGATACCAACAGGGCTATGGTCGGAGGCGTGGGCTCAAGATAAAAAGTCTAAGAAAAAGAGAAAAATGTAGCATGCATCTAGTATAAGGATAGAGTTTTATACCGTATCCGTTGTTGATTGAGGTTAGTCGTGACAGCGTACGGGCAGGCGTACAAGGCGACCGGAACGTGAGAGGGTAGTCTGGTTTGTACATAATTTTGGTTCCCTATGTCGCAATATCATGACTAATTTGACGTTCTCACTTTTCATTATCTTCCCATATCTTCCACTTCGATCATTATGTGTGAGTATTTAGGGGTACACACTGACATATAATTTGAGGCATTCCATCATGTGACTTTAACTCGCATTAAAAGTATGATACGTATCTCCTTTGATTTTCATGTTAGAATACATAAGGCCGTTGCTCTATTTATCAGATAAATATGCATTGTTATGTGTAATTAACACATGCGAATTATCTGGGCTTGGTTTACCTGCATGAAAATCACGTGGAAAATGTGAATCTGCCTCATACTCATTAGGATAATCTTGGAATCGATTTGCATCTTCCGCCTGTGCAAACTTTATATCTGCTCAAATCGCTTATCTGACTGCTTCGGGAAAACTTGCTATTCCCTCTGATTCATCGTACCACTGAATAGGGACTCTATGTGACACTCATTGACTTGGAGAATATCCAATAGCTGATACAATAACATCAGAAATGTGACTAGAATTTGACTCATTCGGAACATATTTGTCACATTAGATGGGAATATCACTATAGATAAATCCATTGTGAGGATAAAAACGTTTAATATGACACCATATAGAGTGTAATCAGGTTTAAACTCATTTAAAATGTGTTCTTGACATTTAATTAAGATTTCACTAAAAATGAGTGAATATTTAAGACAGACCACATCTGATAAAATAACATGATTCTGATGAGCACTCGATATATCCTCTACATGCTTGTAAATAGTTTTATTAGAAATGTATGAATCATGATAACAACGCCCACCTGGTAAAATAATATCATAAATCTGATCACAGTATGATACATTTCAAACGTTCAACTTAATGGGATCACAATTACTAAGTTTAGCTTCACTTGCAGCGAAATGAACAGTAGTATTACAAAGTGACTGCATGTGTCCAATCATACCACATTTAAAGCATTTAGCATTACTAAACACAAGTGAATTACATAAGTGAAATTTGCTATCGGACAAACATTTACCAAATATGTGCTCATTTTCGTGACCTGCTTCGCAAGCCCTCAATAAATTGTTATCTGCATAACCTTGAGTACACATTGGACTGGGATGACGGAGTAATGTAGCGAAATGTTCGATGTCCTGATGAATCAATTTATGAAATTTTCCTCCTTTACAGCATTCGAAATTTGTACTCTTCACATGGTCTAGTAGTAGTTCCTTGAGAGCTACTTGTGAAAGTGAAATAGGCTTTTCTGGATATATCAGTGTTTTTAATAAACTGTTTTTTTCCGATAACTGTAAAGAAATGTACCACAATATTAACATTCTCAACATCTTTCCTGTTCATAATCCAGATTTTGAACCGTCTCATATAATCCTCAAAAGCATCGAAATTTGAATGTATGTTCAACTGTTCCATTCCATGCTCCATTGTGACGCCAATTTGATGAGTAGAAGTAATTGAATTATTATACGAATTAGGAATTCCCGATATAGCGTAATCTAGACCAAACACAACTAGGTAAGCACGAACGATAGTAATGTATTTAAAGTTCGAAATCAAGCACTCATCAAGTACGAAGGAATCATTAGTTCATACAAACGCCAAACAGTCATTCTTAATCTTATATTTTGATGTTGGTTAATCTTATATTCCTTTATGAATGTTATATTCCGCCTATACTCAAGTATTACTGGTGAATAAGATACTCGTATAGCATAATGGAGTCAGAAACTATAAGATTCATATATAAGCGAAAGTGGATGCTTGTGAATTACGGCTATATCGAGGCAATACGCATAGTATGCACATAAGACAATAAGAGACTCATCAATTGCAGTCCTAAACATCAATGAGAAGATTCAAATAAACAATACCAAGCGAATTCATAAGATACATAGCTTTTAACATGGTTTTACAAACCTTGAATGATGAAGCATCTAACACATTTGTACCCCTTCGAGGTATGATCATCTAAAAGTGTTTCCTTTAAACAATTATATGAGAAATAATTTACGAGACATATGGTAAATCAAGCAACAACATGATGATATCAACATCATATGTCAACACATTAAACAGAGAACAATACAACATGTAATTCTTTACGAAGAATCAGCTTTTCATTGAGTAAAAATGGGAAGGAAGGAGAGTACCATTATAATCATCAAATCAATTAACTATTCGGAATACATGTAAACACAATGAAGAGGTTTTAGTAATGTATACCCTTAGAAATTATTGACAATCACATGAGCTACTGATTTCTACTAAGTAGCATAATACAATATACATAATACAAGTGAATACGGGTGAAATGAAGGTGAGAACAGAATCAACAGTTATGTACTGAAAAGAATGATGCATTCATATAAGCAAGGATTAAGTAATGCGTTATTTTAGAATGCTAGAACCTAAAGTCGTTTATCGATGATGGTGATTGTGAGAAATTTACCAGTAATGTGATGAAATGTTTTTGATGGAGTTTTGTTCGCTGAGCTGGATGGTTTGGTCGTGGAACTTTCATTCTTATTCTGAACCATTTCATCAGCACAAACTCTAGGTAGAAGTGGAGTGTTCGAATTTCTCCATATATGAATCACAGCTTGACATGTAATGATAATTTTAATGTCTATCTACCCAAGTTCTGAACTAATTCCTATGTAGAACTGTGGTATGTGCAACTTATATTGACATAAGTAGTATGTAACAATAGTCAGGAATAGAATGTCTAGCAACAGAAGGTCGAGAAGACTGAGAAGGAAATAATGAGAATAGAAGGCAATTGGTACAGAAATGAAGGAACAGTGAAGTCTGAGACGAATGATTAACATTTTTCAAATGAAGTATTTACTGTATGGTTCCCAAATTTTACTAAGTTGTTCTGCAATTTTATATTCAAATACATTCAATTGTCCCCATTAGTATTCTCAATCACTACAGAACCACTGATTGAAATCTTTTATTATTCTGTTATTATTGATATCATTACCAGTACACCTGTCGTCTTACCATCAATTTGCATCTTTGTGTATTATTTATAGTTATGTCATTTATTTTATTGAATGTGTAGAAATATTCATTTTCAGAAAGGGGGTTTTGTGGAGATTGCAGTAAAGCTAGGCCACCATTGAAAACCTGGAAGAATTAGATGACAGTTTCGTCCTAGTATAGGACTCCTCAACGGTGCGCATCTATGATATATTTAATGCAGTTCTAGTAAGAAGCCGTGACCAGTGGAGTTCAACCATATATGTTGTGAGGCAGTGAATCACTGAAAACAATGGTGGACGGTGGCGCAATTTAACATCGTTGGGTGCCAATTCAGTTGTCTAGATGTTAAGTGCTTGTGCACAAGATCGAAGGTCCTGGATTCAAGTCCCAAGCTACAGATCGTGGATGCGCATTGCTGAAGAATTCCACACTGGAAAGAGACAGCCTTCTAATTTTCCTAAGTTTTCCATGGTTGTTTAGCTTTAATCGACTCATGAATTCATCTATTAAAATATTTATATGAAAGTGAAGCCTGATGAGAATGTAACTATGATCAATATTATTCACTGATCATATGTAATTCTAATTAGAATCCTTCTTTCATGGAATAACGCCTTAAGTGTACAAACATTCCCATTGAATGTAAATAGTTGACTGATACTTATAAACGAATACTTGGAAACAAATTTTGTTTGAAAAATGAAATTTCAAAACCATCTATTTTCATTTGGAAAATTGATATTTCTAACCAATTTCTAACCCCCCTCCCCCTGTCTCCCCCTCCCTCCCTCTCTCTCTGTATTGACTACATTCTCATTCATCACAAATGTATATATTCACATATTCCTTTGAAATCAATTCATTTATTATGTAATATACATTTTACACTTCACCTTTTATTTTTCTTAAAAAAATTAAAAAAACAAAACAGACTGATAACACATGTGTACATATTCATCTAATCAACAAACAGTTACCATGGTGATTGTTTCAGCCCCCCCTGGTTAATATAGAAATTACATAACAAAGTATATATATATATGTACATTGAATAAATTATGCAATGAAATCAAAAAGAAAACAAAAAAAACACCTGCAAAAAACATTTTTATAAATAACTCAACTAGTTAAGTCAATTCATCATGAAACATTTAGCAGTTGCTGTTGAAGAAGAAGAAGATAATAACGATGTAACTCATCTTGAATCGATCATTCCAAACTATCGAATAGCCTTTTTGGATGTTCTCTTCACTAATAAAACGGTAAGTCTTAATTATTAGTATCAGAAAGGGGTTTTGTGGTTATTATAGTAATTTCAATAGTTGAGATCATGAATAGATGTGTAGCTAAATTTTGTGGGTTGGTTGAAGTTAGACATTAATATCGTTAGATGCCGGCTCATTGGTCTAGACGTTAAGCGTTAGCGCGCGAGACCGATAGGCTCTGCATTCGAATCTCGCGAGACGGAATCGTGGATGCGCACTGTCACTAAGGAGTCCCGCAATAGGATGAAATGGCCATCCAATGCTTCCAGGTTTTCCGTGGCGGTCTAGCTTCAATCGACTAATGATTTCAACTACTAAAATTATTATCACTATTATTATTGTATCTAACATCAAATTGTTGATAGCTTGTTACCTTAAACCTTTTGAAATTATTTAAGCTTTGAATTTGAGGAGATTTATGATGATTATTTTCTGATATTTAGGTAATATTTCTCATTGGTTGACCTTATTTGAAGTAAAACTGAAAATGAAGAAATAGAACCGAATATAGCTGTTTCGAGTTAGTATAGGACTCCGTAGTAATGCTGGCATACGATCTCGCCAGGGATCGGACCCAGATCCCTTAGGTTTAGTAAGAAATGTTTAGTCAGTAGAACTAGCTATTCTGCATCCATAGATGCTACTCCAGGTTCAATCAAATTTCTACATAGTGTGAGGGTTATCCAATGCCATTTGTGACAAATGTTTAACTTACATTATGTCTTAAGTCTACCAGTGACAATTTCTCACTGGATATCAGAAACATCATGAAATGATCAGTGATTTGAATGCTATAGTTTAGTTGCATGGTTTTGTGAGGGCTAATTTAATTTGTTGGTTGGATTTGTCACAATCCTTGACCAGGGTTTTATCCCCTGACGGAATCCGTCAGGAAGCACCAGTTCCCTCAAGATTACAGGTACACCTTGCTGACGAGTGCCAAGTAGCACGAAACACGGGTCCAGGGTTTCCTGTTGACTACTTCCAATCACCATCTTACTTCAACATAGTGCACGCAGTGTCGATGCACCTAGACTAGTGGCCACATTGCAACTTGATCGATAGCATTTGTTCAGCACTAAGAAGTACTTGACACGCATGACATTGATCACCACCCAGTGATCAATCAATTGTGACTCAGCTTGCGTTCTACGATAAAATGGGGCAAATAGTTTTCTCATTTCAATCGCTCGTTATAGTAAAGTTTGATAAGGTCGATCACTAACTTAGTTCCCACACGTTGAACAGGCTGAAGCTTGATTTCATCTTTGTGAAGACACTATTTGGATGTTTGAATGCAATACTCTGAGTGAGGTCTCCTATAGGTGGTGAGCAAAATCAAAACATATCTTTAAAGCACTTGAGTGTTTGGTGAAGTGACCATAAAACTTGAAAATCTTTGGGAGCTGCTGGATTGCAATACTCACTTATTTTCAAGCCATAGACTTCCATCACCTATAGATCCACATGTTCCTGCACATATGTAGGTGATGTACTGTCGACAGTATATTGATGGGCACTGCCATGCTTAGTGAGTATTAGCATGCTTTCTATAATTAAGTTTCAAACGTTAAGCTTGGAATCATCGGAATAATTCGTCTACGTCAGTTTGATCAGCCTCACTACTCACTGTTTTTCAGAATTTCAAATCATCTGAAAATAACGGTCACGACAACTGAAATAGGGGAGAAAAATAGGGGAACTAACATGGCTTCCTATGGTACATCACTTTTAACCGGTTCCCAACCAGTTAGTGTCTCACTTGCCCTCACTCTCTGCCTCGGTCACTAAGAAATCTTTCAATCCACTCTTGCATGGCGTCAGTTATCTCAATTTTTGAGAGCTTCCATGTGATCCCTAAGTGAGGAAACTCATAAAACGCTTTGCATAAATCTATGAATATCATACTGAAGGACAATCCGTTATCTCGGGCTGCTGTCCAGTCCTCTCTAGCAATCAGTAAAGTAGTTAGGCACGAATGTTTAGTTAGAAAACTGTGTCGATTGGAAGTTAACGGGTTATATGAGACCACGCAATCTAGTAATTCAGCCCGAATTATTATCTCAGAGACTTTGACTACTATGATAAATAAACTAAGAGATGGTGGTTAGACACAATCTGTCTCTTTCGGTGTCATAGCTTGTGTTATGACTATGGGGCACATGGTAATTTTAAGCCTTTGAGTTTGGCCTTGAACTCCGTTCACGTTCAATCAAACTACTAATATTGATTGATCAATCTGCTGAGATTGCACTGTTTCCGACTTTCAGAATTCTAGCCCATAAGATGTTTAAACGAAGTGATGCAGATACATGATGTATATTGTGTCTGAAACCTGATGTACAGGACAACGTACCCACTGATCGTCAGTAGGGGCAGGTGCTGAATATGGGCAACATCATCACAGTGATGTTTGAGAACAAGAATTAACAACAATGGTTTGCGTTTCAAAACAAAATATGTCTGTTTTGAAATGCGTTGAACGGCAATTATCAGCAGGCCGCCATCAAGTCGTTCACAAACAACATGGACTTCCGTATACTTCTCCTTCAGTAACTAATCCATGTCTAGATTTATTCGTAAACCTAGCTATCAAACGTGTGATACTATAGTACAGTTTCGATGGACCGGATTACACTCGAAATTAGTCGCTAGCACATAATATTATCTCTTCTCTCATGAGATCTATAACCCCATCACTTTTAATACAGACGTACCCTGAAATATTTACAGATAACTCTGCATCTATTATGAGACAGGTTTCTGTGACAAAAGTTATATAAGGACTTAATTTTTCTATTATTAAGCTTAGTTCTGACTATGTATTTCTGAGACTTTGAGCTTTGGCTACAGGTATTTTGAAAAATATGTATTCTACCTAAATAGGTTTTTAAAGCATTGACTTCCAAGACTCAAGTACTTAAAAGAGCTGAGTCCTAACGTTTACTTCACCATTTCACTTCCGAGCCTCACTTAGCTAGATTTTTACGTAACAAATCTGGTTGGATACAAACATCAAAGTTACGAATTTTGTATGCCTTATTTAGCATAACAACTCTATCTGTAGCTGTTCTAGGGTTACTGCCGGCCACAATCTCAGGTGGAGGAGGGGGTTTGACATAGGGTCAGCAACCCCATCCCGTAGAAAATAACCATGCTAAAAAACACTAACTAGAATATGTAAATTCAGCCATCTAAACGCTGCCCTCTGCGTTAAGCGATCTCCTCTCGGAATAACTATGACGTTCCATGATGAAAGCCGAAATTCTAAATAGGTCACGAGACCAAAACACCCTCTCAAACAACCAGCGCAACAATTAATATGAGTGTGTGTGATGTCCGGATAATGCGGGAGACAGGGAAGACCAGTCAAATAGCGACGGAAATGAGGAGATATAAACTGGAGGGGATCGCAATTAATGTTATCCAATGATATGCACCCACCAATGATAGTATCGACTACAATAAAGATTATTCCTACTAGGGACTGCAATCAATCATAGTGAAGTGACAAAGAAAGGATCTCACCATTCTGATGCGAGATCTAAATGCTAAAGTCGAAGTGGATTACACTGGATATGGAGATATAATGGGACGACATGGACTGGGAGTGACGAATGAAAATGGGGAGGGATTCGCAAATCTATGTGCATTCAACATGTTGGTTATAGGCGGCAAAACATTTCCATACAAACGCATATACAGTGCTACATGGATTTCACCGAACCACACCACAGTAAACCAGATCATATTTTCATCAGTAAAAAATTCAGAAAGTCAATCGAAGATGTGAGAACCAGGAGAGGGGCTGACATAGCTTCAGATCAACACCTGGTTGTAGCCAAGATGGTAGATTACTTCAAGGAACTCTTAGATAGACCAGATTCAGTGAATTCACTGGATATGGAAGCGGCACCAACAGGCTTTCATATGGATCTCACTACACCAAAGGTCGAAGAAATCGGGACGACCATCACACAAATCGAGAGTGGGAAAGCAGTGGGGCCTGACAATATATCATCTGCAGCACTGAAGTCAGACAGAGAAGTAACTGAAAAAATGCTCCACGTTCTATTCAGGAAGATTTGAAAGGAAGAACAAGTGTGGATGAACTGGAAAGAAAGGCACCCCATAGAGATAACAAAGCAAGGAGAACTGAGCAAATGTGAGGATTACTGGGGTATCACACTACTGTCAGTATCGGGAATAGTTTTCAACAAAGTGTTACTAAACCAGATGAAAAACTCAATAGACGTCCAACTTCCAGATCAACAGACTGGATTCAATAAGGATCGGTTGTGCACAGACCAAATCACGACACTACGGATCATCATTGAACAACCAATTGAATGAGACTCGTCACTAAACATCGACTTGGTTGATTATGAGGAAGCATTTGACAGTGTGGATAGGAAAACCTTATGAAAACGTGTTCGACACTATGATGCTAGTGGCTGAGAAAATCGTCAACAGAAAAAATTAAATGATGAAATGCAGCTGGAAATCTGAAGATTTTTTCAGCCCACTTAAAGAAATGATAGTTGGTTATTGTTGTAAACGATAGGAGAGAGGATAATGATTATAACGCTTGCAGTTTCTGGTTATAATAGTCCTTTCACATTTTACACGTATGTGAGACGTTAATTTACCTTAAACGAATATCTACACTAGATTCCCACCCAGCATCTATTCTACAGGACTTCAACACAACTCAGATCAAGAACACAAGATTAGCCTGACTATAACGTCAATATATTTCCACACCAAAATCCTACACAAGGAACAATTAATTAATAACAGTCCATCAACAAGGAACAGTCGATACATAATAAGGATAGGGGAATATATATAACACATAACACCTATCATCCTATCTAATGTCTGACTCATCAAGACAACCAATCACTGTCATTCTCGCCCACACATCAGTTATATAAAATTATCGTACATGTGAGAATCGGAAGTATTTGAATTGTTGTATTAACTAAAAATACCCAAAATAGTATAATATACAACAAATAGAACTAAGTGAGCATAAACGAACGCATTGTATCTAGAATTCGAAATCAAGCAGTCTTTAAGTACATAGGAATCATTGGTTCATAGAGACACCACTGTGCAGTAATTTGCAATTTAAAATCGTCGAAATGACTACAAAGACACAGGAAAATAGGCTCTTGTTCGTTCAAACTTATAAATGGATTTACTTATCTAAGGCGCAAAGCTAAAATTAAGCCAACTTGACTACTTTGTGTGTATAAAGTTCGTCTTTCTAGTTATCTGAATCTTGTCTGATTTTATATGATAACATCATCAAATATGGTGCGTTAATTTCAACCTAATGACTAATGTTTAATCCATATATTCATAGTTTCGTTTAAAGCACGCTTATTCAATATGCTGTTGGTTGGTGGTGATCATTTTTGTAGCAATTGCCTATGTAACCAGGACAAACTATCTGAAAAATTCGAATAAACCAATTGTGAAACAGACTCAACATTGTTACGTTTGTGACAATTATGCAAGTTTGTCAGAAAGTTCTGGTTTTCGTCCTGGTCCTGGGACTGGATTGGCATGGTTTGGTGGAAAACCGGTAGTTGGTGGTTGGACTAGTATGTCAAGTAATGGAAATCAGTTAAGAGGTGGACTGACTAGTTTACAAATATCAAGACTGTGTTCAGAACGAGTGAATCGTTCAGCGATCAAATTGCTTATCGATTCAGAAAATTATGGAAAGTGCGAAAATATAAATTATGATGGTTGCGTTAAAATTGTGACGAAAAGTTGGAGGGTTCGATCACAACTCGGTGTGCCTTCATTGAGTGCTGTAGTTGTATCACGTACATGTGCTGCTATCCCAGAAGGATATGGTGTCGGTTGTTTTAATTCAGTTGGTGGTGCTGGCATGAGACGAACTATATGTTATTGTCGAGGTAACTTTTGCAATCATTCTGTCAAAACGAAAGAAATTAACAAATATTTTATCATTCTTCTTGTTTCGGTAATTGCTACTTCTCAGTAAGGTCATTCCTTTGTTTTTGGTCTGATCAACTAGTCTTCCATTAAGTATTTCAATCAAACAAAAGTGTTTTTCATCAACAGTAATTTTGTCTGATATTATTTTATCTAATATAGCTATATATTGAGTTAGTATTTTTAAAAATCCAGACCATTCACAATATAACTATAACAGTCCTGTTTTATACACCCTTGAACATGTTACAAAATTTGGTGGATTTTATGTCTTGTAAACTGTTCTTAGCTTGTCTGTATCATGGTTTTATATTATGGATGGTTGAATATTCACTCGATTGCTTGAACACAGTATACTATGTTTGTCTGTCGTGGTGGTCAAATATGAACACACATTTCTTCTGTTTCTCATAATCTGACATTTTATTCACCTGGTTGCTTTCTCTAATTCAGCTGGTTTTCTAAAATGTACGTCTGGATAAAATCTAACAATTTCCTCTTTAATTTATTCTATTTGCTGAAAAGTTATAAAAGCGTTTAAGTGATTATTAGTTGAAGAATAATGAAGAAGAACACTTTCATGTCAGATTAAGTCCTTAATATTCACGTCTACATTATCAATTGACTATAAGTTTTAATATTTTCCTCGGTATTTCATGTGTAGGTGAAGCAACATCTCGCTGTTATTACTTACTCTATAGGGCCATCTTTTTGTCATATTCACTCACTATCCGTAGCTCATATATTGGAAACGATCAAGAGAGCATACCGTTGATGAAAGTTAGAATGGTTGCGCTGAACTTATGAGTCGGAAATGTATAAATGACAGTAGGAACCGTCTAAATACGTCGACAACGATTTCACAAAGTGCACGAGTAAGAAACAGAAACTTGACTATGATTCTCAACAGAACCATCTTTGAAATACATTTATCAAGTAGGCGCAAATATTAACGACCACGTGCAAAAATGATTTGCATTGACTATTCAATTTGTAAACGACCCTCAATTCGAGCGTATGGTCGAATTAGCTCTCCCTTAATATGACTGCGTGAGTGCTATCCAATGTTTTTTCTCAGGCATATGTCCAGCTGTAGTTGTCATGTATGATCATGTATGCTGTTGACTGGCTGATTTTCAAAAATATTACAGAACATTGACTGAACATACCAGATAGTGTTTTGGTGTACCATGCAGAATGGACGTTTAACGTTGTTCGAGGAGAACAAAGTAAACCGAACGTTTCGCCTGGCAATCTGGTCCAAACTTTTTCAAGGAAATACAATAGACATACTTTCTTGAAGAAACGACGTCACCGTTAATAATACACAAAGTCGCTCGCTTGTTGTCATACAACAAAAGATGCTACAGAACTGTTCCTAGCCTATGGACTGTTAAAGAAGAACAGCTGTGCATGATTAAGGTATGTATGTTTTAGAAAAAATTCGAATTTCAAACGAGTAAGCTAAGGTGCATTTCACCCGTTCATAAAACAAGATTAAAACCTACTGACCGCTTACTATCCTAAATCGAGATGTGGACGCATTTTGTGTGGTAGATGATCAGTACGAACTACAGCATATAGATAACTGCCTAAGAAAGGCAACTCATGTTTTATTAACTTGGAATTGTTTTCTAGTGACTTCTCAAATCATCTACTATCCATGATTGGTGTAAACAGACTGATCGACGTGCTCCAACCCTATCTTCTTTCTAGAAACATGGCCCTTCCAACAACTCCAGCTGGAACTGGTTCATAGGATTTATTGTTAAGACCCACTTATATCGGAACGATAGCTCTACGTTTTTGGCCTATCTACCTTCTTGGCAATAAGGATATGTTGTCAAACATTAAGTAGCCGAAAATCATTACACGTGACTAACACTGACTTCTGGAAGTCTCACAATAAGTATTCACCTGTCGGGTTTCTACTGAAGATGAAAAACCTATGACCAGTTCAGACCATATGTCGATGAACATTCACTCTCAGTGGCAAGGAAGGCTACTTAAATCTGTAGTTCCAGCTCAGAAAAATTAACACAAAACAGCACCTCAGATAGTAGGTAAAAGTTCATGGATCTCCATTACTCACTTGAATGTGTAATGATAACTTGTTTGTGTTCCACTGGGAGGTTTTGTAATAAATTGATGATCACATTTGAAGCAACAACCATTTATCTCTTATTCGACCGAACACAGTATATCATCTTCCACGTTATGTTGTAATAAAGCGTAAGAAACACCAACAGAACTAGCTCTTAAGTGGAAACGAAATATTCATATCCAAGTGTTGTGAAGTCAGGAATATATTTAAAAGAGCCACCACTGTATCTCGTACAGAGCATAAAATGTGGTTGGCGTACAATACTTTTACTGGGTTCAAATTGATGTTTTCTTATTTTGAAAAATTATTATTATTATTAAAAGAGGATTAATAAAAATGGCGTTCCCTCCTTACTATTGTACGGGGATTTAGACACGATAAGTTGGCTTCAAACCGTGCTGAGTTTATTGAAATTCTGAAGTGCAGTCACCTTTGTGAGTATTATCATTAACGGTGCGCATAAACATACTATTGAAATAACCACAACATTCATCATGAAATCAAATAAATAGCTCTATGTTTGTCAAACCATAACGAGTGGTTGTTCAGTTTTCAGAATGATAGAATGTTATTAGATTCCCAATACCGACCACTGATGTAGAATGATACTGAACTAGACAATGTACAATAATTTAATGCAGTACAACGATTGAAAACATATTCCAAATAGATAGTGTACAAACCAAATTCACAAAGAGTATCACCAGCGATTGAGGATTTTAAGCGTCAATAACAGCACTTGATGATAGAATTTATCATATCTTTGTTTCGTATTGGTCTTCTTTTGACTACAGTTTTGTCCAGCCATAAAGAAGTAACAAACGTTAAATGAACAAAATTTAGTGAAATGAAAGAAAGTCCAGAGTTGTCAGTATAAGAGAAACCCTGACGAGCTACTTCACAGAACCTTCGATTGGTACATATTCAGAGCTCAATATCTCCTCTAATCTAAAAAATACCATCAAATTACCTGCTTCATACTGCCACTTAGATAAGGATAATATTAGCATTGGATTTACAGCATGAATTTCCAGCCCCTTAGACTTCAGACCTCACAGATCATATATACGACAAAATTCTTATAAAACTGGAATTCAGTTGTCTATTAAATGTAAGCGGTCAAAAAGCCAATATATTTGAGGCTCTTAAGAATAGCCTTCTTCAAAGTGTCATGAGATTCAGAAACATCGCTAGGTGTGACGTACCTGTTAAAATCGTGCGGTCGTGTTTCCACTACTGCGAGGAATTGTATACATGGGTCTGTCACTCTGTGCTCGGGAAAGTCAGATTCTGTGTCGGAGAACCAAACATCAATATTCTCGAGTCAAAATGGCATTAGCTGAAATGGGGTAGGCGAAAGTCTTGATCTTAAACAACTTAGGAGTCATATTGAATAGAAAGCATAGCAATGAACAAGAGAAATAATATCCGAAATCATGAAAACGGTATCATGATATATGAAGACAAAAATTAAAAAGTTATATATAATGTTCCAAAAAGGAACGGACTGTAGGGTATATGAAATGTCACTGAGCTCTCACCAAATCATCCGGCATTTGGATCACTGAATACCGAACAGATTATCGATCTCCATCAAAGTCAATGACAACCAATGCGTACCAGTTAATCGTATGCCATGGACTAGCGCATGCAGTGGTGGTCTCTCTATCTTCTCTGTACTCATTCTTACTAATATATTTCCATAAAAATGTCCTTTGTGTTATGAGGTCTTTAAAACAGACATATTACTTTGATACGTCGAAGTAGTAATCCACCTTAGATGCTGACCGCGAGGTGTGACTTCGAAGTCAGCTGGTTCGTCACACCGTTCTCGTCCAACTCCAGTAGGCCTCTAATGATTCGACATAAATCATCTAAGTTAGTGATCTGTAAGACTCAGAGTGTTTTAATTGGTGCACCAGATCACGTCGGTCTCATCACCAAAAATGACACAGACATTAGGAGTTTGACAACACCTTTACACGCAACACCTTTGTGATCGAAGTATGCCAACCTAGTCAAATCAGAAGTCAGAAACGAAGAGGTCCGAAGATATATTTAGAGGGCTATATCGGTAAGCGTTTAATCTAGTCTGGCTAACAGTTGTAAGAAATTTGTAGCACAGCACACCCACTAGTGATCCGGTGTGAATGCGTGAACGAGAGTCTTCAGCTAGATATGTTCATCAAAACTAATAGGGTCAGTAACAAATGTCGAAGACTTATAGATCTATTTATTTTGGGGATTTGTTGACCACCACATATCCCACGATGGGTTGTAATATGATCTAGTGCAGGCAGTTCACTTGACACTTTTATATTATACTAATTATACCTTTCACTCTAGTAAGTCTCTCCAACAATAAACTAGATCCTCAGACAGGTAACGAACTTACAGTATAAATCATCCGTTTGACCATGACGATACGACTAGTATTCTGATTTTACAACCTGCTACCAGTAGCACCTTCTATATACGAAGCTTTCTCCCGACCAATGGAAATCAGAAGTCAGACGAGAAGAGTTAGGAAAGATATATTTGATACGTTATCAATATATCGCGAAGCGTTTATTCTAAGCTGGCTAGTGAACGTAGGAGCAGTGTCACACGCTGGGTCGAAACGTGATCTGGTACGAATGCATGACCAAAAGCCTTCAGTTAAACAAGTCCACTTAAACAACGTAGTCGGCATCCAATGTCTAACATTTAGAAAGCTATTGATTTTGGGGGATTATTTACAGCTACAACCAGTTTTCAAAACCTGCTCGAAGAGATTCAGAAACAGTTACATGTATTTGGTGTCACCTATGTCCAGGACCATTACAGAAGTTATAAAATTTTTTAAGTTTAACATAAATGAAAGAAAATAAATATATCTGTTTTAAAGAATGCTTGTTTGTGTCGCACATTTAAAACAACCAATAAAAACTCAGTCATAGCTTTCGCTTGCAAGGACTCCAACGCCTGTATAAACGCATGTCAAAATTAAGACAGTCATGTCTTAGATCTCTCCATGGCATCCGCTCTGTTTATTATCTGCTTGCAAACGGTAATATTTAATCCACCGTATGATTGAATGATAATTTTTTTAGCAATCCCCAAGAGTAGAGTTGTGAGAAACGTTTTAGTGCGCTCTATTCTTGCAATCTTTGCCAGTTATCTGCTGTTTTTGGAGCTCTATTTTGTATTGCCTTATTTATTGGAGGAAGAGAAATACTTGGCATACGGCATCTTGCTGTTTATATATACTTGTTTTTGTTCGAGTGTTACATTGTGTATTTATAAAGATCCAAGTATTCGTAACCTATTGTTATCGTCTAAGTCGAGACCAGATTGGACTTATTGTCTGACATGTCAAACTTTACGACCGCCTCGTGCTCACCACTGTTTTGACTGTGCTATATGTGTTCTTCGACGTGATCATCACTGTACTATTTTAGGTAAGGTCTGTATACAGTTAATTTTTAACTGAAGTCGGGGAAATAATTTTTACAGATTTCTTGTGCAGTTATAGTTGAATTATTAAAGGGCCATGAGAGAATCGTTTTCTAACTTGGTTAATATGCTCTTTAAACTTTCCAAATCGACTATCTTAGTTAGATACACTTCTGTCAATACGTGATAACATCGGGAAGTGTCTTACTACAAAAAACGAATTAGGTGACTCTTGTAAATATAATCTAGTTTTAAACCTCGGTATATTCAGAGCGGAGTATCAAACGTTCCACAGGTCCCATTTAATTCACTTAAAATATTTCCCTAGAAGGTTTTGGGATTGGTAAAATATTATTAGATCTATTCAGTAATTATGACTAATCTGCTTCTTTTTCTAGGCCATGTTTTTACTCACAGTCCCTTTATTGTGATCACAAACACTCATTTGCGTCTGGTTGATTCTCTTTCCCTGATATTTTATAGCAATCCGAACCACTGAACATCTATGCAAGGTTTGTTTGTAGATATTGTCAGCCAGTCACTCAGCTACAACGTAGGACCAGACGCATATATCCATCGGTTCAAGTTACCATACCTTATTAGTACAACAAGATGAACAGCGAACTCATAGAAGCAGTTACTTCAATTGTAGTATAAAAAAACACATTCCATATAAGGATATGATACAGGGAGAAAGAATTAGTTCATGGAACGAGAGGTATAAAGTAACTCCAATCTCACGGTTTAAGGGCAGACAAATAGTTTATATACCTACACTATCGAGATCGATTCTGAGCCATGTCACATAGAGTCTCCAATCACTGGTTATGATAGTCACACGGACCCCAATCAAGTAGTCTGCATCTACCAACATGACTCAGACCAGAAGTTAGTGACTTTATGGACTGATGCCATGTTTTGGTTTGACCGCCTCTAACATTCTTCCATTCGAATGCATATTGCAACCCACGCTCTTATTAATTCTGTAATTAAATCAGTACTTTGTGATATACACTTTAGGAAATGATGGTAAATCAGTTGATGATGTTGTAAATCTTCATCGACTGCGATGGTTGAGCCACGTGTTACGTATGCCTAAACACCGATTACCACGACGCGCAATGCGGACTAGTGTTAGAGACGTTTGAAAGAAGGTTAGGGGCGGCCAAACCAAAACATGGCATCAGTCCATAAAGTCACTAACGTCTGGTCTGAGTCATGTTGGTAGATGCAGACTACTTGATTGGGGTCCGCGTGATCATCATAACCAGTGATTGGAGACTCTATGTGACATGGCTCAGAGTCGACCACAATGGTGTCGGTGTATACACTCTTCATCTGCCCTTAAATGGTGAGATTAAAATTGCTTTATACCTTTCTTTCTGCGAACTAATTCTTCTTTCCTGTATTATATCCTTATAAACAATCTTTCTCTTATATATTACTACCAAATTGATGTAAGTCCTCCAACCCTCTGCGAGGTTGAAAAAGCTATAGGAAATCTGAAGCGAGGGAGAGCAGCAGGCCCTGACAGGTTGACCCCTGAGATTTTTAAGGATGGTGGTCCAGTACTAGCAGTGAGATTGACTGAGGTCTTAGGTAGAATCTGGGAACTGGACGTAATTCCATCTGACTGGTCCCAATCACTGATTGTGCCAGTCTATAAGAAAGGACAAAAGTCCTCCTGTGACAATCACATAGGGATCAGTTTGACTAATATAGTGTCTAAAATATTAGCTTCAATAACACTTGGACGCCTAACCAAAGCTCGTGAAGAGCAGACTAGAGAAAACCAGGCTGGTTTTCGACCTGGACGTGGTTGCATAGACCAGATATTCACCCTACGACAGGTCCTAGAACATAGACACAAATTCAGACGTCCCACAATAGTAGTATTTCTTGACGTTAAGGCGGCATTTGACTCCGTTGATCGTGAGGTTCTATGGCAATGTTTGTCACTGAAAGGAGTACCAAAGAAGTACATTAACCCCATAGAGGCTCTCTACTCGAACACAACTGGTCGAGTTAGAGCCTATGGCGAACTGTCATCAGAACTGATTACCTCAAGTGGCGTTCGTCAGGGCTGTCCACTCTCCCCATTCTTGTTTAACTTTGTCATTGACATACTATTAGAGATAGCACTTTCATCAGCTAAACCTCCAGGAGTTGAACTTTTACCGGGAGGCTCACTTGTTGACTTAGAATACGCCGACGACATAGTTTTACTCGGTGAAGACGCTGACAACATGCAGAGTCTTCTATAAGCAACTATGCAGGCATGTTCGGAATGCGATTCTCTCCCTCGAAGTGCAAAATGTTACTTCAGGATTGGGTTGCAGCGACACCTGAACTAATGATAGGGAGTGAAGTAGTTGAGCGTGTAGACCACTTCACTTATCTTGGGAGTCTCATCAGCCCTTGTGGTCTGATATGTGACGAAATCTCAGCACGGATACAGAAGGCTCGTCTAGCTTTCGCCAACTTGCGCCATTTATGGCGTAGGCGAGATATCCGTCTAGCAACAAAAGGACGGGTTTACTGTGCAGCAGTTCGCTCCGTCCTACTTTATGGCAGTGAAACATGGCCAATAAGAGTAGAGGATATTCGTAGGCTACTAGTGTTCGATCATAGGTGTCTTCGAAGCATTGCTCGTATATCCTGGGACCACCGGGTAAGTAATGCAGTTGTTAGGAAACGAGTACTAGGTAGGGATGGCAAATCGATTGATGAAGTAGTGAAACTTCATCAGTTGAGATGGCTGGGGCATGTGTTACGTATGCCCGACCACCGACGTGCAATGTTTCATGGTGTAGGAGTAGGTTGGAAGAAAGCTAGGGGTGGCCAGACCAAAACGTGGCACAAATCTATGAGGTCACTGACAAGTGGACTGGGCCATGTTGGTAGGTGTAGACTACCTGGTTGGGATTCGCGAGATGACAGCAACCGATGGTTAGAGACCTTGAATGACATGGCTCAAAATCGTTTGCAATGGCGAAGGTGCATCCACTCTTTGTGTTCTACCAAATTCTAATCTTCTGAATTCTTCATATCTCTATCTTTTTCTCTTTCCAAATTTATTTCACTGTACTATACTCCTTCAATAATTTCTTCAAACCCTAATCTTTTGGATTTCTGATTATACTCCTACTACTTCTACCACTATGGGGTTTGAATCGACAACTGCATCTCTGTGCTAGTGTGGTATGGGAACTCGAACTGATGTACGTGCGTACGAAGTTCTACGTTGTGACTGACTGACTGACTGATATTACTACCATTAAAGTAACTACTTCTATGAATTTGTTGTCCATTATGTTGTACTAATGAGGTGTGGCAAATTGAACCGATGGATATACGTGCCTGGTCCTACGTTGTAGCTGACAGTTTAGATTTACATTAGTCTTTTCAACCTACGTATAAATGTTACTCGGGTTTGGATTTGAGCGTCCTCGTTATGTACTTGTTGAGGTATTCATCTCTAGTTCATTGTTGTCTTGTGTACAGTCACAGGAATTGTGAATTTGAATGATTATATGAGATACTTATGACCACTCATTTGGATTTCCAGTGTTCTGTTTAAATATTTAAAAGCGTGGGGATTTGTTTGGCCTATTAATCGTATTACAAATATAGAAAACTTACTTTTATAATTTTCATGTTAAGATTTGGTACTGAATAAGGACAAATAATTGCTAAAACAAAGTACATTTCAGTTATTAAGCACAGGTTTATTTAGTAATCTCCTAACCACACTTATCGTAAGACGTAGTTTAAGAAATTTTGTATTAGAGAACTATTGGTTAAAGATCAAGTCCCTAGATAATTAACTCATAATTCCATTATCAGTGTTAACTTACGGTGAACAATTTCTATGTCAAGATTCTAATAGTTACGTGGTATGGCCATTTAACTTGATTGTTAGGGTTATCAGTTCTTAAAAACTTGAAATAGTTAATGCCTTCTCATTGCATAATCCAAGTCCTTAAGACTACTAGTTTACACTTGTTCACGGACTGTCTTCATAAACTTAGTTGGAATGCAATGAACTGGGTTTAAGGCTAACCATAATAATACAACACTAACTCGTAAATCTTCTGATTTTTATGTGTGGACTTCATGGAAGGATCTTAAACAGCTGACTGGAAACTATGCTATATTTTATTTATTTAAACACAGAAATATTAGTACAAAGGGGCACCAGATATATATGCGCCACAAAAATCTCATTCGATTTGTGAGGGCTGTGATATTGCCCAGGTGCCCAAACTGAAATAGATGGTTTTCTTAGGGGGCCACACCCGGAGCCTCCGACCTAAAGGTCTCATCCACAAGGCAATGGAGCATCGTAAGGAGATGCAGTCCCATGGTAGCCGATGACCAACGATTCATTCATACGCCATTTGTTTTTTCAGGATCCTGGAGATAGCCAATGTGCATCATTGGTTTGGAATGAGGGTTTTCCAACTCCACTAGATGGACCCTCCGTGTCCACCAACCCGGTTAGAGCGCTGGACCTTCGCTTTTCGTCCTCTCAATTTCGTAAATAACATCCCCGCCACGAGAAGGCAGTGAGTAGGACTTCCCTGGTAGAGGATACATACGAGTGGCCATATGAGAGCATTTGGAGAAGGAGAGCGGACTCTCCCTACTCTCGTCCGTACCTGGGCATTTGGGAGTAGTTCTACACCCCAACTGGCCAAACCGGACTACTTCAATCTGAATTTGAACTTACAACAGCATTTATATAGAATATAGTTTAAGTAAATTATCTTTTGTTTATGTAATTATACTTGTATTTTTCTTCTCTCTTTTCTCTTTATCTTTTCACATAGGTCAATGTATTGGTCATGCAAATTGGAGATATTTTTGTAATACATTATTATATGGTTTATTAGGTTGTGCTTTTATGACTTATTATCATTTAACATTAGTATTTCACTCAGATTATTTCCCTATTACATGGTCTATATATTATAAATTATTATGTATGATAACACCACCTGGTTTTATGTGGTTACTAGGTTATTTAACATTAATACAAAGTATCCTTTTCTTAACAACATGTTTATTAACTTTAATAACATGTTTATTATTTGTATTTATTATATATGAATTTAATTTAATGTTTACTAATCAAACAATGTATGAACGAACATTTAAATCATTTGATCAATGTTATTGGAGTGGTAGTCATGATGATGATAATCACCACACTACAGGTATGAAACGATTCGGCAAAGAGATGAGTAGTAGTACTACTACTAGTAGTAGTGGTAGTACAGCGATAAGTACATCGGTATTACATCATCGACGACAACAATCATTATCTAATCATTATTCATCCTTATATGATATTGGTTATCAAAATAATATTAAACAATATTTAGGTGAACATTGGATACTTGCTATTCTATGTCCATTTATTCATTCACCATTAACTACAGATGGATTAAGTTATCCAATATCAGATAGTGTAAAATTTAAATGATTGTTTGATCTTTGATGATCTTTTCTTTCTATGTATTTTGATGTTTATCTCTAATATCTTCTTTGTATAGTATTTGTTATACCCTAGTGAAGACTTAAGTATGGATAACTCTCCTGGGACCTATGAATGAACTGTTATTCTATATATTATATTCTTATGGTTTAACTATTGAGTAATTAGATTGTGTATATCTATATTCATCTTAGTATAAGCTTCATTTTGACCTATAAATTATTACTGTACGATTTACTGTCCCTAAAGTATATTCAGTTTATTGATTATTGTCTCCCATGTTCACAGCCACATTTGGCTTGATCTTGTATAAATATTATTTTCTATCTTATGGTATGATGCGGTTTGTCTGTCTGGTATATAAACTCAGTATGTTTGAAATAAATGATTCGCATAATGGAAGCTGCAATTAGTGTTTTTTGGACTCAATTGGAAGGGCTAGGAGGACAAGGGACCAATAAGGATGCTAGGCTGCTCATACCGGTCGAACGTGGCTGAAAGTTGAACATTTTGTCGTTAAATTATGGTTAACAACTGTAATTGTTATTTCTAATGACTTGATAGAGGACTATCAACTTCAATGTTTCTGTTCTAACTATACCCAGTTATATCGTTTGAAAAGTGGTTAGTAAGATCAAAAGTAGGTGTTTCAAATTGATTAACAAAGTCGTATTGGTGATTGAAATAAAATATAGTCATAAAGCGTTTACCATGTAAAACCAATACCTCTAAGTACCTTACTTTCTTACATCTTTATGAAGGGAGAATGACTTTGGTCTGTAAATAGTGAACTACTCTTGCTTTGTATACTTCTAATGGCTATTATAAAAGCTTTCAAGTTACATTACAGACAGTACAGGAAATTAAAAAGTATTCTTGAGAATGATATTTTTTACCGGATTCAAACAGATGTCCCTTGGATAGTGCAGTCACACTTTTGGGTGAAAAAGGTCATTCAGTTTTCTTTTCAGATTTACTACGAAAAATAAATCAAAGTGTAGAAGGTATCAGTATCCACCTACATAGAACTGCACCGCAAGTTATATTGTTTGCTGCTAACTTTGTTTTTATCTCTATTCTTATTTGATTTGTAATAGATTCGACTGTTCTATTTTAGGGATTCAATCCTAATAAAACGTTAAAAACTTTAACTTCAGGGAACCACTTCGAAACCATATGTTAAAAGAAGGCCTTACTAGCAAGTTTCTGAATTCTTTGCGGTAAATATGTATTGTGTTTCTAAAAGCCAATTGTGTTTATGAATCCAACCAATTCGGTAAACTTTCATTGTTTATCCTTCGGACATCAAACTATTCAACTGCCGATTCACATAATTTGTCACATATTCTTCGTATTTAATTAGGAAGCAGGAAATGTGCTTGTACGTTGTCCAGTTAAATGGAATTATATGAAATTGCAAGGGTCAATTATATGCTTTATTATCTACGTATACATTCCGACTAACTAAGGCTTAACAAAATAAATTAGCTAAACATATCCGATAGGCAAAACGTTTACAATTTAGTCATACTTTCAGTCCTTAACCAACAATCATGTACTGTTACTTAGTTCACGAAACTTTATTTGATAATCCATTTAAAACAGTGAAATAAGGAAGCAAGCAAATCAATAGAAGATCAGTTTATACTACATAGCATTGTCAACATAGATTTTGTTTCATTTCAAAGATGTTTTACATTATATGAAAAGTGTCATTTAAAACTAAAACTAAATCATCACTGGTCACTATGGTGTGTATTATTTGATAATGTCTGGAACGGTTGATGTTATATCCCGGTGAGAATGATGAATGGTAACTGTTGGCATCTATTTATGGATTGCTTGTACTGGTGTATGCGTCGTCGGATTCGAATTGACAACTTCATCTCTGTGCTAATGTGGTATGGCAACTCGAACTGATGTACGTACGTACTAAGTTCTACGTTGTAACTGACTGACTGTATGCGTCGTATAGTTAAGGACATAACAGTTGAGCTACCCAATTTCTAAGGCTCGTGGTAGGTCAGTTGATGGCGCAGTAAAGTCAATCTTTATTCTACGGTACCATACTACAAATGAACCACGTCTCTGTTTTCTTCACTCATTTCTGACGTTAATTCATTTGATAAGGAGTGGGCAGCAAGATATCTTAACATGATCAAAATACCGTAGTTGATATTTTAGGATAAAAATACTTATTAGATCAATATTTCCATGATACCAAGGCACATATTGTCAGACTTTGATATTACCTATTGCTATGTTAAACGGATTACGATATCACCTAGGAACCGAGAATATGATAAAGTCAGCAACATAATAACAAGACAAGCTAAACTATTCCACTGCAGCCATGCTGACTAGAGGAAAAAGTTCAGATTCAACCGATGGGAATGTATATTCCACAAGCAGTCAAAAGTACGGACGAACAAACACACAACTCATGCGTGTATATACAATACGGTTGTTAAAACACATTCAGTAAGGCTACTAATAGTGTTACAATAAAGTCATGATTCATAATAATCTCTAGAAAACATCCTTCTGCATTCCGAAATGTTTTGTGGTGGTCGTTATTCGATATTATCCTTAAACTTTGTAAATTGTTCGTCCTGATAACCGTTACTAGATAACGCCCCAACGGTGTAAAAAATCAGAAGGCGAATACGAAGTGTTGATTACGTTTTTTTATTGCACCAGGCACAGATTGTCAAAATTACAAACACGTTAAGCAAGCATGAAAGAGTAGTGCCGAAAAGCAAGCAAGTGAGGGTGCGAGTGCAATGAGCCAGCGAGTGTTCGAGCTAATGAACGAGCCAATGGACAGGATTAAGATGTACACACATATACAAATGGAAATGAATGAATCAATTAAGCGATTAGTAGTAAGACTAACAGAATGAGTATATGCGTAGGCAGTAAGCAATGCTCAACTATACATAGTCATACAAGTGAAACAATAACAAAGGTACAATAGTATAGATAGGTTGTTATTGTATGAATGATTCTGTCCGTTAAAACAAGTTAACAAAAACGGTTCTACCAAATTAAATGTGAACAAACTCAATTGTACGTGGGCTGCTATACTTTGTTCATACACTCTAATCATATGTATAGGTGTTTTACAGGTAGGTAAAAGCTATGACTTGTAGACTAATCAATTTATATTGATATTATATCACAGAATTATTACTTATATCTATTATCTCTCGTGGAACATTAGCCACCAATCAAGATTCTCCTACCCACTTTGTCCTATGTAGTCCGTCCCAGTTACTTTCAAGTGGTACTCATTTTTTTGATGTCTTCTCCAAATTACCGTCCCCGTTTGTTTTTTTGATCCACCCCTCTTCCTTCTGCCTTGAGAATTCTAAGTTAGGGGTTGCCTCGTGATTCAATTTGATCTCCGTAATGTGTATCCTATCTAACTCCAACATCTTTTCCTAATTACCTCTTCAGCTAGAAGCTTATATTCACAGATTACTTGTAAAATAATGTTTTATTACCATAATAGTTGAACGTATTTTGTCAGAATGAGACTGCTGTACAGAAGTTTTCTACACTTTCCCAACTGTGAAATTTTCCCTTTTTAAATATGAAACTGATTGATATGATCTGGAGGAATCTTGGAATACAGGGAGCACTAGTTAACTGTCATTCCATCAATCCTCAGCCCTCTCAACGTTTTATAAACATGTAACTAGGCCTTCAATAATTGTAGTGATCACAATAACTCTTGTTAATTTACTGGATGACTACTGAGAACCAAATAGCACTAGACATAAGTTTTTTCTTCTTTGATACTCATTAGCAATGATAAATCATGAACTCCAGTCGAGATTGAACCCAGGAACTTTGGAACTTGCGGTGAGCATCGTACGATGGCCGTTTCGTCATTCCATTGGATGCCGTTTCAGTGGTCTATCGGTTAAGTGCTCTGGCGCGAGACTGGTATGTCCTGTGTTCGAATCTCGCAAGTGCAGGATCGTGGATGCGCACTGCCACTGAGGATTCTCACAATAGGACGAAACGACCGTCCAGTGCTTTCAGGTTTTCCATGGTGGTCTAGCGTCAATTGTATCATGATTTCAACTATGAGATATTGAGTTAAAATCGGTTTGAAAAGATCTTAACAAATTTCTACGAACACAAATAATCTACTTATTTAAGTAGACCGACTATTTATGTTAAAAATTCAAATACAAGTTTTCATTTGTTTTTAATGAAGGAAACATTCATTTGAATAGAATGATTAATAATTTGAACTTTACAGATTCTGTTCGACGTATAATTTCGTAGTAACTCAGTCGTACGATGCTCACCGCAAGTTCCAAAGTTCCTGGGTTCAATCTCGACTGGAGTTCATGATTTATCATTGCTAATGAGTATCAAAGAAGAAAAAAATTATGTCTAGTGCTATTTGATTCTCAGTAGTCATCCAGTAAATTAACAAGTGTTATTGTGATCACTACAATTATTGAAAGCCTAGTTACATGTTTATAAAACGTTGAGAGGGCTGAGGATTGATGGAATGACAGTTAACTAGTGCTCCCTGTATTCCAAGATTCCTCCAGATCATATCAATCAGTTTCATATTTAAAAAGGGAAAATTTCACAGTTGGGAAAGTGTAGAAAACTTCTGTACAGCAGTCTCATTCTGACAAAATACGTTCAACTATTATGGTAATAAAACATTATTTTACAAGTAATCTGTGAATATAAGCTTCTAGCTGAAGAGGTAATTAGGAAAAGATGTTGGAGTTAGATAGGATACACATTACGGAGATCAAATTGAATCACGAGGCAACCCCTAACTTAGAATTCTCAAGGCAGAAGGAAGAGGGGTGGATCAAAAAAACAAACGGGGACGGTAATTTGGAGAAGACATCAAAAAAATGAGTACCACTTGAAAGTAACTGGGACGGACTACATAGGACAAAGTGGGTAGGAGAATCTTGATTGGTGGCTAATGTTCCACGAGAGATAAT